GACCCAGCAGACACGGCGGATCACGTTCGGCGTATTACTCTGATTTTGGCGTTATTACAGAGTGGTCTCGCATGAATATGGAATTATTTTTCAAGTGATTATTTAATTTTCATTGCAAAATGTTACTGATCACATTAGCCTTAGTTAATTATTTATTAGTGTATTATAAAAAAAGCATAATTATTTTTATTATTTCTTAAAAATAATATTGAGTTTTTCGCCAATGGAAAAAATTATTTAAAATATCTAATTAGAATTATTCAAGAACACTTTATTTTTTACACGAAAAATCATATACTGGGTGTGTCTCAAAAGTGGCTTACCCCTATAACTTTTTTTTATTTTTTCAGATAAAAAACGAGATTTGGTGTGTTAGTATATGACCTAAATTAGGATTGATTAACGTTTTCAATTTTTTTCGGTCACTTCCGGTTTCACCGAAAATGACGACAACTTTTGATTTTTAAACGGCAACCTCGGCATTTTTCTACTTTGTTCGATAAAAAATGACACTCTGAATAGAATGACATATCATATGTCACCTTTTGGCATTTTAGCTTAAAAAAATCTTTTAAAATTTCAATATTGAGTGTCATAGCTCTTTTAAAAACAAAACTTTAATCAAGGAGTCCTGGGAAAAATAGATTTGATCGTCTAATGTTTTCCATGCCTTGTATCATAATAACTGTTTGTAACCATAATAACTATTGAAAAGATGGCGGATAACTCCGCCATATTTTCCGCAATTGGCAGCACACGTTAGGCAAACTTATACCTATCCTTTTAACATGTTTTTTCTTCAATCTTTTCAGATAATCTCTTCAATCTATACCCCATTCTCTTCACATCACCCATAATGGACCTTCTAGACAACGTCACGGATCACTTCGACTACACAGACTCCGAAGAATATTACCAGACCAGCTTTCCAAGGTTCATGAACATCATCCAAATCATCTTCTACACAGTGGTCTGCTTGGTGGGCTTGGTTGGGAACACCCTGGTCATCTACGTGGTGCTCCGTTTCTCCAAAATGCAGACAGTCACTAATATGTATATAGTCAATCTAGCCGTAGCCGATGTGTTTTCCCTCATTGGAATACCTTTTCTTATTGTCACCTTACTAAAAGGTCAATGGATCTTTGGACAGTACCTTTGTAAGACTTATATGATCATCGCGAACATTAACCAGTATATCAGTCCGATTTTACTATGTATTATGAGCGCCGACAGGTATATAGCAGTATGCCATCCGATTTCTTCACCAAAATGGCGTACACCGATGATATCAAAGATCGTAGCGTTTTTCGCTTGGTTCTGCAGTCTATTACTGATGGTCCCGATCGTAGAGAACGCTCAGGCAGTAGTGTCGGCCGACAACAAGACCACCTCCTGTGTAATAAACTGGTTTGGCACAGACGAGAACAATACTTTGACCACGAATTCAACCGAGAGCCTTGACTCATCATTGATACCCGCTCCAACTTTGTTCCTCATCTACACTTTCATTTTCAGTTTTGCTATACCGTTATGCTTGATTCTGTTCTTCTACTGTCAAGTTATCATCAAGAAACTGAAGACTGTAGGGTCCAAAAATAGGTCTGAAGAGAAGAAGAAAGGTCACAAGACGGTTACTAATTTGGTTCTGACCGTTGTGATTGTCTATGTGATTTGTTGGTTGCCGTATTGGATAAATCAGTGGACTTCGATTCTTTCAGTTACTACAGATACGTAAGAAATCTTCTGAAATATCAATATACAGGGTGGTCCGACATGGGCGCCGGACAGGGGGGGCAAGAGGGGGCATTTGCCCCCCCCCTGGATCACTGAAACAATAAAAATAAAAGCTATCTTCCATCATTACATCCATCTGTAAAAAAATAATTATTATTATGAAATTTTTAGGTGTTAGCTGTAAAATAATAAAAAATGTGGTAATTATTGGGAAAACTGGAAATCGTCCGATTTTCACCAAAATTGGTATACACACTATTTTGAGGTCGTAGATTACGTATCTACTTTTTTCTTGGCGGTTTCTTACCGTTTTTCAGAAAAACGGAAAATTATTTCAACATTGAATTTTTCTTTATTTCGGCCCTATAAAGTAATAATTTCACTATGTTTTCATTATATTATCTAAAAGTTTATCTAAAAGCCACACTTGATTGGGGATAGAAAAATGTCCAACATTTTACTGAAAAACACTTTTCTTAACAAAATAGCACAGATACTACAAAATTGCAAAGAAAATTGAGACCAGATGGAAGTTTGACATTTGATATATCCTTCTTTCTCTATCCTATGTAATAAGAGAGACAAATATATTCTAGACCTAATCTAGAAATTTGAAAATTTACAACGTTGCCATATCTTCTATTTTTTCGGGTGATTAGGGATTTTAAATAAATTACCTATTATGAGATCGACAATAATTAAATATACACCTATATCCACAAAATTACGTGGAAAGAGTTTTGATTGCATTGGTTTTAACTTTGCGGAGGGGTTAATCTTTTTTGATATAATATAACAACAAAAGATTAACACCCTCTGCATGGAAGTTGTAACCAATGCAATCAAAACTCTTTGTGCAACTTCGTGGGTATAAATAGTCAGATCTCGTTGGTAAAATATCACTTATGGGAAGGAGCCGTTCTTCTGGCGACCGCCTTTCGTAATTCGAGAATGAGCGAAAAAACACGCTAAATTTAGGTTTAGCATTGGCAGCGTTGCTTTAAATGCCAGAAACATGTAAGCTTACTTCGGGTTTTCTTATTACCGATTCTGAACCGTCCTAGAACTGTGATGCGTATGCGCAGAAGAAAATATGAAGACATTATTTCATTTGCGCATGCGCTGCAGAGTTCTTGGACGGTTCAGAATCGGTAATAACAAGAACCCGAACAAAGCTATAACCTAACATTTTCAGATTGTTTACAAATTTATTTTAGCAAATTTTCCTCTATTATGTATAGAATTGGTTAAAAATAACAGAAAATAGCAAAAACATTATTGATTATTGAATACCTAACAAAATATGTGCTAGAAAAACCTAAAAATATGAGAAATTAAGAAAAATTCGATATTGAAATTATTTTCCATTTTTCTGAAAAACGGTAAGAGACCGCCAAGAAAAAAGTTCAGATTCGTAATCTACGACTTCAAAATAGGGTGTATACCAATTTTGGTGAACATCGGACGATTTCCAGTTTTCCCAATAATTACCAAAAATGTCAATTTTTTATTCATTTTTACCTTGCCCCCCCTAAATTTCATTCTTCCGGCGCCCATGTGGTCCGACCTGTATTCCGGAAACTTCGGCAGCATATTCTGCAGATAAAATGAGTAGAAAAGTTCGTAGTTGAAGTTTCATTTTTATTTCGACTTTTCCCAAATAATTTCTGAAATAACGTCAATATTTGTATAAAAATTGCTGTCTGAGAGTTTTTTGACATCATAAATTTGATTTTGATGTCAATGTGACTCCTACTTCTTCCTTTGTAGAGGGTGCCACGTACCGGGTGGCCAACTAAGAATGGACGCCGGCTGTATCTCAGAAACTACTTATCGTATAACTTTCGAAAAAAAATTATAATAAGTAAATCGACCAAAAGAAATCGCTGGAAATTATTTTCATGTTCAAAAAATGTCCGCTGGGGCGTTTCTCTGATAGCCAATCAGAAAACAGGGTTTTTCTCAAAAACATGCAGGTGAACAGGTATTTTAAATATTGCTATTGTAATCGTCGAGAAATTCGGCCGTTTTCTGTTAAAAGCAATATGGCGGCACAAAATTCCTAGAAATTTTAATAAAATTATTGATTGTCCGACTTTTGGACATTTTAATCTTAGATCTACCTATGTATAATTATCCAAAAAATTCGTAAAAATTATATTGATGAAGGATAATGTTACATAAACACGTTTAAAAACTTATGACGGCATTTTTTTAAGAAAACGCCCTAAATTCGGATGCATAAAAACTGATCTTAATCGCTTTGATATTTTGACGTAACTAAGTTACCTGTTTTTGTTTCCTAGCCTACTACTATAATTTTTAGACCATATAATCCCAAACGGCAGTTTAATAATTATTTAAAATAAATTTTTAGACACTCTGTATAAGGTAGTATTATTTTTATTATTGCAACACAATAACTGATCAATAAATAAACTTCATTAAATATTTAGTATTAAAAACATTGATACCCTTGGAGAAATGAAGCTTTAAAATTTTTACTGCAATTTCACAAAATTGAAAATATTTCAAAAACGGTAAGGTTTAAGTATAATAAACCTTAATCAAATTTACCTTTATTTTAATCGTAGAAACTAAAAATGTAATAATATACCGGGTGTTCCATTTAAAAAAATACAACTTTGATATTTTTTTAATTTATTTGGGACATATATATATCATCGTTTAGCCACAATACTCCGTGTCGTATGTGGTGAACAACCCTGTATAGTCCGTCTAGAAAGTATCCGGAATTTTATATTTTTGTATTTTGTAACACTCCAAGATAACACGTAGGTTGTGCCGATAGTAGGCTATGACCAAAATCGCATGACAATCTGTCAAATATAGTTGATTGAAAACCGGCTTAAGAAAGAAGTCCTAAAAATATATATCGATAATTGTAATTTTGCTTCCTTTTTCCCGGATACTTTCTAGACGGACTATACATTTCTTAAAAATGATCAATTTCAGGACTATAATCCTGGTTATATTGGCCTCTTGCTTGACTTACTTGAATCCGGCTGTCAATCCGATTACGCCCTTTTGAGTGACAACTTTAAGAAGAGCTTCCTCAAGTACGTGTGCTGCCAACAAGGAGTACGTGTGCTGCCAACAAGGATGTCAATGCCATTCTTCACAGGGAGAGTAGTGGATCTTCAAAAAAATCCCAGGCCTCGTCTGATGCTCTCAATCTGTTAAACTGATCATGTTTATTTAAGGAAATGTATATTTTTTTAATAAAAATTACAAAATTTTAAATAAAAACATATTTATTAAATTATAAAATTTATGTACACAAAGAAAAATTGGACTATAATAAAAAATAAATTAAATAAATAGACCTAGACAAAAAAAATAGACTATGGAAGACTTTGGTATCCGTTGATGCTCTTCAATGGCCCACCCGGAAGCAATGGATAACCCTCATCCCTGCCCGAATCCTTGGACGACCTAGTTAGCTGCGAATTTCTCGGAGTGTACTCCGCCTCATCGTAGTACCTCCAGGGCAGGATAACCCTCTCTGATCCAGAGTACCACCTCCTGTACACCAGGGAGTTGAAAAAGGCTTGTAGAGGGTTTGTAAAAGCCTGCAAAAAATAATTTAAAGTGACTGCAGAAACTTTTTTAATACACACACCGGAAAAATCCAGGGATATCATTTTATTAAAGTTAAAAATAAATGTTTTGAATCAACAACCACATATTTGTAGGCCGATTCTTTCTACTTCGATTGAAACGAAGTAGTCACACTAGTTATTTCTAAATTTGGGATATTTGCAGAAGTGTTTGTGCATTTTTTGTCAAATGTATATAAAGCACCTAGCGTCAATTGTTCCAATTTAACCTGTACTGGCTATGTTTTTGTGATAACTGGCCAGAATTCATTCAAATAACTCTGTTTAGTATTAAACGACATTATGGAGCGTAGACATCTTAACAGAGACGAAATGCTAAAGACCATGGGTATGCTTGAAGCTGGAATGCGCCAAATCGACGTAGCTAGAGCATTAAATACAACGCAAAGTGTAATATCGCGATTAAGTGCACGCTACCGTGAAAGTGGTGATGTTGCTGAAAGGCACAAAAGGTGACATCGCATTACTAACCCTCAGCAAGATAATTTTTTACAATTAAATGCTCGATACCGACCGACTCTTACAGCACCAGAGCTTAGTTTAATTCTCCAGGAAACACATAATGTAACCGTTAATCCTAACACTGTTCGCAATAGATTAAGAGAGGTCAACTTAAGAAGCAGACGCCCCTGGAGAGCTCAACCCTTAACGAGAGGAAATCGAGAGGTACGATATTTGTGGGCTCAAGATCATGTTCAGTGGTCGAATGAACAATGGACCAATGTTCTCTTCACGGATGAGTCACGCTTTGGAATTCATCCGGATTCGAGAAGGCTTAGGGTATGGAGAGAACCGGGAAATCTTATTCGGTTGGATCATGTTCAGAAAGTGCACCCTTATCAAGGTGGAACAGTTATGGTCTGGGGAGGAGTCCAGTTAGGCCGAAAAACCGATCTCGTTTTTCTTGAAAGGTTTCTAACAGGAATCACATATCGTGATTTAATTCTTGAGCCTGTCGTGTTACTATATGCCAATGATTTTGGGAGAAACTTCATTCTCATGCATGACAATGCACGGCCTCATACAGCCAGAGTGGTAAGTGAGTTTATCAATGCTCATCAATTAAACATCTTACCCTGGCCGGCACAATCTCCTGACCTGAACCCCATCGAGCATGTATGGGACGCGGTCCAAAGAAGAATTTTGAGAATGGGTATGCCTCGTGAAACTCGTAGGGATCTGGTTCGGGCCGTGAATGCAGCGTGGCAGGCTGTACCTCAAGAAGAGATCGACAACCTGATCAGGAGCATGGAGAGACGATGTAGGGCTGTAATGAACAGTAGAGAAGGCTATACCCTTTATTAAGTAAAAATGCTTTTATCTTTTTTTCTTTTAATTCACAGTTTAAAATAAAAAAAAAGTGTGTATTTTTTTGAGTTCAATAAAAATCAAGGTAAATTTGAAAAATTCGGTAAATTTCGCACTTTTATTTCCAATACGTCCTGTAAATTATTTGTTTATTTTAATTTTATTATATCAGAAATGCAAATAATAAAATTACTGACGATGGCTGGATAAAATTGTAATATCCCTAGACTTTACCGGTGTGTGTATTTTAAGGTCTTACCATGATGTTCCATACAACTATCAGAACATCGCTGGGCAATTCAAACCATAAAACCCATACCAACAACCCATTGACTAAATTTGGTATCCAGCAAAGGTAGAAAACTCCCATAATCACAGAAAATTTGAGACTTATTGCATCCAAAATTGATCTTTCCCTGCTAGTAAGCTGTCCAGAAGCACTGGTAATGATTCTTTTCATATCTCCCATGGAATTATGGTATAAAATAGGGTTGGCTATCATTACCACGAATATTGGAAGGTACGTAGCTATGTAGTTTGGCACAAAACGAAACAAGATGGTCTCGAAGCTTAGTATAGCATGGCAACTGAAAAAAAGGTAACATACAGAGTGAGTTTCCTACGATGTTCTCTGTGGGTATCTCGAAAACTACTGGAGATAGAGAGTCGGTTAAATGGGGAAAGAATTGCAGCTTTGTGGGGTCATAAACATGCGCATTTCTGTTTTTTTTTTAAGGTTAACGGCTTACTAGATATTCCGAAAAAAACAAATTTCGGCTATTTTAAAAATTGTCCCTAATTCCATTATAATCTATTTCAGAAAAAAAGTTTTCAGATAAAAGTCGTAGATAATCCTATCCTTAATGAGACTGCGTCCTCCGTTCTTTTTCTAAAGCCTGTCATTTTTGACATACGGCACAAACATATGTTTTTTTAAATAGAAACCATAGTTGGCCATGACTTCATAAAAAGCGCCATTTTTTAAGCTTTTCGGTGATATAAGCTGTAATATGTTTTTTATTTTGAAAAATTTCTTATCATTTTTAAACAATTTTACTTAGTTACCCAAGTAGCATTTTCACGACTTGCGACCACATGTTTACTAAACACAACGTTGGATTAGTTACAAAAAATAGTTAGCTCCCTACCTTGGGTATTAAAATAAATTTAAACGTTTTTATAACGTTGTGCCGATGTTGGACTAGTACTACAGCAAAGTAGAAGCTTCTGCGACGTCGAATAAATGTTGTCTTGTAACCTTTTTTGCTTAAGTGATCTTTAGGTGATTTGGACAACGTAGTTACAACGTTGGATAATATAGAGTTTTCCGACGTCAGTTTCAGGACCTATTCCAACGTTATGCAAACGTCGTCTGTTTTACTAATTCCAACGTTGTTTAGATTTCCTTATTCTTACGTTGGTAGGACGTAGAGTCACTACCTTTTTGCAACTGTATTGAACCATAACCTTAAATCTTAAATTTTCAATTCATTGTTCTGTTCAGTCAGACAGTTCAGTGCTGTTTTTGTTTTTATAAAAAAAAAACTTAATTAAAATGGGACATAAGAAAGGTACATATAAAACTAAATTTAAATATACATCGACATATATTACCGACACTTCCTCGTTTATTTAGATTATAGAGGGCGGCACAAGCTAGACTCTAGAATGACTAAATTAGGCAATCTTGCGACTAGTATACTACCTGTTAAGGCCGAACTGCGACTTTATTAGTCCAGTATGCGACTACTCGAACTACTCCATCTTAATCTCCAAAACAACAAAGTTAAAGCCGCCATGTTGTTAAATAAGAAAATGTTTCGTTCTTAAAATAGCAATTCCTGCTTTTTGAATACATTAACTTGAAATATTTGACCCTAAAAAATACGCGGAAACAATTTTTTCGAATGCGAATAAATTATTCTCATTTTACTAAAAAAAAAATTCAAGAAAATTTTTAAAACTTCTTTAATTTCAAGGCCCATTAGTATTTTTTAAAGTAGAAACAATACATTTATCAATAAAGTTGTTTGCGTTTAACTTTTTACCTTGGGTAACGAGTTACAGAGTCGGTTAAAGTGTTTCAATAATTATGATCTTCAAACATCCTCCACACTTAAATACTTTTGTTTTGTTTTCCTTCACTGCCATCTGACATATGTCTCTAACTAAATTATAAATATAATATTTTTACTATAATTATCCCAATTTAGGATAAAACGCGACTTAGACGCCATATTAGTTTTGTATTTCTGTGAATTAGGATTTTAAACAACGTTGCAGTTTGTACTAAATTAGGCTTCTAGCCAACGTCCGTATCCAACGTCGTTTCGACCCAAAAATTATTCTCCAAACTAGTGCAGACTAGGGTTGGCACGAGGTTGTGCCGACGTTGCGCCCCGACGTTTGGTCGCGTGACACAACGTTGTCCCGACGTCCAAATGCTGCTTGGGTAGCCATGGGAACAAGTTCAATCGCCTTTGCTCTGAGTAATGTGAAACGGTCACATCCAAACTTTGGAAATTAAAATAAACAAAAATTGTAAATATTAATTTTTTATATGAAGAAAAGCGTGTAGGATTATTAGTTCAACTTTTCTTGGTCATACATTTTCGAGGATACGTTGACCGGTGAACGTTACTTTACAATACGTTTTTTAGAAAAGTTAAATTGAGATACCTTGCGCATCAATAGAGTGGTAGGCATAGAATAACTAACTGAAAGAAATGAAAACTCCTATGGTAAAGCCTGGAAACACGCGCTCGACGCGATCCAAGCGGGCTACTGGCAGAACTAAAAGTTCGCGCCATATTTTTAAATGGACCTTTACTGCCAGTTCATAAGTTTTTTACTTAATATTTGGTAATTTCAATCTAGATTATGAACTTATTTGTAACAAAACATTTTACAAAATAAAAATAATGTATTTTGATACAAATAAATTAATAATCTAGGTTGAAATTGTCCCTGAAATTAGAATAAAACACGAAAAATTTGTAACTTGATTATTTTATTATAACATTGTTAATAAAATTACATATAACACATTCAACACTATACAAGTATATATGAGAGGCTGATAGCAAAAGTGGGTTAAAATTTTACTCTCACTTAAAAACGGTATAAAAAAGTTTTTCAGAGAATAAAAAAGCGGTTCATTATATAAATGACAAAAAGAAAAAATGGGTTATAATTATATGCCACTTTTACTCTAAGATTAAAAAATATTCCTTTTTGTCCGAAGAAAAATCGTTAATTTACTATTAGATAAAAAAAATCTGTTTACGTATTTGCCAGTCAGTTTATTCATGTTCCTCTAGTTTTCTATACAAAAAATAACATTTGCAACCATATGCAACAAGTAGTGTAAAATCAACTTTTATAAGCTTTTATTTAACTTGCTTTGTATGTATGTTTGTTCGGGGCAAATCTTGTAAGCTAAATTAGAACCACTTCCTTTGATTGTAGGAAATTATACATTTTTTACAAGGCATGACCAGAATTTTGATAGCTGTTAAAATGGCGGCCAAAATGGCGCCATTTTTGAGGTTTTGATTTTTTAAAATTCTATTATAATATAGGTATATTGTGGGTATATACATATGAAAAAAAAATATGTGGGCGGCTATCTTGAAAAAAAATGACAGTTTAATGACATGTCAAAATTTTCGAAGTGAACCGATTTTTGATAAAAATCGACATAATATATATATACATATATATATATATATATATATATATATATATATATATATATATATATATATATATATATATATATATATATATATATATATATATATATAGGATGGCCATGGGCTAAAATGAAAGAAGAAAAAAAATTCAGGCTGTCAGAATTGACAGCTGTCCAAAAATTTCAAAGTTGTCCGATTTTGATAAAAATCGATATATTGGATGCCCCCCTACCCCATAGTCGGTTTTTCGTTTTATTTGTCTCACATTTGAACTGTCAAATTTGACAGCTGTCGTTTTTTTAAGTTCTCCTTTGTTAATGAAAAAATCGATATACATATTATTAGGATGCCCATAGAAAGTTATTTAAGAAAAACCAGCATAACTAAAAAGTAAAAAATAAATTTTAAGAAAAGAACTTTTTAAAAACAAGCTTTTATTTAAATACACAAAAAAGAAAAAAAACTTTTTTCTTTAAAATTTTATTATGAACTTTATAACGTCATTACATAATTTTAATATTATATTAAATCTTGTCGCGAGATTTGAGTGTACAATTGCACTCATAAAAATCTGGTACGACAACTTTACTTTTAAGTATATACAATATACATGACAATCTAAAACCTGTGTCTACCCTGTCTCATTTTGAAAGTTTGTCTTATGATCCACCACTAGAAAAGGAATTACAAGATAAAGTTGTCGTACAACTGTACACTCAAATCTCGCTACAAGCTTTTATATAATATAAAAATTATGTAATGACGTTATAAAGTTCATAATAAAAATTTTAAAGATTTTTTTTTCTTTTTAGTGTATTTAAATTGTTAAGGGCATAAAATCAGTTCTATGAATTGATTTTTACAACGTTGTAGCTGGGGTAAGGTGGGGGTGGGGGGCGTTGATCGCCCCATAAAAAGTATAAAAATATTATATATGCATGTAGCCACGAGTTATTGCAAAAAATTAGTTCGGTATGAATATTTTCTAACTTTTATTGACATAATATGTTTAATATAGTCCAAGAAAATAGGCCTTCAAATACGAAGTTTTGGGAAAAACTTGAATTTTTGATATAAGTTACTTTGGAAGATCTAAAAACGAATTGTGAAAGGGGAGTAATTTAATTTTTCTATGAAATATATTTTTCTTCAAATGGCATCGGCGGCGTGTGTGATATCAAAGCGCGTGCCGAAGTCAAAAGGTGCCGACCAGATATAAACTAAACAAGTTATATTCGGAAGTGCACATCTAGACAATGGAAATAATTTTTGTATAATTATATTCTTCACTTTTGAAAATTTCCGAGCCGTTAGGCTTTTATATTTTCCTATAACTAAAATACTGTGTTTTGTAATATCAAACTCATTATCTTATAGGTATAAAAATGTGTGTGAAACACAAAAAAATTATATAAACAGCAGTACAGCAGTGCTAAATATATAGAAGCAAAAAAATATAAATAATTACTATATCAATAGGTATATACCGTATGATAAAAAACGGCATCCAGTTGGCTTGGAAATAAACATCAATGACATTCCCCATATAATTTTACATATAAAATGACAGCGAACTTCATTTCATAGTCATCGCTGACGCCGTTCTTTTTCGGTCATATTGTATCTTTTAAAAGATTTAAATCTTTTTAAAAATAACTTAAGTCGTTAAAAAAAAAGATTTAAGTATTTTTAAGTCATCTTTCGAAATAAATGAAATGACTTAAGTCATTTGATTTATCGACTTAAAATCAAATGACTTATGTCACTAAAATGATTTAAGTCAAAAAGACTTAAGTTTTTCTGTGAGCTTGCAGCTCTGCTTAGAATGCTTTGCCATACTGAACAACACCATAGACAAGAAAGATAAACAACACACTAAAATAGGTGCAAAAACACGAAATAAAATTTAGTATGAAGTGCAGTTTTACACGGAGCGGAGCATTCGCTCAAACTGTCCGCGCTGATCGTCCCTGTTGTGCCGTTTCATGGAGCGGGCCGTCCGGCGTCCGCGCCGACCGTCCGTTTATTGAAGAGGTACTATGAGCTTGTATGAGTATTTTGACATGGGCGCGGATGGTCCGCCCGTATGATTTCGTCCAACAGCCATCCGTCGATCCCTTGCTTCGACGGATCATCCGCGCCTATGTGAAAGTGTGTGTATTCATACATTCAATACTCATGGTACTTGTTCAACCAATGGGCGATCTACAGGTGAAAGTACTCCATCAATTCTTAAAAATACACACAATGGTCCACGATGGTCCGCACGTCCGCTCCATGTGAAACAGCACTCAATACTCAATAGTATTATAAAAACGTCCTTCGATATAAGTACATAAATACGGCAGCGCGCAGAGGTAAAAGAACCATTTTCTTATCGTCTATCGAATCTACGTATTATTTTCTTAGCGCAAAACGGGTTAATATTTTATAGCTTTTTTGCCCTGAATATTTTGTCGAACCATTTTTGCGCTGATTAATATTCGATTCACTTTTGCCCAAAGTTGTGATGTATATGCTATTTTTGCTCTTAGAGAAAATTTAAACCCACTTTTGCTTTGAACAAAATTTTATCCCACTCTTACTTTCGACCTCTCATATAAAAGTTATCAGAATTTATACAATCACTTATAAGTAATTATAAAAAAGGTTATAAATTATAAATAAATAATTCATTATATAAAAGACATATAGTTACCGTGAATATAATTTGGTATAACTTTAATCTCAACTTTAATGACCTATTCAAATAGAAACATCTTACAATTCACATTATATAATACACAAAGCCAAGGGACAAAATTGTTATTAAATCTATTCTCGATGACTCGAAGCATTTTTTTTTCAAATAAAACAGGACATATAGGGCTTATAAATAATACAAGGGTATAGAAAATATATAAATAAGTAAATACAAATATATTTTCAACCTAATGATTAATGATTATACTCGTTTAAATAAATAAATGATCTTTTTAAAATTACTTGTTTGTCTTTGCAAATTTGTATATTTAATATTTATCTAAAAGCGTACACTTACATAAATTACTGCACAACCTTTAAAATTAAGCTTTTAATATGTTATACAAATTCTTGATTCGATATAAATACACTTAAATAAAACTTTAAAATTAATGATCTTCCAAATTTCTGAGACAGCCATTTTGTTGAAAGAATTTGTTTTGATTATGAGAAATTTCATAAAAATTATCACAGGGATTAATTAATCTTATATATGAAACTACTTGGCTTTTAAATTTCACAATCCTATCGTCCAAAATACTCTAAATTCGCAAAAATCCGTAAATATTCCCATAAAAACAAATCACAATTCACTTCCACTTCACAGAAACTGACAGACATTGCCAGATATGGAATGACGTTTATTTTTCAATTTATTTTACTGATCTAACTGATCCGGGTCACTTAGAAATTAAATTTTTATTAAATTATTTAATTATAATTGTTTCTGGCGAAAGCAACTTCATATCAATGTTTATTCATAGGGTAACAAAGCACATCACTGTTAAATTATCAACATTTTATATAAATATTTATATTTTTCAACTACTCCAACTACTCCAATTACTCCACAGAGAATCAAACGAATTGTTAATTAAACTATACTCTGTGGATGACTTGATAAAATCATGATGAAATTAGATGAATATCTAGGGACTAGATGTATATCTAGGGACTTTAGATGAAATTTCTACGCAGCGCCATCTATACCTCTACTGGCAAAAACTCCGCCATGTTTCCAAAATTCAAATGGCAGTTTCATCCGCCTGGTGGTAGGTATCAATACGAACTAAGGTAGTAAAAAAAAATGGTGTGGTTAACAACAAGGTTAAAAAGTTCAGTTTTAAAAGATGCATTTTATGTACTCGAAACGATGGCGGTTTTTTGAACATTTGCTAAAATAGCTTAAGTATATGAATAGTTGTAAAAAGTAAACCCTGTATAATATTAGTTTTTTAATTAATTTTTAGTCTCTGTAACGCAAATTGTAAAGGACCGTTTTAATAAAAATATTCTGTCTTTTTATGTTATAAATCATAACAGAATAAGGATACCATGCCAACTAAATGAAATTAGTCAAGAAAGATAAGAATTGACTACAACTCAGTAATTTTTCGAAAAAAAAAACATGAAGTGATGGCCAACTATGGTTTCCGTTTAAAATAACATATGTTTGGGTCATATGTCAAAAATGACAGGCTTTAGAAAAAATCGAAGAACACAAACTCATTAGGTATGTGATTATCTACAACTTTTATCTGAAAACTTTTTGTCTAAAATAGATTATAATGGAATTAGGGACAATTTTTAAAATAGCCGAAATTTGTTTTTTTTTTCGAAATATCTATAGTAAGCCATAAACTTTTTCAAAAACCTAAAAGGCGCATATTTATGACCCCACAAAACTGCAATTCTTTCCCCATTTAACCGACTCTCTATCTCCAGTAGTTTCCGAGAAACCCATAGAGAACATCGATCGTAGGAAACTCATCTATAAGGTTTGTTTTCAGTTTATTGTTATTTTTTCATTTAAAATTAAACTTTCCTGTTTTAGAAGAGGACTTTTAAAGTATTATTGTACTTAAAATGTTAAAAATTGACTCACTCAGCGTCTGGATAGTAGAGCAGACATAATCCTGACGATGTGAGCAACGCTGGTATAATCCAGGCAGCCATATGATAGTATCTAAGTTTACATTCCTTCTGTGCCAGTATTAGGCGCATATCGATCGCATAGCACAGGGTCCATATACAGGTGGATGTGTAGAAATACTGGATGAGAGCCTGGAACATACAGGCTGCTTCAAAAAAATTAAATTTGAGATTATTTAGAATAAAAAATTATTTTCTGTTATTATCTCTCAGACATAGCTCTCAGACTTCTTCCCTGTATTCCCTGTACTCATAACACCAACTCAAAAGAAAACAAACAATGATTTTTTAAAGGAAATAAAATTGACTTATTTTTTGCTCCCCTATCCTTTAAATTTTATTGTTTAATTTAAACGATGCCATTTAAAAGTCCCTTCCCCCAGTCTTGTATTCATCATGAGAATGACTTCAAATAAGCTGCAAAATAAACAAAAAGAACACAAAAGTGAGATAAGGGGAATTTAGCAAAATTGGCCTGAAATTTAAATTTAATTTATATCTTTGTTGGGGTTGGAAAAAAACCGTAAAAGATAAGAGAAATTTGGATTTTAAGCAGGGTAGATTTGTCAAAATGATTTGAAAGGAATATTTACGAATCTCTTCCAGTTTGGTTTTATCTAAGCGTTGTGTTTCTTTTGTTTGAATTATTTCAAGTAAATAAATATTATTTTTTCCATAGCAACTGTTAAAATTGCCTTATATCTATCAAAAATAGTAGATAAAATAGTACTATAACCCCAAGGGTAGATTAAATGATACTCAGGGGCCGGAAAGTGAAATAGCAAAAGCGGTTCCACCGTTTCCACGGCAATTTCAAATAAAATAGTTCCAGCCTCGGGCGCTAGGTGGTAGTGCAATTAATTTTTAGGTTAAGAAATTGCTACTAGTTATTGCCAGATGGCGTTCAATCAGATTTTTTTGTAGTTTCCATAGTTTCCAACGGTCATTGTCATACTATTGTCAAATTCTCAAAAAATATTGTCGTTGTCATAGCGCCAATCATCAAAAATGATTATCAAAACGTTTTTCAAACTATAATTTGTTATATGTGTTTTTATTAGACAATTCCTTTTGTTTGTGGCCCTAAAAATATAATGTAAGTCTTTTATTTTTGCCATCATTTAAGTACCTATTTATATTTACTCCATTTACAAAACGTATTACGTCGGTTTTGTTTTCTTATAATAAACGATGTTTAAATATTTGACTTATAAATAAAAACTTTATAATAAATAATAGTTCACATGTTTGGCTTTAATTTTATTTAATAATTGTATAAATTATACTGTTAAATCTTATTTTTTACACGTCCCAACGATACTTGTTATTAGTATTGTTGAATTTGTGTAAAAAATAATATTTAATAATCAAATTTAATTATTTTAGAGCAAAATTCAATAAATACGCTCATTTAAAAAGCCCGCGCTTCGATCCGTTTAAAACAAGCCCTACTCAATAGATGGCGCCACTTCTGTAGGACCATTTTTCAGTATGGTAGAGTCCATTCTTTTTCTAGCTAGGTATATTCTTTGATGATACTTTAACAGCGAGAATAGGTTAAGAACTTTATTTCTTCCCGCACGTTTTTTAATTGCTTCCATTTTTGAAAATTTTTGTATTCCTTTTCATAAGTTATTTAGACCAGTGCTAAAGCCGTTAAAAAAGGTAAAAACCCAAAAAGAATTATAGTAGAATGAAACCCATTAAAAAAGGTAGATAATACAGCAACAATGAAAGGAAAAATAAATTACGGTCGATTTGAGTTTGGGAAGTAGGAGGGGGTGAGTTTTTAAGGGTAAAAATCGGTTTATCTCGATTTTCGGCGAAACTACGAGTCCTATGGAAAAAAGTTAAATGGCAAAGTTGTAGGTAATGAAAAGATCTACAACTTTTGTATTTACACTTTTTTCATGTAACCTCAAAATTTATGTGAAAAATTCAAATAACCAAGTTTTTGGTTTTTTATTTTTATCTTTTACAAAATTTTTTTTTTCCATGGAATTTGGTGAAAACTTACCTTTTTATATACCAAACATACTGTAATTTTTTTGATTTAAAATATTTATTTTTTTACCTTATTTTAAATTAATAGTAAAAAACCACCCTAATTTTCAATTGAAAATTCACGTGTCAAAATATCCGCTTTTTTAAAAAAGTCGGTGGGCTTTTTGTTCGTTGAAATCTCTATTTTCTGATAGTAAGTTCCTCGTAGGCTTTTTTTTTCACATTAGAGCATTTTTCAGAGCCATGACAATTTGAGCATAAATTTGTGCATTTTAAACCATGTTTTTGGCAGCCACATTTTAAATTGTTACATCCAGTTTCACAGCTGCAGCAAATACTTTTGAGCAATATTTCCGGAATTAATTCCTTATCTGTAAATTTGGGCATAATGCTACGTTGATGATGCTTCCAGCCCCAATCTGTTGCTGACAGTTCGTTACCCAGCCAAGTTTGAAGCTGATAATATGCCCTGTAACAATATTGTTCTGCTGCACCTTCTGTGGGTGGAAGATTTGCTAATAGAAAAGATGATTTAATTTTTGCCAATTGATATTTTTGATATCTTAATTGATTCAGTGTTATATTATCCTTTCTACACTTAATTTTAATCCATTTTTCACGGTATCTTGTTTGTTTGCATCTTTTTGATAAAAAATATTGGCCAAATGCGGCAAATTTTTAGCGTCTAATAATGAATTTACAATAGTTTTCTTTCCTTTTCCGGCAAATCCAGATGTTGTATCGCAACCTGAAAAACAATGCGGAAATGCAACGATATTTTTGGAAGATTCGTATTTAAAAATATTAGACGTAAAAAATTGATCTTTCACATTTCCAAAACCTGACTTGAGAAAATAAATATCATGATTATTCGAATTTAGTTGATTCAAAAGGACCAAAAGATCAATATCTTGACCCACAACAATGACAGTTTTATTTGTATCTTTGGCAATTTCAATCGAGGTCTTAATTATATCAGCATCAGCATCTTCTTCTGCTTGTTTACAAGAAAATCCTTGCGATTGTAATGTTTCCATTAACGTTTTTATAATTTTGTCCTTGTTTTTCTCGTTAGATAAAAATTTTTCTTGTAAAAATGGTATTTTCGTATTGTTCTGATAATGAAACTCTGGAATATTGTCTAATGTTTTTCTACGACTACGTTCTCCACTTTTAGTTGAACCAGCTGCTGGTACTGTTATCACAGTAACTGATTTTTCAATTTCGGGATACCGAGAGAGATAAAGTGTTAATTTTAATAAAAAAGCTTAAAGTGGAACATAATGATTAAAAAAAAATTAGGATTCGAGTTTTTTGCATTTTCTGAGAACATTTACCATAGCAAGGTATATTTTTTTGCACTATCAGAAAATAGAGATTTCAACGAACAAAAAGCCCACCGACTTTTTTAAAAAAGCGAATATTTTGACACGTGAATTTTCAATTGAAAATTAGGGTGGTTTTTTACTATTAAATTAAAATAAGGTAAAAATATAAATATTTTAAATCAAAAAAATTACAGTATGTTTGGTATATAAAAAGGTAAGTTTTCACCAAATTTCATGGAAAAAAAAAATTTTTTGTAAAAGATAAAAATAAAAAACCAAAAACTTGGTTATTTGAATTTTTCACATAAATTTTGAGGTTATGTGAAAAAAGTGTAAATACAAAAGTTGTAGATCTTTACATTGTCTACAACTTTGCCATTTAACTTTTTCCCATAGGACTCCGTAGTTTCGCCGAAAATCGAGATAAACCGATTTTTACCCTTAAAAACTCGCCCCCTCCTACTTCCCAAACTCAAATCGACCGTAATTTATTTTTCCTTTCATTATTGCTGTATTATCTACCTTTTTTAATGGGTTTCGTTCTACTACAATTTTTTTTGGTTTCAAAAATTATCGACCCTGGTCTAAGTCGGGATTTAAATGGAAGTATTTTGGATATGGCGTTTGTCGCCTCAGCCTGAATATCTGTTGGTAATTTATAGTAGTGGGAACTATCGAATGAATACTATCGAAACATTCGATAGTTGCAATTCATTCGAATAATTCGATAGTTAGTAAGAAAACATTCGTTGAAAACTATTCGAATAAAAATTATCGAATAGAGCCGTCATCTGCCTTGAAATATTGTATTCTAGTAATTCGGCAGCAAAAACCATTCATTTATAAAATTCATTCATTTATGAAATTCATTTATTCGTCAGGATCGATTATAATAAAATATCAACTGAATTTTAGTTGTCGCCCGGCGACGTAGGTTTTTTTCCGAGAAAGCGGTCGGTGGCAATGCTATGAAAAGAAGCCGGCATCTTTGATTTTTTGCGGAGTCATATATAGATAAGGACACATTATTTTTTTTTGATTGAGGTGCTAGTATTTACACAGAAAATCATTATGAAGGGCGCTGTTGCCATATTTTTGTATTAGTTGATATTAGCAAAGAATATTATTGTTTGGCTTTAGTTAGTTAGGGATAGTATGTCTATATATTCTGCATTTTTTATTAATATTCTGTTGTTACACTGCAATAATACTTGTTATTTTGGATGTAGGAAAATTATTTTTAATGTTTTTAAGCAAAGACTGGTTTAATAAATAATAATAACAGTAATAATTTGTTATACCTATTAACAACAAAATTTAAAATCATTTAATATAAATATTTTTTTAAGTAGTAGCAAAATATAAACAACAAATTAGATGTCAAAATTATTTATATTAGATCCTATTTAAAAATAATATAGTCTCTAATTTTTTTGGCAACGTTGGTTTATTAAATAATAATAATTACAGAACTAATTTGTTATATTAACAATAAATTTTAAAATCATGAAATATAAACATTTATGAATTTTCTAAGCAAGCGGTATAAAGGAAGGAAAATATAAATAAAAAATTAGAAATCAAAATTATTTATATTAGGTGCTTTATATTACTATTTAAAAATTATATTTACTTTTACTGGCATTTACTTTAAAAAATAAATGAAATATTTCTTCGCAAAAAACTACGAGAATTAGCATAAACAAAATACAAACATCGTTAACTTTTTTTTTAAATTGGCACGTGTAAAATTTTCATTTTAATTTTCTCACCCCATAGTTTGAGTTCGATAACCATTTATTTAACCACATTACTTAAATATAATTATTAAGTTCCAACTAATTCATACGTATTATTAAAACATCTAAAATACAAATATGTATTTTTAAAATTAATTTTAAGTTCATCTCATCTCTCTTAAAAATTGCTACTTCTCAAAATTTCCCATTAAAAAATAGACCATATACCATATAAAATGAAATAATTGAAAGATCGGTCTACGGAAAACCACACAAATTATCGGAAAAATTTTGACCACCTGCACATGCACACAATCGTCAATAAATAAAATTAAAAAATAACTACTATTTTAGTATTTTAACAATTTTAATAAACGCAAAAATAGCACAGTATTTATACGGCGAAGTTATAAAAATTTGGAAGAACCAATAATGCACTGACGCATACAAAATTCAAACGAATACTAAATTTCATTTATCAAAAGCATTCGATAATCGTGGCTCAACGATAACCATTTAGTCGCACGGCGAGGTTGTCATATATGCTTTAGTTTACAAATGAATGAATGATTTTATTCGAATAAAACCATTCGATAGTTGAAATCATTCATTCATTAACCATTCGATAGTCTAATTCATTCGATAGTTCCCATCGCTAGTAATTTACTTATTTCGTTTTGAGCCATTTCTGACTCCAGTTCAATCAGCAATCGACACGAAAGAGAATTAAAAAATATTGACTCAAAACTGACAACAAAAGAGACTGCTTTATCTATCTGTCAAATTACATAGAAACCAACGCCAACCCAGCACAATATTTTTTCTACTAGTAATAAATTCCTTGAAATAATAATTTCTGAATATTTTTCAAAACGTAACTCGCTATGGAAAAAATATTGTTTTATACACGAACATAAAATTGCATTATCGTCTTGTATAAAAAATAACTATTAAATGTCAAATAAGGTTCAGATTACAGAAAGACAAAGAAATTCAGATTATAAGCATACAATTTTTATGTTTATCGCCTAATTTTTTTAATAGTATCAAATATATACAGGACGAATCAAAAAAATATATATTAAATAAACTTACTGACGATATTGAACAGAAGAATACGCTGGAGTCGTCATTGATGGCCGGCATGATGTTTTTGTTGGTGATCCAAATCATTGAACGTATAAAAACACCTAAATCCAAACCAAAATCAATAGAAAAATATCGTCCCTTAAATCAAAGGAATAATATATACAGAGTGGCCAAATATTTCATTGACATAAACCTACTACATCGAACAAACGAAGCACTTTTATAATAAAAAATACGGAGTAGTTCTATGTCCATGGAATATTAGGACATCCTGTATATGAATTGTTATTATTGTATTGTTATATATGTGAATAAATTGTTATTATTGTATTGTATAATTGAAATTGTTATTATTGTATTGTATATATGTGAATTGAATTGTTATATATGTATATGAATCGTTATTGTTATTTATTATTATTATTAGCAAACCTAAAGCAGCTAGAAGATCCGCTACAGCCAGCCATATTATAATTTTCCTACCCCTTTCTGCTGGGAATGAGAACCATCTGTGACTGTTGGTGAACTGTTTCCTGGGTAAAATCTATGAAACAGAAAAGAATAGCATCATTTTAAATCATTAGAGGCTTAATTTACGTATACAGGGCCGTTCTTAAAGTCGTGGCACATTCAAGTTTCATTTTTTTTTAAATAGAACCCCCTGTATATTATTACATATTTCAATTCTTCCTTCAGTTCTAAGTAAAAGTCGAAATATACACAATGTACTTCAAAGCAACCGTTTCCGAGTTATTGACTTTTGAAAATATCACTTAGAAAATTCGATTTAATTAATTTCGATGTGTTTGGTTTGATTTAACGATGCCATTCTGCCGAAACTGTGATAGTGTTGTATCAACAAAGGAAGGGGAATTACCGGGGAATTTCGCTATTGGCTATCGACGGAAAAATTCTTGCAAAAATAATGTCAAACCGCCTGCACCCATATACAGGGTTGTTCACCACATACGACACGGAGTATTGTAGCTAAACGATGAGATTTTTACAAATTGTAAGTTTTGGGTTCGATGAAGGACTATTAGAGGTACAATTTAAAAATAATTTTACAAGATACAGAGTGTCCCAAATAAGTAAAAAATATCAAAGTTGTATTTTTTTAAATGGAACACCCTATATATTATTACATTTTAGTTTCTACGATTAAAATAAAGGTAAATTTGATAAGATTTATTATACTTAAAACTTACCGTTTTTGAAATATTTTCAATTTTGTGAAATTGCTGTAAAAATTTTAAGGCTTCATTTCTCCAAGGGTATCAAAGTTTTTAAAACTAAATATTTACTGAAGTTTATTTACTGATCAGTTATTGTGTTGCAATTATAAAAATAATACTACCTTATACAGAGTGTCTAAAAATTTATTTTAAATAATTATTAGCTTCAAACGGCAATAACTTGTTTTATTTAAATGGAACACCCTGTATATTTTACGAGAATCAGATGCACAATTTAATTGTCTATCAAATTATATTATACCATTTTTTACCTATCTCTTTAAGTTTCTGTGGAAAATACATTTTCTTGTAATTTAGAACTTATTTATCAATATACCCATGGACTATTGACATTTTAGATTATTTTTAAAGATGTACCACATTTTTAAAGAGTACAGATACTAATATTGTCGATATAATTTGTTTATTTTATTAAAAAATAAAAAAAAACTGTTTAAATATTTGTTAAAGAGGACCAATTAATATGATTTCAGTATTCAAACTACATTAACTGACTGTTTGCGTTGATTAATAATAATTGCTCCAAATACTAAAAAACTGAATTTTGTATGGGCATTAGACAGTGTGATAAAAAGTAACACCTTAAAAATGATATTTCATTTTTTAATAAATGCTTATTTATAACTACAGAGACTTTAATTTGATAACTTATTATTATATTGATTTCTGACTCAAATCCACATTTATTTATAATAATTTAATAACGAACACAATTAAGTATGTAATTAATTAGTATATGGGCGCAAATAATGGTGTTATATTTAATTAATGGTATACTCTTTTATAAAGATTTAAATAGTTTTCTTTTGCATACAAATGGGCTAGTAATATTATCGTTTTGCTAAAAACGATAATATTACTAGTCTGTACATTTTGTACATTTGTTGCTTTAAAAACAATCTAAAATGTCAATATTCCATGGATATATTGATAAATGAGGTCTAAATTATAAGAAAATGCATTTTCTACTAAAACTTGAAGGGATAGGTAAAAAATGGTATAATGCAATTTGATAGACAATTTAATTGTGCATCTGATTCTCCTAAAATATACAGGGCATTCTATTTAAATTAAAGAAGTTGTTGCCGTTTGAAGTTAATAATTATTTAAAGTAAATTTTTAGACACTCTCTATAAAGTAGTATTATTTTTATTATTGCAACACAATAACTGATCAATAAATAAACTTCATTAAATATTTAGTATTAAAAACATTGATACCCTTGGAGAAATAAAGCTTTAAAATTTTTACTGCAATTTCACAAAATTGAAAATATTTCAAAAACGTAATGTTTAAGTATAATAAACCTTAATCAAATTTACCTTTATTTTAATCGTAGAAACTAAAAATGTAATAATATACAGGGTGTTCCATTTAAAAAAATACAACTTTGATATTTTTTATTTATTTGGGACACTCTGTATCTTGTAAAAATATTTTTAAATTGTAACTCTAATAGTCCTTCAACGAACCCCAAACTTACAATTTGTAAAAATCTCATCGTTTAGCTACAATACTCCGTGTCGTATGTGGTGAACAACCCTGTATAGATAAAATCCTTCCAAAATCGCAAACGGGTTTTCGTACCAACCGCGACACCGTCGATTCCATATTTTCCATCCATCAACTACAGGAAAAAGTAAAATAACAGCAGTCTAAACTTTATGTTGCATTCATCGATCTAACAAAAGCCTTCGACTCTGTGAACAGAGATGCGCTTTGGGCAATTATGAAAAAGTTCGGAGTACCGAACAAATTTCTTACAGTGTGTAAAAGCCTCCATAATAACAACATGTCAAGAGTGTCACATCATGGATCACTGAGCGACCCATTCCTAACAAATACAGGAGTTAGGCAGGGATGTGTCTTAGCGCCTCTCCTATTCAACATATTAATGGCAGCGCTCTCCATTATAGTGGACAGCAAACTGCAGGAGAGAGGATTGGGCATTAGATACAGATATGACGGCGGTCTGTTCAACATAAAAAGACTCAGGGCAAAAACACGTACAAAATTTATCACAGAACTTCAATACGCTGACGACTGCGCTCTAGTTGCAGACACGGTACAACAATTACAAGAAATGTTGAATACATACATATACCTGGGCATACGAGGCTTTGGGCCTTAAGCTAAACATCGACAAAACTAAAATCATGTGCACTCCCCCGAAAGATCACAACAATGCTATAAAAATCGGAGAAGTATTATTGGAATATGTGGTGGAATTCAATTACCTCGGCAGTTTGATTTCGGAAAGGGCCAATATTGACTCTAAGTGTATTAGTAATGTTTGGAATTCAGAAAATTGAATTATGTATACAGTGTGTACTTAAATTGGCAGTAAAAAATAAAAAATGGGTTGTAAAAAATTTAATTATATTATTTTGTCTTCAATAGCATATTAATTTAATACTCTATTCTTTGTAAAGTTTAAAAAATCAAAAAAAGGTTGTTTAAACACATTAAAAAATATACAGGATTTTATTTTCAGCCCTATACAATAGAATTAGCATTTCGTTTTTACTATAATTAATCCTTTTTTCAGAACTAGTTACCAATAAGTATTACTTAAATTCAACAGATTTACATTCATTTCCATGAGAAAAAAAATTAAAAAAAAATAAAGTAAATACATCTGTATATTTTATGTAGTTGATATTAATGAAAGTAACACCCTTGATTAAGGGTAACACCAAAACATCTAAAAGACTGAGCGCTCTTTTCGCATTAGATGTAAGCAGTTGTTCACTTACAACCATTTAATTTTAGTTATATTTTTAAATGTTCTATAATTTAGAAATATCGGTAATTAGCTGTGGTAAAAATATTATACTTAGATGATAATTGGAACTTAGTTACAAGAATTTAATACGCAAGAAAAAGAGACTAAAAATCATCCTAAAGCTTCTAGATAAGATGGATAATATATTTAAGATGGATTTAGCAAATGGATAAAAAATAGAATAATTTAATCTATAATAAGTTTTGGACCCTCAGGATGCTGTTCTATTTTACTTGACAGGAGAAGTCTTGGTGATCTCTTACTATATCCGAGAAAATTAGTATCTAGAAGGTACATGAAACTTCGTAGTTATGAAGAAAAAAGGCTAATAATTGTAACCTACATCATATTTTTTTGGACCAATTTGGAGCATTTTGTATTAGCTTGGCATCGTTAAATAAAACTGAACATATCGAATTTAATTAAATCAAATTGTTTAAGTGATATTTTCAAAAGTCAATAACTCGGAAACGGTTGGTATGAGGTACATTGTGTGTATTTCGACTTTTGCTTAAAATCGAAGGAAGAACCGAAATATGCAATAATATACAGGGGGTTCCATTTAAAAAAATGAAACTTTGATGTGCCACGACTTCATGACCGACCCAGTATACTTAAATTTATTACCCGCTAATAGATATTTATAAACCCTATAACTTTTATATTTAACTTTTTGCGGTACCTCCTATATTTTACCTAAAAATCGACTGTTTCCATACATAAAAACGACCCTGTATAAATTATCCAGATAAATTAAAATAAACCATATATTTTATATCAAAAACCTTTTATTGCAATTGGCTTGTTTTATCCAAACGTGAGCTTTTGTGTAAATCCAGAGAATTTCCATATTAATCGTCTATATTTTTTATTTTTCAACGTATATTTACATAAAATGGCTGTCCAAAAATTGATATAAACTGGGTGATGTACGAGGACCAACTTTCCAGAATTAACTAACTCGTGATTTATATGCATTCGAACATGGATTGTGGACAATAAATTTCCTCATGATATGTTTCGGTAATTTGATAATGTCAATTTTATAAAAAAAAGAACATTTACAAATATACAAGTTTTTTCGAGAATATCTCCTATTTCTTTGATTAAAAATTCGCAAATAACTGATACCTGCTTGAACAACCACGTTTGCAATCATTTCAAATTCCTCTACCAAATAAACTTTTATTTTTGTGTGTTACCAAATATTTATTTTCATTTTGGTTGATCAACTTAAGTTGATCAACTAAAATCGACTCATGAGAATCTACCTTAATAGAGTGATTGTGTGACTAAAAACTGAATAAACTCACTTGATATACAGCTCCTAAAACTCCTAAAGCCGATGAACACAAACACACAATATTATATGTATCTGTATCGAATGTCCTCATAACAGTCAGCGCAACATTTGTTGCGTTGCCATGATGACAACAAAATGTCTGAATAGTTGGGTCAGACATAACTACGCGATTTTCCTAACTATATTCACCAGCAAAGTGTAAAACTTGGAGAAACCTCCAACAGACCACACGATACGATCATGTTGCTGTACTGAAATCTGCTTAAAAACCATTTTTTTTATAAAACAAGAGTTAAGCCACAGCACTGAGGTCTCTTAAGGCAACTGATAGTGGAATACGATACAGGCTTAAAGATTAAGTATATCCAGAGGCGTAGCGTAATTTTATTATATTAAACAGACCAAATTACCAAAAATTGGTCAAGTACGAGTCGGACTCGCGCACGAATTCTTACTTAAAAGATAATGTTTAGTGAAAGTACTTTTTTATTTATAAACATTTATTTAATTCTGTTTTTAGTATTTGTTCTTCTAGCGGCAACATACACACACCGGAAAAATCTAGGGATATCATTTCACTAAAGTTAAAAATAAATGATTTGAATAAACAACCACATATTTGTAGGTCGATTCTTTCTACTTCGATTGAAACGAAGTAGTCACACTAGTTATTTCTAAATTTGGGATATTTGCAGAAGTGTTTGTGCATTTTTTGTCAAATGTATAAAAAGCACCTAGCATCAATTGTTCAAATTTAACCTGTACTGGCTATGTTTTTATGATAACTGGCCAGAATTCATTCAAATAACTCTGTTTAGTATTAAACGACGATATGGGGCGTAGACATGTTAACAGAGACGAAATGCTAAGGGCCATGGGTATGCTCGAAGCTGGAATGTGTAAAATCGACGTAGCTAGAGCATTAAATACAACGCAAAGTGTAATATCGCGATTAAGTGCACGCTACCATGAAAGTGGTGATGTTGCTGAAAGGCACACAGGGCGACATCGCATTACTACCCCTCAGCAAGATCATTTTATACAATTAAATGCTCGACGCGGACCGACTCTTACAGCACCAGAACTTAGTTTAATTCTCCAGGAAACACATAATGTAACCGTTAGTCCTGACACTGTTCGCAATAGATTAAGAGAGGTCAACTTAAGAAGCAGACGCCCCTGGAGAGCTCAACCCTTAACGAGAGGAAATCGAGAGGTACGATATTTGTGGGCTCAAGATCATGTTCAGTGGTCGAATGAACATTGGGCCAATGTTCTCTTCACGGATGAGTCACGCTTTGGATTACATCCGGATTCGAGAAGGCTTAGGGTATGGAGAGAACCGGGAAATCTTATTCGGTTGGATCATGTTCAGGAAGTGCACCCTTATCAAGGTGGAACAGTTATGGTCTGGGGAGCAGTCCAATTAGGCCGAAAAACCGATCTCGTTTTTCTTGAAAGGTTTCTAACAGGAATCACATATCGTGATTTAATTCTTGAGCCTGTCGTGTTACCATATGCCAATGATTTTGGGAGAAACTTCATTCTCATGCATGACAATGCACGGCCTCGTACAGCCAGAGTGGTAAGTGAGTTTATCAATGCTCATCAATTAAACATCTTACCCTGGCCTGACAATCTCCTGACCTCAACCCCATCGAGCACGTATGGGACGCGGTCCAAAGAAGAATTTTGAGAATGGGTATGCTTCGTGAAACTGGTAGGGATCTGGTTCGGGCCGTGAATGCAGCGTGGCAGGCTGTACCTCAAGAAGAGATCGACAACCCGATCAGGAGCATGGAGAGACGATGTAGGGCTGTAATGAACAGTAGAGGGGGTCATACCCTTTATTAAGTAAAAATGGTTTTATCTTCTTTTTTTTAATTCACAGTTTAGAATAAAAAAAAAATGTGTGTATATTTTTGAGTTTGAATAAAAATCAAGGTAAATTTGAAAAATTCGGTAAATTTCGCATTTTTATTTCCAATACGTCCTGTAAACTATTTGTTTATTTTAATTTTATTATATCAGAAATGCAAATAATAAAATTACTGATGATGGCTGGATAAAATTGTAATATCCCTAGACTTTTCCGGTGTGTGTATCTAGATACATTATCTGTAAAAATTTCAACTGTCTAGCTATAACGGTTCATAAGATAGATCTTTGTGGCAGACGGACGGACGGATAGCGAAGTCTTCCCGTTTTTACCCTTTGGGTACGGAACCCTAAAAAAGCACAATATCACTCAAGAAAAAGAAAGAATAAAATAAGCCAATAAAAGTATAAAATAAATCCTATCAAAAACATAGAACGTATTGTGTCCCCCTTTCTAGAGTTATTTACAACTCATCATACAGTCTCAGGGGTTTGACGAAAGCCAGTATCTGAGACGGTTTTGCAGAGGTTAATTCTCCATCTCCGATATCAGTCGTACTAAAGATTACACGATTTTGAAAACATGATTATTAGATTATTAGATATTAGATAAAGTAAACATGATTTTGAGACAAAAACAAGACAAACTTGCGACAAAAAAAGGGGAATTCTGTCAAGACAAACTTGAGACGACTTGTCCACACTGCAAGAACAAAAGTACAACTTTTAAAATATACGAACAAAACATAGACACTTTGATCTTTACCGACTGGAGACGGGACAGTCAAAAGTCTCCAAATTTTGAAACAGAACAAAAATGAGACAAAAATATTGCAGAAATGTATTGGATTTGTCGCAATTTTGTCGTAAAACATGAATGTTTCTGTCTTGTCGTTGTCAATTAGTGAAGTGTCCTGTAAAAAACACTAAGAATCCAGGGATTATTCTTACAAGTGACTTGGAGGTGCTTCTTGAACTGAGACACTGTTTTTAGTATTAAAAGTGGCGTACAAAAGTCCCCAACGAGACGCCTATGGTGAAAAAATGAAAGTAAGAAGAGAGTACAGAAGATAACAAATGTAGAAATGCGATAAAACATGTATGTGTGTGTGATTTAAAGCAAATACCGAGCAGGAACAACCTATTTTCGGATTTTGTTTGTTCTTCTAATGTTTTTGTTCTTGTTCAAACAATTTTTGAACCTATTTAATTTAATTAGAAAAAAAAGTATTATTATTGACAGTTTGTCATGATATATTTATGTTTAAATAAATAATATATTACATACCTTGGAATAAGAAGACTAAGGAAGGAACATATCAAAAATCTTAGGTACACCGCGATGGGCCTCAAATATGGCCGACTTAAATTCCAGTTTATCAGTGCCGTTCTAATTTTATTTAAAAAATGTAAAACTATGATGTAGGGTAGACGTGGGGTAGACTCAATAATTTGTTGTTTTATTTTACGTTGTGAATAAATGTTGGAAGTTATTAAAATTGTTATAAAAACATATAATTCTAATAAAAATAGATAAGTTATAATAGGTTATAATAAGTATTTATTAACACAAACATCCGATACGCTACTGAAGCAGGTAAGTCAAATTAACGTATCTAAATTCTTTGACATCTAATCCATATATCTAATCTTTGACAAGTAATAAATAAAAGCTAAAATGCAAGAAAAATATACCACGTACAATAAAACCTCCAAGTCGGTATCATTTCTTCCATTTTCTCTTTGTTCCTGCCTTGCTTCACATCTGCAGTTATTTATTAGGGTACCTTTGGTCTCAAATCTCTGGACATTCCTTGCGATTGTAGATTTTCCAGGTATCGGTCTATTCGGATACAGAGCAGCAAACATGTCCGACACCTTTCGATAACACTTTCCTTGATAATACCATTTAATCATCAAAACTTTTTCTTCGGTAGTGTAATTCACGGCTAATATTTTCGATGTAGGTATGAGTTTTTAATAATAATAATAATAAAGCACTAAATAGATAAATTTCTGAAATGACAACTTCATTTGACAGTTATCTTTTACCTTGACTGGTGCTCATAAGTAAATACAGGGCCATAAGAAAGGAGAAATATTTAAAAAGAAATCGGCGATAACTCGTAAACGGGCTAATCAAAAATATCTAAAGTTATTCTTTTTAATGTGGGTTTTAGTGCTCTTCAATAAACCTAAATAGAATTATTCTCTAAAATAATTAGGGAAGCCAATAATTGACCCAATTAAAATTTACATGGGATTTCCTATGTCCCGCTCAACGATGCAACACCCGGTATGTTTCCAACGAATATGCACCACCCGGTATGTCCTGAGCAGATCCACAACCTATGATATGTCCACAACTCGGTTATGTCATTGTCAGAAACTTAGTGCCATACTTTTAGCTCTAAAGCTAAAGCTAAAGCTCTAAAAACACAACAATATTTGAAGTAATCACCCAAAAACAAGGCTAAAACATGACAGAAACAAAGGACACGTTTCAGCTGACCAGAAAACCATTGCCTACGATCAGACCCAAGACGATTTTACGTAGCAAATCAGTGGCGGTGAACGTGATTTACGAGGGGAAGAACGTAACACCCAGACACCTCAATCCCAACATCTACAGCATGGGAAAGGAACGGCAAATCACGGTTTATGATGAGAGTTCTTTATCAGGGAAAGCAAGCGGTACCGTGGTGACCTTGCCATCGGACACAACGAAGACTTCTCTTAGATTTAAAACCGAAATGCAAACGGGAACCACCTTTCAAGGCAGCATTTTTCACGGTTAGACGCATCATATTTTATTTGTTTTTTCAGCATTATTTGTAGGAAATTTTATGTAGATTTAGAATACATGGTGCTCCGAACTGTATATTCTGCAGATAAAAATAAGTAAAAAAGTTCGTATAAGTATATATTTAATTTATTATACAGGGTGGCGCACCTCATTCGCCTCGGTTGATTATACGGAAACGGTAAGGTGTAGAAACAAAATATTTTATGGGTATATGTGGGGAGGTAATGTGCACAATTTAAAATTATTTTTAAATATACAGGGTGAACTAAGATCCATACCAAAGTTATATTTTTTCTTATGGAACACCCGGTATTTTATTTCATTATTATAAGCCCTTGAGGCCAAGAAGCAATTTTCCTCACAAAATAATATCACTAGTACCATATCTATTCGTTCCGCCAGCAGATACTGCTTTATTTTCCTTGATGAAATAATGAATAGTTACTTAATAAAAACACTAAATCACCACAATACACCAAAACACTTTTACTTTTACACTGGACGCGCGTTTCGCTAACCATGTTAGCATCATCAGCAGATGATTATAAACTAAAGTACAATCTACAAGTTGAGCGTTTATATACTCGCCCAGTGGGCACCGAGTGGGCGTGGCAAAATCTAGCCAACCGAGTCAGAGCCAACTGAGCGTAACAGTTAGAGTAGTAGGAACAAAGAACTTGAAGGAATTGGACCGTTGACTCTGTTTATACTATCTTTACATTTATTAATTCTGATGCTTTCATATGCATCTAATTGCCTGTAATTTGAGACTTGTTTAATTAATTGTAAATTATTAAGATCTATACAATGTTCATTATCAACAATATGTTCGGCAACGCAAGATTTATCCGGTCTACCATATCTTATCTGAGCTAAATGTTCTTTAAATCTAGTTAATATTGATCTTCTAGTTTGCCCAACATATTTCTGATTACAATCTTTACAAGAAATTTCATAAATACCCGACCTTTCCAGTGGAGGTGTTTTATCTTTTGGATTACCTAATAATTGTTGTAATTTATTATTAGCACTATACACAAGTTTATAATTGACATTCTTAAAAATTCCTTTTAGACCACGGGATAACTCTCTATCAAACGGTATCGAAAAATATTTAGACGTATCTTTCTCCACTTGAAAAGTCGAATTTTCAGAAATCATTAACCTATACCTACATTTTCTAATTAATTTATCAACTAGCGAAGGGGAATATCCATTACACTCAGCTACATTCCTAATGTAATCTCTTTCTATTTCATATCTTTCGTTGGAAAGTGGGAAACTAAGTAATCTATGAACTAAGAAATTTAAACTAGCCATTTTATGTTCAACACTATGATGTAATTCATTAGGAATATATCTGCGTGTGGTTAGCGAAACGCGCGTCCAGTGTAAAAGTAAAAGTGTTTTGGTGTATTGTGGTGATTTAGTGTTTTTATTTGGCTGTGTAACACCAAAGGTTCCAACCCTCAACTGTAATGAATACTTACTTATTAAACTATTTTAGGTAAATAAATATTTAAAATAGACTAGCAATTTTTGATACCCCTGTATACATTTAAAGAAGGAATATCATTTTTCTGTAAAGTTTATCTCTTGCAATAATCGTATAAATTTAGATTTACAGCAAAATAAGGAAGATACAGACTAAAAAAGCAAGTATCTTAAATGTGATCGGTATAACAAAGCAACTTTATTTACTCTTATAATTTCGCACAAAAACATTTTTATCGTATACTGTGTTTTTCCTTGGGACAGCAGCCTGTATACACACGAATTCTGATGAAATAATATAACCCCAGCCTAACCGTTACTACAACGTTATCGATAAAACAATCAAAACTCCACCGCAGGTACTTATGGCTTTCTGGAACAGCTGGCCCAAGCAGATTTGACAGAGAGCACAGGCCAGCCCAGTACAAGAACAGAGTCTGATGTTTTTCCATCCAGCGTCAGCTTATCGGATAAAATGCAAAGAACGCCTGCACACGTCAGTCTGGTGCTCAGCGAAACTGACACTTTCATGATTTTGGATATGCCGAGTTGCACAGCGGTGAAGGATTCAGAAGAAGGTATAACACAAATATTTATTAGTTCTAGAAGGGGGATTAATCACTACAACCTTAAGGCTCGAACTTACTGACGACCAGGTCGCAACGACCTGGCCGTCGGCTGGCCGGATGTATTGCGTTTTTAGCTGCGGCCAGATGAACGATGACCAGTTTCAACAGAGTTGTCGAATCTAACGATTTTTTACGTTTTACCAATTAGAAAATATTGTTTCAGAAATGTTAAAATATCCGAGTTAACTAAAAAGCGAAGTTGCTATTCACAACAAACAAAAAGCATTGTGTACGCGCGACCCAAGGATACTATATAGAGATAAGGATAGTTCGATTCCTATCTTCCTGCACTGTCAGTTTTTTTCCGTCATCTACTGACCGAGTTCTTCTTCTTCTTTCTTCTTAAACTCTCCTTTTCAGGAAAGAGTTACGTTGCCTAGACTGCCAGGACCATTCTGGCAAAGTACTTTTCTGCTTTTCTTTTTTCTTTTTTTTGGGTGGTCACGTTTTATGAACTTTCACCGATTTATCTTTCTTAACGACTAACAATTATTGAGGCTATTAAACAGGTTGCTTTAAGCTCTGCAACTATTCAGTTATTCATGCATTCTACGATTGAAGCTGCAGCTCCAAGTCCCAATAATTACTGTGCATTTCAAGAAAATGTGATTATGACATTTTCAATTTACGGCTAGTTTTTTTCTTGATTATAAAGTTAATGTTAAGCTTGTTATTAGTAAATATTTAGAATTTTAAATTACTAACATTCAAAAACAAAGCGATTTGTTTTATGTGTTCTGTCTTATTGAATTTAAAAAGGATGGTCATGCATGAGTTGCAGTTGGCGCTAAAGATTTTAGACAGTGACAGTTATTTTTGCATTTGACGGACGAGCGCACAGTGCGTTGGAAGATAAATTTAGCGGGACAAAAGCGTTTGGTTAGAAATGAGCCAAAAATTGTGTACTGATAAGAATAAATAGTAGACATTCCAATTGATACAAAAATGCAAGAATATTCTTTGTATTTCGATACATTTTTATCAACCAAATTTGGTCGTTTTCTGCTCAGCAAGGCAGAGATCATACGAAAACATAATATTTACAAGTGCTTATACATTTTATTAGAAAGCCAAATTATGTTGAAGATCGCCAAAGGTATGTACTTTTCTACTGTACGTATATTATTTGTTAAAATCCTTCGGGCCTTTGTTCTACAGATATCAAACTTTCACTTTTTTTTCAAATATCGATGTATTGAATGATGTAGATCTTTTGAGTTACCAATAGTTACCAACACAGGTAGTCACAGTCACAGGGAGTTCAAGCTTAACAGGTGAATGCCCAAAAAGATTCATTTCAAGCGGATATTATTAAAACGAAACAACTCCATCAAAAGGCACTGAGTTTAAAAAATTGTCTTAGATACTTACTATATATGAATTTACAATTACCGAGTGTTAAAATTAAAATTAAAATATCTATCTTATTTATTATTTTCAAAATAAAATATATTTTTTAAAATAAATTATAGAGGGTGTCACAAGATTACAAATTAATTAAAAAAAAACTGCTAAAGAGTTTTTTGATATCATAATTTTATGTATTTGACAATAGTTTACAATACGGTTTTTGTGTGTCATGTACGAATAATATCATAGTTTTATTATCTTGTATTTATTTATTAATAAATTAATTTGTTAATAAATAAATAAATTTAACCATATAGTTGCTATATATTAGACCATTTGCTACGTTCTTAGATTTTAAGTCCCAAACATTGCTCTTGAGGTTTTGTCCCGCTAGAATAACCATCCGCCGCACTGTGGAGCGCTGGTCAGCGCGTGACGTAGCATTCCACGGCGACTACGACAGCGGCGATGTGACGCGATCGAACAGTCCTTAGAATATAGGTATTAGAGATGAGCAGAAAATCGCAAACTGCGATTTAATCGCAGCGATTGTAAATTCGCAATCGCAACCTGTGATTCCTTTCCATAGCAAACTGCGACTTGCGATTGAAACATATATCTGCCGATTTTGGATTTTTAGGCAACCAATATTACACCAGTTGCGATTTGCAATCGCAGTGGGCACGCGAACGAAGAGCTGCGAACGAAAATCACAGCATTGCGATTTTCATTCGCAGCGGCGTTGCATCGACACGGCACTGAGAAGCCGAACGATGAGCTGCGAATGAAAATCGCAATATTGCGATTCCCGTACGCCCCGGCCGGCGGCGGCAGTGGCGGCCGAGTGTCTTCAACACGGCAGTGGACAGGCGAACGAGGAGCTGAACGAAAATCGCAGCTCATCCCAGCATTGCGATTGCGATTTTCGTTGGCACCGGCGCGGCATCGGGAGTGGGCCCGCCAACGAAGAGCGGCGATTGCGATTTTCGTTCGCAGCTCCCAACACATCGGCCTAAACTAGATCGCAAAATCACATTCGCAATCAGGGCCCCGTAATTTTTATGAAGCGTTGGAAAATAGGCTTATAGATGTTTATATACCGCATAATATATATATAATTTATTAGTTTTAAATTTTGATAATAGTTTTAGATTTATAATATAATTATGGATTGAGAAGGTTAAAAAATTCTCGTTTTCGGTTATGACTAATTATAGTTACAGTTGCTCCCAGGTAATGATTCAGGTAGAATGATTCATAAGGACAGTTCTGGATTCAAATTATAAAAAATTATCTATTTTTATACTTTATTTACTAGAAGATATAGAGCACGGAAAAAAACAGCCCTTTTTTTTATTATATTTTGTTATATATTATATTATTATAAACATTTTTATAACAATCCATAATATAATATAATTTTCTGAATATACTAACAGTTGTGGATCGGCTGCTATGTTAATTTAAATACATGCTTTACAATCAGTTTTTTCATTTTAGAGAAATTTCAAATATAATAAATAAAATGTGATATTGTCCTTTTATTTATCTAAAAGTTCGAAAGTTTGCACTTGCACTGGACGGGCCGTATCAAAGCCGTCAGCATCGGCTTCTTTTGAGTTACATATAAAGAAAATGTTTTTAAAAGAAAACAAGATAAAATAAACAGTTTTTTTTTCTAGTTATCTGAATTAAGGTTGGCGGCAACCTTTTTTATAATAAATTTTTCGTTAGTATACCTACTGTCTAAAAGCACATTCGAATATTTTGAACATTTTATGTATTTTTAATTTCCCTTTTAAATTTATTCGGTCTGTTCTAAACAAAATGTTTAAAAAAGGAAACTAATTTATCTGTGGATTTTTTGGTAGGTAATTGATGAAAATTTTAAGTGCAATATGTGTGCAGCAAAAATATCATAAAAACACGCACTACAAATTTTAAAAGGCACATAGCATCGAAACACCCAACAGTTTCTTTGTAAGTTTTTATTAAAAAAAAAATTATTCCGCTATTTATTCTGTTTTTTATTAGAAATTTTGGGATTGAGCTTCCCAGTTTACAGCGTACCAATTTAAAAATATCCAAATCGCAATCGCAGGTTACAGTCGCAGCGATTTATAAATCACAATCGCAGTTTCAACTGCGATTGGAAAATCGCAGTTTTGCTCATCTCTAATAGGTATACAGTCCTTGCGCGCGACCGACAAAAAGGGAGATATTCTGTTTCTTTTTTCTACTGATATGGACTGATGGCTCTTATCGACTTTAGAAGTAAACATATTAGGGCCATCGTAAAAAAAGATAGTCAGACATGGCTCTAAATATAAGCAGGTAGAAAGTTTAACTTCCAGTTATTTCAATGTTTACAATATAACGAAGAATCTACAAGAGTAATTACATCTATTTTTATGAATGTTTAAGTTACTTTCTTAATTTTTTTTTCAAAATAATGTACCTAGCAGAAATATAGTCTAATGAACCCTGTTTGAAAAACGTTAAATTAAATATAATATTTAAAATACAGTTGTCCTCCTTGTACATGACTACAATACAACTCAAAAAACTAATTTAATAAAAAAAAACAAGTGGTTGTAGAAAAACTTTAAATATTATTATTTTTTATTGTTTAACATCGAAACTCAAAGGTATAATAGCAGGTATCATACCAACCATAAATAGAGCAGGTATGTCATATAAAAATGTTTTGAGTTTTTACTAGAATCGACCCTTGATAAAAAAAGGGATTAGATTTAAGTTTGCCTTTGATCCAGTCTGTATACTATTTCTTTGGATTTTCTGCACGTGTGCAAAAACTACACTAAAACACTATATCTTATAGAAAATAAAATATTGTGCCTTGAATTTGAGGGATTTTATCTGAAAAATTATTAATTTGGAAGAAAACCGGCAGCAATCGGCAGAAAATAATAATATTTCCGTGCAGTTTTCTGGTCGCAACGACTAACGGACGGCCAGGACGTTAGTGTGCGCTATTTCATTTGATTTAATGGTTTTAGAGGTAGGTGCGGCCTGGCCGGTGCGACCTGGTCGTCAGTGTGTTCGAGCCCTTACAGATCTATTGTGTCTATCTTTCTTCGGTTATAACTCATCAGCCAGTCTAAGGGTTTTGAAAAAAAAAACAGTATTTGAAACGGTTTTACAGATTTTAGTTTCCATCCATCTCTGATATGAGTCCTATGGTGAATATGCCAGTGGTCGGACAAAACATATTTAGGGTCAACTTTCGTTTAGCTGAAAATAGTTATTAGAAAAAAAATTGTCTTTAAAAAGCTACTTTGAACCACGGAAAACACAAAATTTCCAAATTTCGCACTTTAGAATGACTGAAATCTGCTATAAAAAAATACATTTTGCGTTTTATTTTTAATATTTTTCTGAACATATAAACACAAAAATTTTCCTGCAGAAATAAGCTGTTTTCATTTTCTAAGGAAATTTATTAGACTTTAGAATAGCTGAAATCAGTTATATAAAAAATAAATATATTTTTGCCTTTTAGAAGCGTTTACAAACTCAGGAAAATAAAATGCTTGCTTTTCATTTTCCATTTTTGTAAGCATAAATACATAAAAAATTATCTTTTTATCACTGTTGAACCAAAAAAAAATCATTTAAGAGTGTCTAAAATGCTAACCAATCTAATAATAAATCTAATAATATTTTTACAAAATCACAGTTAATTATTAAAATATAAAAACCACAGCTTAACACTCTCCACAAAGAAAAGCTAACCAAAGCAACCCAAATCCTAACCAATCTAATAATATTTTTGCAAAATCACAGTTAATTATTAAAATATAAAAGAAAACTGCATGATCCAATGATTTTTTGTTTTGAATCAGCCCTATTTACGTAAAGCTTTAATAAAAAAAAACAAGAATAAGTGCAATATTCCGAGGTACTTATACTTTACAAGAACCTTTATTATCTATTCTATCAGAATTGTTATTCCTCCGAAAGATTTTTTACCCCACCCAGCACCCCTATTCGATCCCGGGTCCCGTAAGCTTCTAAACTGAAAAATCTATGAAAAACAAAGTGCACAAAATGACATTGACACAGTTCCGCAGGAATTTTTTTGTATTTCTTTGCTCGTAAAGGCTCGTATAAAACAAATATAAGTTCATTTGCCATGTAGGGGAGGTCGGGGCATGATGACGAACGGGGCAAGATGACGAAGTACCAATTTAAAGAAAACTGTACATCCTAAAAATCCCATTTATTTTTCTATAAATTCCTTTAGGTGTATAATACGTCGGGTTACACATAGATGGAGCTATCATTTTTGAATGGGGTTTAAAAAATCATAACCGCTTTTCACACCTGTTAGATGTAAACATCCAGCTCCAGAAAATAAGCAATTTCGCAGGTTTAAAGAAAAATAGAAGCCCCTTTCATAGTTAATCTTGATTATTGTGAACATTTTAAATATTAGTAGGTAAGATACAACCTAATGTCACTTAATTAATAGTTTAATTTTTGCTGTTTCCTAAAAAATGTTTCCTGGGGCAAGTTGACGGAGGCAAAATGACGAATTCGTCAACTTGCCCCACTGTGTATAAAATGAGTTAAATTCATTTTTTGATGTTTTTAGATGGTGAGAACTTATAAATACCGTACAGATAGACGCTCTTGGTCAGAAGACGTGCTAATTGCCGCGTTGCACTCTATTTTGCACGACCATAAGTCAGTTAAAGCTGCCTGAATTGAGCATGGAATCCCGGAAGCAACATTAAGACGTTATATAAAAAAGCAAAATAACAACGAACCAATTCCTCTTAGTGGTGGGAGATTCAGAAGAACGTTTTCTGATGCTCAGGAAGCTCAGTTTTTGACTTACCTCATTGACCTGAGTATTAGAGCATTGTTAATTAGAAGCAGAAAAGCTTGTTAATTTAATTCTCCCAGGCCCCTCAGGATTGAATAAAATGGATTCTGCAAAGAATACAAACTATGAAACACCAGATGCTGTACCCCCATTGCGTTCCAAAAAAAATCAGCCGGCAAGGTCAATGAATCCCTTCCTGGACCACAGGCCTACAACAAAAAAAAATCTGCAAAAAACAATAAAGCACATTGGTACTATAAGTTCATCCAGCTCCAGTCAAACAGTCTCTAATGTTGATAGTCGAGTAACGCTACTTGAAATGAAACCCTTTCCCAAATATACACGTCTCATAAAAACTACCAAAAGAATTAAACAAAGGGATTCTGTCATCACCTCAACACCCAACAAAGAAGAACAGGAAAGGAAAAACAATGAAAAAAACTTAAAAGAAATTAAAAGAAGGAAGGTTGATGCTGTCAAAGTCAAAAGAAATGTATTTCAAGAAAATCGTGAAAAGCAGGTAGGAAAGAAGAAGAAAACTAATGACATTTTTTGTCCTGGCTGCCAGGAATCCTATATTGAGCCTCCGAGAGTTGGTGGCACGAGTCGTGCACAGTCTATGAAAAAGATGGCACATATACCTGCTTATAATCGTCATCTTGCCCCTATAGGCTCGTCATCTTACCCCGTACTGGGGCAAGTTGACGAAAATGCACTTTTTGTTTTTTTTCTTTTATTTTTTCAAGAGTACACTTTTATTTTGTTTTTTATGTTTTATCATGTACCTGAATAAATGTACTAACAGATGAAATGGAATCTTTTTTTTAACCCGTTAGTTCGTGTTTTGGAGCCTTTTGTATTTTACTTCGTCAACTTGCCCCGATCTCCCCTAACTGATTTCGGCTATTCTAAAGTCAAAGCATTTTTTTATGTAAAATAAAAATAAAAAATTTCCTAAGGCACTTTTTTGTGTTTTTATGTTTAGAAAAATGTCTAAAACACACCCCGAAGACTAGTTTTGATGTAAGAGATTTCGGCTATACTAAAGTCCGAAAAATGAAAATGACGCATTTCCGCAGGAAAATTTTTGTATATTTGTACTCCTAACGCCTTCTAGAACGCATATGTAAAGTCATTTTTTATATAACAGATTTCAGCTAAACGAAAGTTGAGCCCCGCAATTCTTTCCCCATTTAACCGAGTCTCTCTATCTCCTGTAGTTTCCGAGACACCCATAGAGAACATCGTAGAAAACTAACCCTTAAACGATTACTTTTATGATCTATAGGTATTCTGGTTGACGAGAAAAACAAAGAATACGAATTTCTGACAGAAGGCAAAGGCAGAAACAGGAAGGTCGTCAATGCTGAAGCCCAAACAGTCCAAATACTGAAGAAATCGAGAAATACACTGGCAGAAGTAGTGAAGACACATGACAGGCATGCTTTCGCTTCCAACTGGGAGATGTACGACACTTACCACGACAACGTCAACGCTGTATCAGATGAATCAGAAGATTCTGACAAGAGGTATGATTAAAGGTGATTCTCACTATAGGTACCTTCCATATCAGCTCCCTTCCGTTCCATATCCTTACCTTCGTATCGGAAACAGCGTTTTCAAGTTCTTACACTTGTACCAGCTCTTTACAGTTGAGGGTTGGAACCTTTGGTGTTACACAGCAAAATAAAACACTAAATCACCACAATACACCAAAACACTTTTACGCAACCGAGTCAGAACCCACTAGAGTAGTAGGAACAAAACACTTGAAGGAATTGGACCGTTGTCTCTGTTCATACTATCTTTACATTTATTAATTCTGATGCTTTCATATGCATCTAATTGCCTGTAATTTGAGACTTGTTTAATTAATTTCAAGTTATTAAGATCTATACAATGTTCTTTATCAACAATATGTTCGGCAACGCAAGATTTATCCGGTCTACCATATCTTATCTGAGCTAAATGTTCTTTAAATTTAGTTAATATTGACCTTCTAGTTTGCCCAACATATTTCTGATTACAATCTTTAAAAGAAATTTCATAAATACCCGACCTTTCCAGTAGAGGTGTTTTATCCTTTGGATTACCTAATAATTGTTGTAACTTATTATTAGCTCTATACACAAGTTTATAATTGACATTCTTAAAAATTCCTTTTAGACCACGGGATAACTCTCTATCAAACGGTATCGAAAAATATTTAGACGTATCTTTCTCCACTTGAAAAGTCGAATTTTCAGAAATCATTGACCTATACCTACGTTTTCTAATTATTTTATCAACTAGTGAAGGAGAATATCCATTACACTCAGCTACATTCCTAATGTAATCTCTTTCTATTTCATATCTTTCGTTGGAAAGTGGAAAACTAAGTAATCTATGAACTAAGAAATTTAAACTAGCCATTTTATGTTCAATACTATGATATGATTCATTAGGAATATATCTGCGTGCAGTGGTATTTTTCCTACAGATATCAAATTCCAGGCAATTATTAGTATTTCTAATAACTAATATATCTAGAAATAGTAATCTGTCGTTGTTCTCAATTTCATGTGTAAATTTAATGGAAGGAAAACGATTATTTAACTTAGAAATAAAATTATCTATGGTGTCTGAATGTGTGTCAAAAAATATCATCCACATACCTAAACCATACTCTTGGAAAATACTCAAACTGATTCTTAACCTCCACTTCAAACCTGCTCATGAATAAATTAGCCAAAAATGGAGACAATGGATTACCCATTGCTGTACCTTCCCGCTGTTCAAAAAAGTTGTTATTAAATTGAAAACAATTTTGTTTCATACATAACGATGTAAGCTCAATATATTCAATCACAGTTTTGTTGTCGAGACCATTTGCGTTCAGTAGTTCCTTCAAGTAGCCTAAAGTATGTGGAATTGGAACACTTGGGAACAACGAAGATACATCAAAGGAGACCAAAATTTCACCTTCATGCAATGTTATATTTTTAATTTTGTTAATGAATTCAATATTATTTTTAACTGAGAAAGAAGGTTCATGATTAGGTAAATTTTCGAACTCCCTTGATAACCATTTTGCCAAATTATAAGTAAGGAGAACCTACAGCCGAAACAATTGGGCGCATAGACTTGTCCGGTTTATGAATTTTTGGCAACGCATACAATTTTGGTAATGAGGGATTGGATACTTGCAATTTTCTCTTTAAAGAAAAATCAATAAGGTTGTTACATTCTTTTAAAGTTTTTTTAACATCTGTTACCATCTTAGACAAAGGATTCTTTTTCAAATTTATGTAAGAACCATTATCGATTAAGTTGTTAACCTTATCGTAATAGTCTTTTTTATCTAATATAACAACCCTATTTCCCTTATTATCTTGCCACGCCCACTCTGTGCCCACAGAGCAAGTATATAAACGTGTTTTTTAGTTTATAATTATCTGCTAGTGATGCTAACATGGTTAGCGAAACGCGCGTCCAGTGTAAAAGTAAAAGTGTTTTGGTGTATTGTGGTGATTTAGTGTTTTATTTTGCTGTACCAGCTCTGTTAACATTTTGCTGATATCTATATATTTTTTCACCTCTTAATTAAATCTACCCGTTTTTACCCTTTGGGTACGGAACCCTAAAAAGTATGAACCTGATACGGAACGGAAGCTTACGTAAAGCGTCAATACAATAAAGAATACGGAACGCATATAGAATGGAAACGGAAGGTATAGTGAGAATCAACCTTAAAGTGCCCAGATAATTTTGTGACGAACATTCCACAATCAACCATCTCCCTGAATTTCAGTGAAGAATTCGACTTTAATGTTGATCTCAAAGAAACCACAGGTTCTGTTGACAGTTTCCGAATGTCAACTGAAGAGAAACAGTTGCTCAGACTGATGAAGAACCCGAGATTTCAAGAGGCAGTCTGCGTAATAGAGAGGTTGCTCGCGAACAATTGCTACAACGAGCAACAGAAACGGTTTAGAGGTCTGTCTGATCCAGATGATTTTCGAGAGGATATCGAGTACAAGTATAGGTTGAATTTGTTGTGGACATTCGCCAATTCTTCTACCACAGGTACGATTCTTGCTGGACCCTTTTTTCTAAAACAATATGAATATGACATCTATAGAATGCCTAGATCATATATACTTACGTGGATAAATCAACGCCACATGTTTAGCATTAAAAAATATGTCTCCAACATCACCACATGCCATTTTCAAACCTTCTTTATTGCATTTATTTAACATTCAATAGGTTTGTCTTTCTCGAGGACCTTACTTTGAGCCATGCGTATTAAAAGTTGCACGTATTTCCAAAATAATCACAATTTTATACGGTTTAGAAAGTACAAATTATACATTGTTATGGACACCAACTTTTCATTGTCATTATATTGTCATAATCATATGTCATAATCGTATTTCCATTGTGTAAAGACGCTTGTTTTTTGCATTTTTTAATTTAAAAATTGTATTAATTACTTTTTCGACCGCTTTTATATAGCCAAGGATGCATGTGTGTTCAGTGAGAAGTAAATTTATGTTTGTGCAATTATATTTCTATTTTTTTTTTCGTTGGACTTTCTAAATACTCGTAAAAATGACTAGAAACTGTTTGGTGTGTGGAAGTTCTAATATAAAGGCAGATAAAGGTCCCCGAATTATTTTTTCATAGGCAAGTAAAATATTCAGTTTTTTTTATTTATATTAAACCGCATGCATACTTTCTGATTAGATTTCCTAAGAATTTTGATATTCGTACGGAGTGGCTAAATGTATTTTTTATATAATTTAATTTTTGTGATAGTAAACATTCAATTTATTGTTCAGATATAAGCATTTTACAAATTAAATTTTTAAAATTAATATTCAAATTTGGCGCGTGAACGATGGGTCCTCGACAAGGATAGATAGAGTAGAAGTACCGCGTGTGCAACAAAAAAAGAAGATAAATGGAAGTCATCGTTGATATGTTTGCGACATAGTGATTTACTTATCCAAGGTTTTCTAAATAATATGAACTAATCTCAGACACACTCTAAAACCAGAGAAATAGAAGGGATAGAGAATGAGCGTCAACATGCGCAGAAGGTCTAATCAAGCTGGGCGCCATATTCCAGGTCTTCGTGTCATTTTGTATATAGGTGGTAATCTATAAGTAATCAAATATCAATTTGCTGTTTTCAACCCTACGGGGGGCAATTTAAATTTAGTGAAATTCTATCATTTATTATGGTTAGTTAACATTAATATGATTTATTTAATTATCAGTTTCAAAACTGCGTACAATATTGGTATATAATACGCTAAATATACGAATATTCTGACAAAAGACGCTACGGACAGATGACCTTTTCGTCGTTAAACACTCGAAGTGATATTAAATAAGTATTTACAATATTTCATGTTTACTTGTATTGAATTACGCGTTTCAATTTAAAATTTTTGCAAATTTGATAAAAATTGTTCTAAACAACTTTTTGTTCAAGTTGTATATTCATAAAAAACATTTGGTTCATAATTATTTTTGATGATTACCTACCTTGTATTTTTAATATAAACCTAGAAAAAATATGTTTTTGTTTTATTTTTTTTTATTCGTCCCTTCAAATTGTGTTACAAAAACTGTTACATAACATGTCCTCTAACAAATATTTTCATAATACATAAACATCATTGATTTTATTAAGGGTATTATTATTAGTATTTATCCTGGTTTTTGTCGACAATAAAAACTCAATCTTGTAATAGAACATCAATTTTATATTTCGTAAAATTATTTTGATATAAATTCAATTTGTCAATATTCAAGTCATTAATATATTGATAAACAACCCAAATAATTCCTAAATATTTTATTATAAAAAAAACTGTTACCGGTAAGTTTGTAAAACACATTATGGTTTGTCTTAATACTAGAAAAAATCATTTATTTTTTGCACAAAAGAAGCTTGTCGATCCTTATTTGTCCATAACAAAATTCTGTATGTACAACATACATATACCTAATTTATTATTAAGAAAATTAGATTATATGATCTCAGAATTTTAAGAAAATTTTTTTAAGATAAAATAGTTTTTTCTCAACTGTAATATTGTCAACTTTGGCTTGTATTTTATCTATTTAAAAACATGGGATTGACAATCCCCTTACTAAAATACATACTGGAAGGTACTGATTAAGTTTCATTGCATCAAATACCTTTGCTATAAATCCTGGCTCACAATTTAAGGCCATTGCAAAATGCTTTTGAACTTCATCATAGGTTTTACAAGAATAAAAGTGTAATATTGAAACAAAGTAACATTGTAAGCTTCATGACTAATAGTCTCATTTTTAACACTTTTTAAATATCATCTCGTTAACAATTATGAATATTATATGATTTTTCTCAGTGATTTGTGGAACAGATACAAATTAATATATGCCCCATAACAGTTTTCGCTGTTCGATTAAAATACCCTATCTTATGTTTTCTTTTCCTCCAAATAATCTTCTTGTCAAGTAAGGACCAATCTTATTTGATATATTTCTGGTACACTTGAACTTGTGCTTTCATGGACACTATAAGAGTGCACTGTTTTACAGAAGCACGAACATTGATTCCAAGTATCTTCTTCCTCCACACGTAATAAAACATCCTCTTTAAATGGCCACATCATACACTTATTTTTGACCATTCCCAATTACAATCACGATTTTTACAAATCGCCTTTAGGAAAACTAAAAATAAACAGTTTTGGATCATCTGTAAACACGATTATGTTGTATAAACTTACACATGGAAACTAATCATTTTTCCCGGCGTATTAGCTTTCTTAGAATGACTATGACAATATACAACAAGCCTTTTTGAATTAGTGTTTAGAATAATTGAGATAATAATAAATTTTAACTAGATAACAACACAAACGAAAAAAAAAACAAAACAAACAGATGCCAATTAAAGAGGGGAAGTGACAGCGAGACCTGGAAGACTCTGTCTAAAACTCATATTTGACAAATAATGATGACGTAACGTTGGACAATGGCTGAACAGTCTTTACCTATATAAATATTTTAATTAAACATATTTTTGGATATCGAAATGTAACTATACTTCGAAACAAAATGATTCTAGGAAGATGTGTTACATGTTTGGAGTGGAATCCGACCCATGAAGACCTCTTAGCTGTAGGATATGGCAAATTCTACTTTGCTGACATTTGTACTGGTATGGTGATGGTATGGAACATAAAAAACCCGGTACAACCAGAAAGAGTCTACGAGTTTGCCGATCCAGTCACCACACTGAGTTTCTCAAAGAGGGTAAGTACACCCTGTACAATATACAAAGTTACCATTACAATAAAAGCTACCTAAATTGGAATTTAACTTGTATGACTTAATATGTAATTAAATTAACTATTACTTCAAATCAAATTAAAACTTGATCAAAAAAGTTATACAGATTAAGACAAAATTAATATTAAACATTGGCACCTTCAAAAGTATTTGACTTTTTTATTTTAAATGGAACACCCAGTATATTATTCCGATATTCAATGGAGAATTCATGTACTCTTAAGGTTGTCTACCCCTCAAACAAAGATTTTCCTAGATATTTTCATTTACATGATTCGATCTGAGTAGATTTTTATTATTTGATAAAATCTAGGTAGCTGTGATATGGTCTGACATTATTTCAACATAGCTGTCTAATTAGTCCAACTTTAACAGCTAGTTATCATTTTGTGTCAGTTAAAACAAAAAAAAATCTGAGAAACTTGCCGAAAATGCTGACGCTAAATCATAAAAATTAAAATATCTAGGAAAATCTTTGTCTGAGGGGTAGGCAACCTTAATAATATTTTGAAGATATAGAAATTCCTCATTGAACACCGGAATAATATACTGGGTGTTCCATTTAAAATAAAGGAGTAACTTGCTTTTAAAAGTGACTAATGTTCCATATTAATTTTGTCTCACCCTGTATAACTTTTCGGGTCATGTTTCAATTTGGTTTAACATACAATGGTTACTGTAATTAAATATCAGGCTATAGAAGGTTTAAAAAAATTTAGGTAGCTGTTATCGAAATTTAAAATTTACTCTTCATTTTTACAAAATGTGAAATATGTCAAAATCCTTAGAATTTAGGTATATGCTTCTTTAATAAAACTCACCTTTATTTTTTTCTTAGAATCCGAAAATCAATTAATATATAGGGTGTTCCATTAGAAAAAACACAACTTTGATGTGTAACTTTTTTTGGGTACACCCTGTATAATTCTGTATATTTTTATAAAATGCTTTCAGTTAACCTACATATGCTGCCAAAAGTTCATTTCGATATATCGGCGTATGAGAGGCACCACTCTGTATGTTTAAGACTTATTACTAAAGATGGCCGTCAAGAAATTTATAATCGCTCTATTACTTTCAGATGACCCCCTATATACTCAACTTCAATGCTTATTCTCTCTACCGCCATTACCTATTCACACTTTTTTTCACAGACACCGTACATTAGCTATAATTTTATTTCGGCACCACCCTGTATTTGTTTCAGAACCCTAATCTTCTGGCTGTAGGTTTTTACAACGGACACGTTATAGTGATTAACGTTTCAAACAGGGAACTACAAATCGTATCAGAAAACACGCCATCTTTCGAAGCGGTTTGGTGTGTGGTCTGGAGAATTAGCTTTGATGAATCCAGAGAAAAGGAACAAGTTTGTGCATCTTCTGATGACGGTAGAGTCATTTTCTACACCGTAGAGAACACTCTAGAATTGCAGGTATAGACTGTATACCGTTGGAAACGTAATAGATCCCATGCAAATTTGGAACTCAATTTTAGAGAATAATTCTATTTAGGTTTATTGAAGAGCACTAAAACCCACATTCAAAAGAATAACTTTAGATATTTTTGATTAGCCCGTTTACGAGTTATCGCCGATTTCTTTTTAAATATTTCTCCTTTTTTATGGCCCTGTATTTACTTATGAGCACCAATCAAGGTCTTGTCAAGGTAAAAGATACCTGTCAAATGAAGTTGTCATTTAATAGTACCTAAATTAATAAGTTATTGAATATTGTAATAATACTATAATTAACCTTGTAATTGATTACTATATTTTACTTTAATTCATATTAATTTGTATTTATAAATACATCTTTAAGATTTCCGATGTAGGAATGAGTTTTCAATAATAATAAAGCACTAAATAGGTAAATTTCTGAATTGACAACTTCATTTGACAGTTATCTTTTACCTTGACTGGTGCTCATAAGTAAATACAGGGCCATAAGAAAGGAGAAATATTTAAAAAGAAATCGGCGATAACTCGTAAACGGGCTAATCAAAAATATCTAAAGTTATTCTTTTGAATGTGGGTTTAGGTGCTCTTCAATAAACCTAAATAGAATTATTCTCTAAAATAATTAGGGAAGCCAATAATTGACCCCATTAAAATTTACATGGGATTTTCCGGATGTCCGGCTCGACGATGCAACACCCGGTATATTTTGTTACAGACCCAGCAAATGATGAGAGTGGCCAAAGCCGATGGCAAGCTAAAAGGCTACAACTCGATGAGGAAGTGCTCCAATCTGAGCATCCCAGTATCCAGATACGCCGGTGCCAGGTTCATAAGATGGCATCCAGTCGATCCGAACATCTATCTAGTGGGTACCAACGAGGGAGTGGTTCACAAATGCTCCACGAACTATTTGAACCAGCATTTAGATCTGTTTCTTACCCACGATGGGCCAATCAATGAACTGAAGTATTCCCCGTTTACTGACAAGATCTATGCCAGTTGTGGCGATGATTGGCATCTAAGGATATGGGCAGAAGGTACTAGAAACAGTTTTTACTTTTTATAAAATTCTCATTCTTATGACAAAATCATTTCAGGAATATCAGAACCTTTACACGAACTATTTGTCAGCATGCTCTCAGTACAAGCGATGGATTGGAGTCCAACACATTCTACAATTCTGGCTACAGTCTATGGCAAAACCATTCTACTGTGGGACTTCCAAAGAAAAGTGTGGAAGCCCCAATCAGAAACTCAATCACCGTCAAATTCCAGAAATACCATCGTTCAGTTTACTAGGAGCGGTAGATGTTTGGTTGTGGGAGATGTTGAAGGCAATGTCCATGTTTTTTCTCTGGAAGACATGCCTTTTCCTGCGTTTTTCCAGGAGAATTTACTTTTCGAAGCTTTGCAGAAAAGTTTGACCACCCATCCTGATTTAGTTGACAAACTAAAGAAACTTAGAAAATCAGGTACTACTGGTTCAGTAGATGATAAACACAAATCTTAGATTTATAAGTTTTTACAGTTATTTATTGTTGTATTAATAGAAATAAAAGGATTATATTTTGATTTTTTAATATTTATTTAGGAAAAAAATAATATCGATATTAAAAACTATCGATCCGTGCTAGCCATTCCTATTTCTCTGACAGTCCGCCCACAGAATATCTATCTGTGGTCTGCTTTAACCAAACTTTTTCTGTTTACCGAATTCAGTAATTTTCATTTATTAGTGCTTTTTAAATGGTTTAATAAACATTTTCTCATAATATCAGCAATAGAAATGTTATCCCAAACAGCGGTAGTGCGTAATCTACCGCAACAAAACCTTTTAAACGAGTTAAACGTATTTATAACAGGAACATCCAAATCCAGCAAAATCAAAACAGTAGAACTAACCAAAACTGCTTTATTACTCTTAAGAAAACTACCAGCTTGTAGAGGAGCTGTTTTTAATTATTTCTGTAAAGTATTTGATACAGCTTCAGCCAATTATATACAAGGAATAGAGGTATTTGTAACACCACTTTTTTTAAACTTTTTATTATGTTATTATGGCTTTTCTTAGACTGAAATCAAGACCGGGAAACTACCAAATCTACCTGAAACTGATGAGTTAGTTATTTCAGAGATTCACCTTACTTTAGTATCATTAATATCAGAAAATTCAATAGCTTGGGCCCCAACTATCTGTACATGGTCTTTGGAACTTCTTGGTGAAATTTCAACTAAGTATTCGGGAAGAGCTCATGTTTCTTCAAGTACTTACATTAAAATACTTGATTAAGTAGTGTTTTTAACAAGTTTTTTCAGGTTTAAATGAGACACTACAACTATGGATGGCCTGCAGAGCTACAAGAACTTTGGTCGATATAAATACAAAGTGTTTATCAAGCTTAATACATTCAGACACCGAATCTTGTATTAGTGCATTGTTAGGTAAGTTAAATATACTGAGTGATCATGAAAACTTGTTACACATATTGTAGACACTTCAGTTAAACACTCCCCATACTTTGACTGGGTTGTGGCTCACGTCGGGAGCTGTTTTCCCAATACTGTAATCACAAGGGTTTTATCAGTGGGTTTGAAGGATTTTTCACAAAATCGATCATTTGATCAAGTAAGAAATTCACCAAAACTTCGATCAGTTGTTGGAATTTTGGGGCATTTAGCTGGAAGTCATGCCCAAGACATCAGAGAAGCTATTGTTGAACTTTTTCAGGTAAATATTTGAATTTGAATTTTTAGTAAGGTTATATTTGAATGTGTTTTTTTTTAGTGGAGTTTAAGAGAAACTTTTGATGATTCTGATTTGAGTAGATTACAAAAAAAAGCTACTGTACCGTATATTTTACAATTAACAGATTTATCAAATACTTTGTTAACTTCTATATGTAGTGAAACAAAGAATTTGTGTAAGTATTTTAAAAATATAGTGAAATAAAATTGTTTTCTATTGATATTTTGTATAAATGCAGTGACAGTGGATGTTATTGGAAAGTTATACCACTTTATTGAAGAATGGATAAAATATTTTGGAACTCCTGAAGCATTAGAGGTTTGCTTTATTTTTTTTTTTGGTAGTTTTACTTGTAATTTATAGGGATTATGCTTTTAGGACCATATAATATCGTTAATACTTCGATGTGAGACTGAAGGTGTACAAATTATAGGATTAATTCTTAATTGTACACAACTAACTAAATTAAAAGGCTGTAATGACGTTATCAAGACAGAAATTAGGGAAAAAGCTTTGGAATTGTTAGGTAAAAATAAATTTAACGCTAATTTTATTTGATTTAATATTTATAATATGTATAACATAAGCATTTTATTTTTTTAATTATAAACGTTTCTATAAAAAAACAGTTTCTGCTGAACTTTTGGCACAAAACATTTTAAAATTTATGATATCAGTTTAATAATTATCTAGTCAACATATTTATCTTTTGTCAATGATTTACATCTATTGATTATATTGGTTTGAACCTTTTTGACGTAATAAATGGCGGAAATTTATATTTTTTCACTCCGTAGTTTTATACAGGGACAGAATACAAGACGACAGAATTTTTAGAAAAAAAATAATGAAAATGTCCCTCTGTTTATTATAAAAACGTTAGACCATAAAACGCATAGACCCTTTTTATAATTAAAATTTTGTAACCAACACTATTAAAATTTTACGTCACTTCAGGGCAAAATAATACAATTTTCATTTTTTTAAACTAATAAAACTAGAGAGCTCTTAGGTAAAAACAATGTATATATTTGGAATGAAATCATGTCAGGACACAGAGATTATTATGAATTAAAAAAAATGTGTTTCAGTGGCATATCTGTATTTTTTTTCTTTATTCTATCTTTTCTTTAGCTCTTTTCCTATTTCTTTTAAACTGTTTTTTATTTAATTTATTTTTTCTTTTTGGTTGAGATAGGATTACGACATACTTTAAAATTCTTGTAATATTTGTTTATAAACACCAACAAAATTTTAGAAAACAGTCGAAAAATATCCTCTGTTTATTATAAAAACGTTAGACCATAAAACACATAGACCGTTCTTATATTCGTGGTCCTGTCACCAACACTATTATAATTTTACGTCACTTCAGGGCATAATAAAACAGTTTAATTCTTTTTAACTAATAAAATCAGAGAACTCTTAGGTAAAAACCAATGTATATAGTTGGAATGAAATTAGATCAGGACTCAGAGATATTGTAAATTAAAAAAAAAGGTGTTTCAGTGGCATATCTGTATTTTATTATCTCTATTCTATCTTATTTTTTTATTTCTTCTTTTAAACTGTTTTTTATTTTATTTATTTTTTCTTTTTGGTTGAGATAGGATTACGACATACTTTAAAATTCTTGTAATATTCGTTTATAAACACCAACAAAATTTTAGAAAACAGTCGAAAAATATCCTCCGTTTATTATAGAAAACGTTAGACCATAAGACACATAGACCCTTTTTATAATTACTATCCTGTAACCAACATTATTAAAATTTCACGTCACTTCAGGGCAAAATAATACAATTTAATTATTTTTAAGTAATAAAGCCTGGTTACTCTTAAGTAAAAATAAATATAACTCTTATTTTACAATAATTGTTGTTTTTTTCAGAAAATATTCTTCAAGAAATTGACGAGTCTGTACGAAACGGACACCCTGTAGAAGTCCTGAATTCCTGCTCTAAAGATATACAGGAGTTGAACAACATGCTTTTGAGCCAGAATAAGATTGTTTCTGAGGTCGCCAGTCGTCTCGTTTTGTGTTTAGGTAATTTCTCTTATTGTACAGGATGTCTCACTTTTGTGTGTTTTTTTTGCGTGTCTCGTTTATGAGTAAAAATGTACAAAGATGTGGTTGTTACATAAGTGTAGTCCTTTTTTTATGAAACTAACGATTCTACACACAGATTTGACCTACCCTTCTCAGTTCTTATACATATACAGGGTTGTTCACCACATACGACACGGAGTATTGTAGCTAAACGATTAGATTTTTACAAATTATAAGTTTTGGGTTCGTTGAAGGACTATTAGAGCTACAATTTAAAAATATTTTTACAAGATATAGAGTGTCCCAAATAAATAAAAAATATCAAAGTTGTATTTTTTTAAATGGAACACCCTGTATATTATTACATTTTTAGTTTCTACGATTAAAATAAAGGTAGATTTGATTAAGGTTTACCGCACTTTAATCTTACCGTTTTTGAAATATTTTCAATTTTGTGAAATTGGAGTCAAAATTTTAAGGCTTCATTTCTCCAAGGGTATCAAAGTTTTTAATACTAAATATTTACTGAAGTTTATTTATTGATCAATTATTGTGTTGCAATAATAAAAATTATACTACCTTATACAGAGTGTCTAAAATTTTATTTTAAATAATTACTAGCTTTAAACGGCCATAACTTGTTTAATTTAAATGGAACACCCTGTATATTTTATGAAAACCAGATGCACAATTTAAGTGTCTATCAAATTGTACTATACCATTTTTTTACCTATCTCTTCAAGTTTCCGTAGAAAATGCATTTTCTTGTAATTTAGAACTTATTTATCAATATTATACCCATGGAATATTGACATTTTAGAATCAACAACATGGCCGCAAGTTGCTAACCTAATAAAATTAACACTAGAAAAGCCCGCGGGAACCGTCAAATTCAGAGTTATTCGTTTCACAGACTATATTGCTATATTTACTAATGACATCGAAATTAATTTATTTAGAGGTCATCGATATTTTGCTATAAACTGGCTAAATATTTTTGAATATTATTTTAATTGTTTTATTCTTTGACATTGTAAACATTTATAAATGTTTATTTTAACAATAAGACTGACAATATTATTTGTATAATGTTTTGTATTATCTTTTGTTTGTTTGTTTGTTTGTGTACCTTGTTTTTTTTTTTACTTTGTTTGTTAGTTTACCTTTGTCTACAAATTGAAACATTTTTTGACAATGAAGGCTTTTATTTATTTATTTATTTAAACATATTTTTAGGTTATATCAACCCTTCGATACTGATCAGATCGGTTACATTTCTCCTGGAATTCGCCACGACCCCCGAACAGTTAGCCCTAGTTTTTAAAATCCTCTGCAACGAGTTGGTTGACAAAACCGTGCCCCCGTACAGCGAAAAAGGGGGCCATTTCTCCGTGGTTTTGGAGCAGATTCTGAGCCGGCACATTCAGCAATTTTCCCTGTCGAACGAGGAGACTTTGGACTTGTCTCAGATGTGGAAAAATTTGCTGATGTTGCTGGAATGGGAAGAGAGCGAGACGGTTGCGATTTTGAAGGCCAGGATTGTGTCGAGGGCGATCAGAGAGAATTTTATTCATTTGACGTCGGTGTTCTCGAGCGAGGTGCATCACATGCATATCGTGGCGGATATTCTGGATAAGACGCAGATTCCTTCAGTTGGTTCGTCGTATAGTCCGCCGATAAGGGTGATTTTGAATTTGACTCAGTCTGCTGTGAATTATTTTTTTGCCTGCTGTAGGGATGAAGGTAAGTTTTTTCTGTTTTTTTTTTATTTTTTTTTCCTTTTATTTTTTTTTTTTTTCTTTTTTTTTTTTTTTTTTTTTTTTTTTTTTTTTTTTTTTTTTTTTTTTTTTTTTTTTTTTTTTTTTTTTTTTCCTTTTCTCTTCTTTCTTATGAACTGTTTAATGGAAGTCTTTATACTCTGAAAAAAAGGTTCGACATTTTTTTAATTGTTGCAATCTTTGTTTATAAACACTAACAGAATTTTTAGAAAAGAAAATGAAAATAAGCGCTGTTTTATTATAAAAACATTAGACCATGTAGCACATAGACACTTAACTGTAATCGTTGTACTGTAAACACCAACAGAATTTTTAGAAAAAAAAAACAATACCATACGATCGAAAAAAAACGGCGTCAAAGACGGCTGGGAATGACAATCAATGGTAATTTTGAGTAGTTCAAGCTCTAGACGTCATTACTTGGGCCTTTTACTTTTTTTTCTTTTTGTTTTATTTTTTTTTTTCCTTTTCTCTTCTTTCTTATGAACTGTTTAATGGAAGTCTTTATACTCTGAAAAAAAAGGTTCGACGTTTTTTTAATTGTTGCAATCTTTGTTTATAAACACTAACAGAATTTTTAGAAAAGAAAATGAAAATGAGCGCTGTTTTATTATAAAAACATTAGACCATGTAGCACATAGACACTTAACTGTAATCGTACTGTAAACACCAACAGAATTTTTAGAAAAAAACAATACCATACGATTCAAAAAAAGGGGGCGTCTAAGACGGCTGGGAATAGCAATCGATAATAATTTTGGCTAAGTCAAGCTCTAGACGTCATTACTTGGGCCGTACTCTTCGTTATTTTTAATATACAGGGTGTCCCAGAAATAAGTGCAGATATTTTAACTGGTAGTATAGTTCAACCCCAGAAACACGCCTTATTGCACTTATTTCTGGGACACCCTGTATAAATAGCGTTAATTATACAATATAGTCGTATAATTGGTGTTAATTTTGACAAGTTTTCCGTCAATTTTTAGTAAATGACATCTAGAGATTGACCTCGCTAAAATTATCATCGATTATCATTCCCCAGCCATTTTTTTTTCGATGACACAGTATAAGTTCTGTTTTTTATAAAAAAAAACATTAGACCATAAAATACATAGACACTTTCTAGCGTATGATCGAGAAAAAACGGCGTCAGCAATGGCTATGGAATGAAGATCGCTGTCATTTTATATGTAAATTTATATGGGAAATGTCATCGATGTTCATTTCCCAGCCAACTGGACGCCGTTTTTTTTTTCGATCATACGGTATAATCGTTGTACAGTAACCATCACAGTTATCATTTTACGTCACTTTAGGGCAAAGAAATTTAATTTTCACTCTTTTTTCTCTTTATTTATTTTTTTTTCTTTTTCTTTTTTTTTTTCTTTTTCCATTTTTTTTTCGATGATACAGTATAAGTTCTCTTTTTATAAAAAAAAAACCTTTAGACCATAAAATACATAGACACTTTCTGTAATCGTTGTACTGTAACCAACACAGTTATAATTTTACGTCACTTTAGGATAAAGAGGTTTAATTTTTCTCTTTATTTATTTTTTTTTCTTTTACTTTGCTGTTCCCTATTTCTTCAAAATTGTTTTTTTTTTATTTTAATTATATTTTTTTGTTGCAATTGTTGCGCTATTTGTTTAATAAAACACCAACAGAATTTTTAGAAAATAAAATAATATAAGCTCACTTTTTAAATATATACCATAGACCATTTAACACATAGACACTTGCTGTAATCGTCTCGTACTTGTAACCAACATAATCATTATTTTACGTCACTTTAGGGCAAAGTAATTTAATTTTTTAATAACAAATAAAAACAATGAAATACATTTTTCTTCATTTATCCAACGCTTATTTCTTTTTAACTGTTTGTTTTTTATTATTATTTTTTTTTGTTGAGATATGAATTCATACTTTCATTGTTGCTTTGTAAACACCAATAGAATTTTTAGGTTTGAAAAAAATGAAAATAAACTCGGTTTTATTACGAAATCATTAGACCATGTAACACATAGACACTTACTTGTAACCAACACGATTATAATTTTACGTCACTTCAGGGCAAAATAATACAATTTAATTTTCTTTCGCTAATAAAACCAGGGAAAAAGTTCTATATTTAACAAAAAAGACCATATTATACCACCTAGACACACAAACTTTAGTCGATTCTCTGTAGCCAACATAGTTTATTATTACATAATAAGTGAAAATATATTTTTTTAGGAACTTCTACGAAATTTAGGGGTTTTAAAAAATCCTGTAATATACTGAAAAGGTTGTGTATTTATTCAAAAGTGGCTAAAGTTTTGGCCCTTAGGGAACTCCTTGAAAGGGCCTTATTTAAAAATGACAACGTGTTATTTGGTGCGAAAAATCATTCGGTGCACGATGACAATGAAAAAATGCTTCTAAAACAAAACAAAAAAATCGTAAGTCTCATGAGAAGAACTATAGAAGAGTTATATTCACAAAATTTGCTTTTAGAACAAGACTATACCCCTAACCAAGCATTCTACCGTCTTTAATGGAGGTATTATAGGAAAAGGTAAAAGAAAAGCCACAAATCAAGACACAATAAGTGCAGACGTAATTGCTTTTAACACTACTGAGTTGATAAACGTTTTGAAAGCGTGCTGTGCCCTACAGGAAGAGAATAAGTACTCTGAAATTTCGCTGGACAGTATGACGCTTCTTTCTTTATTACTGGTTCAGTTTGTCAGTCCGGACGTCATGTATAATGGTCTACCATGGCCTGAGGAAGAATTTTCTAAGGTTTTTACATTATATTCACTATTTATTCAAAAAAACACACCCTGTATATATTTTGTAATGTTATATTTTATTCAGATGTGCTATTTTTAATTTTACATTATAATCGAATTATACAATCCTTAGAGCATAAAACACATAGATACCAAAATTCGTCGTCGTTCTGTAGCCAACATATCGAGTCACATATAAAGAAAAATCCAAATTTTAGGTTACCATCGAGAGGGATCTCTTTATAAAACGTATGTTCACCAACACACCTCTCCTGTGGGATCTTCTGAGTTTTGTGGCTGTCAACAGGCCAGCTCTGTGCTACTGTTCGGTGCTGATCAGAGCTCTGACAGCTACTCTAATCCACCAATGGAAAAGTATGGGAGATCAAGCCAAAACTGACGGAAACAAGCACTACAACGAGTTGACGGAAATGACAGTTAAAGTTTTGGATGTCATGGCGTTAGGGCAGCTTTTGCCGCCGCCACTGAGTTCAGTCAGGGACGTCCTGCCGTCCTTAAGATGCTGCGAGGTGAGATTTACACAAAAATCATAATATTTTGGTGTTTTTTAATTTTTAACCTTATATTATATAAGACTATGAACCACATAGATGCGTATTTTTAACATAATTCATTATTGTTGCCTCAGGTTTATTTTATATAATTTCTTCTTGTTTATTTAATAACTATTTTTATACAAAGTATGTATGTGTATGTTGTAGCCAACATAAATTATGATCATCACATCAGGGCAAGAAGTATAGTAGTATTTTTAATTTGAACAAAGCTTTTTTGAGGTTATGTTGTTAAAAATGTTTATCTTGGATCTTTCTTCAGATAGTGGATATACTAAGGGACTGTATTTGGTGTTACATGAGAGATCACATACCTTCACCTGCTTTATTCAACTGTGATCAAAACGGGATTCACTGGAGAGATCCAATCACTGCAAGACCTCCGGAAAGGTACATCAACACCTTAAGAATCATCATGCAGAGAAACATTGAATCTGTGGGTCCTATTTACGCACAGATGTTCATCAATATACCAAGACAAGAATAAGGTTTGTTGTTATTAATTTGAAAAATTCAGTTAATTATTATTACGGTCGAAAAAAAAATCGGTGTCATAGTGGCCTTTGAAACGAGAATCGATGATAATTTTTGTCAGGTCGGCTTCTATATGTGTTATTTTATAAAAATTAATAGAGACACCTGTCAAAAATCTGATATTTATTGGAAAAAGACTACTATGACGCCATTTTTTTTCCTCGTTAATACGTTAGGTTCACACAATGAATGGAAACAGTTGTTTTTATAATATTTATTTTTTAATAAAAATAAAATACGTTTTTTTTTGTAAATATTCACGTTTATTGTAAAAAATAAAAATAATAATATAATTATAATAACTATATTTAATAATTATTAACTTTCTTAATATCAGTCTCATCATACTTTGATAAAGTCCATTTCAATACACCCCCGTACGTCATTCTTTTTTTTGACAGTTTTACTGTCAAAAATGTTCATTATTATACACTCTCTCATAATTAGAGGACTTGATACAAGCATAGAGGAACTCTGTTCACATTTTTATTCCGTGCAAACATCCAATACAGCGTTGCCAATTCTGTCTAAGAACTCTTTGTTTTGAAGAGTATTGTAGCCCTATTTTAAGGAAATGTTAAAAAGAATAATAATATCTAAAATTCAAATTATGTAGTTAAGTTTATACGACAAAAAAATTGAAATAACTATTAACTGCATAATTTTTAATCAGTTTTTTAGTGAGTTATTAGTTTAGCAACATCGTTTATCTCGCGTTGTATTTATAGTAGGTATTGTTGATATATGTTTGACGTTTAGGGAGGTAATCATTCCTGTGGTAATCGTGTGTTTTAGGTTCGTGAAATGATCGTACCATTCGGGTGTCTTCGTTACCGTGAGATTTACAAATTATAGTGTTATTATTTGTCAATGTCGCGTTGCCGAAGACACCCGAAGAGTCATTTTGGGTTTCAAGATCATTTTATAGCCTTAAAAGACACATTTACCGTTCATTTTTTTATATTCAAGCGTTTTATGTCTTTTTTAAGTAAACTATTAGTTATTTCTCTATATAAAGGACTAAATTTAGCCTTTAAAATGCTTCAACAATGCGAAGCTTGTCAAATTAATGAAATATTATACATCCTGTATTGTCATTTCACATGAGAATAAATACAGACGATATATATGTCAAAATTTCGACGTATTTGAGAACCTTTAGGGCAATTTTCCACTCTCAATAATCGTGTAGGTCCACCTCTAAGTTGAGAAACTCGTCGTCAGACAAAAATTTCCACCTGTAACCTAGGATTTGTGAGATTTCTTTCTCTACTGATTCGTAGGACTGACTGTTCAGTTCAAGCCATGCGTAGAAGTCATCAGTCCATTCGACACCTTTGGGCCAATCGCATTGCTCGATCACGTCGGTGCCTCTTACGTGGAACCATTTTAGATTTCGCCCTGTATACGCCAACAGTAGAACTGTCGATGTTGAAATTCTTTCAGTTATTATCTGAAATTAAATAATTTTTTTATTGGTATAATTAATAAAAGACTACACCTACCAGGGTTGAGAGATAAGTACAAGTTCTGACCAACATAAAATAACTTTCATCGTTCCTAGAATCAAACAGTTTTGAAACTTCAAACTCTGGTACATTTAAATGTCCATATATTCGTAGATCTTCTCTAAAAACGTCTATTGTGTTGAGAAGTATGTCTGCTTTAACCTAAAATTATACTCAGTTACCCAAAATGATATTTTTTATAAATATTTAGCTATATAATTTACCCCAATCAATGGTGAATTATAAACAATACTCCTGACAGGTGCCCCTTCTTGCCATACCACAGATCTGTACTTCTTGCTTTCCACCTCCAGATGTACGTTGAGTCGTGGATTGGTAGTCCTGACTTTCTTCCAAATCCTTTGACATACCGGCTTGATAAAACCCTCATCTATGGTGTATCGGTTCTGGACTAGATGTAGATGTTTCAAGTGTGTGAATCCCAGCATTTCTGCCAAGTCGTTGCCGATATTTTGTGGACTAATATGCAGTTCCTAGAGAGGGTTAGAATAGTCTATTTTATTATTGTTCTGTTATTTTTATAAATAAATCAAATGATGGCTCTATAACTAAACTTACAAAAAGGTTCAAAAATACACCAACATGAAGTATCTGATACGGTACTTTCGTCGTATTAACCAGCCTCAGTTTCTTCATACTCATCTGACACATTTGACATACTTCGTCCAACAAAAACTGAGCCTCGTTAGGTTCCAACATCAAATCCACCAACTCTAGTGACTCCATTTTCTTCAAGTTACCCATCAGTCTCTTCAGTGCAGCCAATAGTTTGCCGCCTGTGCCAAAAAGCCTGATTCTTTCGTCATCTTCTTCAGTGGTCATGTTGCAAGGGAACGTGAACTTGAGGTGGCGCACGTTGCCACCTATTCCCAGTACAATGTTGTCTTTTTGTTCTTGTTGCTCGGTGTACCAAGATAGGATGTTGACAAAGTCGTAGAGGTTGGTAAAACTGAACATTGGTTTGATTATTAGGGTTTTTATGTGTTTGCCTATACTGGAGAGGCACAGGGAGGTTCTCAGGTGGTCTAGGACGTACTGTATAATACAGGATAAAAGAAAAAATATTATTTTTATTACTATTATATGGAGTTATATACAAGATGGTCCATTAGTGCGAGAAAGTTCAAAATCGTCGTTGTTGACACAGATATGCCAAAATTTTTTTTTATATAAATGTTGAATGGTTTATAAAGGATCATATCCTAAAAATAACTTGTTGTATACAGGGAGTTTCAAAAAAGAAGTAATGGTAAAGTTGTAAGTTTTTTCAAAATGTACAGATTTGCATTCAGCATAAAATTCTGCATATAGTACACTATTTTTGTTTGAAGTACTGTGCGGGGTTGCCATGATATTTCTTATTTACTAAAACTTTGATTAAAAAGGTATATCCGAAAAGTGGTAAAAACCTGGAGTGAATTTAAGTTTATTAATACTTGGCTATATTTTTTCTTAAACACCAAAAATAACAGAACAAATCCGTGAAGGAAATCTCTCATTATCTTATACAGAGTATTTTTTATGGCGTAACCACTATTGCAATATTTATTATGCTATATCTTTTTTTTAAATATATATTATTTCTGTATATTATTTCTTTCAGATGTGGAATTAAAAAATAAACATTTTTTGTATTTTAAGTGTTCTTAATTTTCTTTTTCAACGGTAATTTTTTATGAAAAGCCACCTCATGTTTTTGCCTTATATTTTATTATTGAAAGAGCCATATGTAATATAATGCCGTAAATATCTGCTAAACCGTTAAAAACTTAGGAACACTTTAAATCCAAAAAATGTTCGTTTTTTAATTCTGCATTTAAAGGAGAATAATATATAGGGTGTTGTTTAGGTATCCCAAAAAAATTTGTGTAAAATAATGAGTTTGCCTTCAAGGATTTATTCAGTTATCTTTTTGACGTTTAAAAAACCTACCTAAGTATTAATAAAACTGAATTCACTGTAGGTTTTACCCATTTTTCCGATACAGTTTTTTTTAACCAAATTAGAAAATGCATGGCAACACCGCGTAGTCCTTCAAATAAAAATAATATACTATATGGAGAATTTTATGCTAACTTCCTGTATGGGAAAACTTTTTTTTTCGTATCTTCGTCAACAACGACGATATCGGACCCTCTGGCACTTATGGACCACCCTGTAGCTATTTTAAAGATTTTTTTCTGATGACAAATAAGTAAATTATCAAAGAACTACCTGCCATCCAAGGTAGTAATTGAATTTGCTCCTTGTAAGAGTACTGTCTTCCAAAATAAACTGTTTCCAAACGTAAGGTAGATGAAATGCTCTGTACCAACTCCTACACACTAAGCTGGCGTAGTACCTTTCCCTGATTGACAGGTAGGAGAATATTTCTTCCAACAATAAGTCAGGCAATACATTCCAAGAAGAATATTCTTGATTTTCCGAATTTTCATCTACGTCTATGTCGATAAACCTGGCTAGAATGTATGGGATAAACTCTTTATTTTATATTTTTTTTCGTTTAAGTATATTACTCTCAGAAAGATAAGTAAATGTAGAGATGGTCTAAAAACAACTCTATGTATACTTATTTCTCTGGGATTAAACAGTAAACAACAGAATATGTATTGTCATATCAAATAATATTGGTCTGACTTTATACTAGTCTTATGGCAGACATGAATTGTATTGGCATTCAGAGATATAGAGTTAGTACAGGTAGGTCTACAGGGGGAGAACAATAAGTAATAATAACAGAGTTGATAGCTTCTAATTTGTTTAAGTTTAATGGCTCGTTGTATTTCTAAAATAAAAATTATTTAAATATTATCTTTTCTAACCGCGAATATCTCTATATCTCTGCATTTAAGAAAACAACCAACGACAACAACAAAAACACAGACTTTTTTCTCTGGGAACGCCACAGATGTATGATGGTATTCCCCTCTGTATCTACGGGGTGAACCAAGAAAACTGAAAAAACCACAGATGAGATTTTTGATACCTTGACTACCACTCGCACTGGGTTCTGGAAAAACTACAGATATATGATGGGATTCCCCCCTGTATCTACGGGGGGAACCTAAACACTTAAACACCACAGATGAGTTTCCGATACCTTGACAACCACTAGAGCTGGGCTTAGAGCTGTACAATTCGTACCAGAGTTTTTTGCTAAAAGAGTGGTTTCTGTCGGTTTTAGCCTTCTGCGATTGAACAACAGCTAAAAGTGTTTAAAAAGAAACATTTTTATGATTGTTTTGAAATTTTAAGAAATTTTTTTCTTAGTGGAAATTCATAAATTTATTTTGTACACTCTATAGCACCTATTTTTACTTATATCGTTTTAATAAGGACTTAAAACTAACACAACAGTTTTTTGTAATACTCTAAGATAAAGAGCGTTACTCTATAGTTGGCTCACCCTGTATAGGCACAGTTTAAAGAATACATACCAGTTGGTCCACTCTAAGGAATTCTATTGTTATTTTGACTTTAAAGGCGGCCCGTGACCCTTCGAGGTGACAAAAAATTTGTACGTTTACCGGGTGCAGCGGAAGTGCTATTATCAGTCAGAACGCTGGCCGTATACGAGGGATCAACTAAAAATACTAAGGAATTTTAATGTAGCAAGTAGAAAAATAAAAATATAGTACTAGTTTTATTGATTAACAGCATATCTGTGGTATCCTACAATTGACATTGGCAAGACAAGTTGTATCCAAGTACTTTTTTTGAAACGATATAAACTCGGATATAAAAGTCCATGTGTAATTTGAATTAAAAAAAAAACGGTTACCTGAACATTTATCCCCCCCATTTCTGGATACTCATCGTGTTTCCCATGTGCTCGTCAATTGTTATATTTACTGTTACATAAAATTTAGTAAAAACTCTGAAAAACGTGTCAATAGTAGAACAAGTTGTATGCACGTATTTTTATTTACCTGACGATAAAATTTGGACTTTCCAGGTAGGTAGTTAAAGTTAAATACAAACATCTAAAAAGTAAAATATGCTATTTAAAAAAATGCAAATATCTTAAAAAATAATTTAATATGCACTTTGCAAACCGGTAAATACTGCAAAATCCAAAACATATTAGTAAAGTATCTACTACTACTCTAAAATAATGAACTAATTGTTAAAAGTAAATATTTTGTGCATATTTCGAGTAAAATCGTGTCTTAATTTATATGTATATTTTTAAAACAATTTATTGATAGTTAGGTTTCCATAATTATAATATATAGTCTGTGAAACGAATAACTTTGAATTTGACAGTTCCCGCGCGCTTTTCTAGTGTTAATTTTATTAGGTTAGCAACTTGCGGCCATGCTGACGCAATGCCGTCTCTAATAGAACAGCCCCGGAGTGAGATTTATGACGTCACGCTAGTTAAATACTACGGATTAATAAATATGTTATAAAATACATGGAAAAAATTTCCCTCGTATTTTTTAGGTTCGTATTAAAACTGATATAGTTTACATGAAATATACATAATATACAGTTAATAACTTTTTTAATAATATTAATTCATTATTATTTATTGTTTTTGTTTATTTTTAATATTTTGTTTATTTTTTAAAATTATTATTCTTAACACTAACTATCTACATTGACTATGGCTGAAATCGTACTCCATCCTAACCTAAATCCCAAGAAAATCAAAAATTTTAGAATAATTTTACATATAAAATGACAGCGATCTTTATTTTATAGCCATCGCTGACGCCTTTTTTCTATGATATTGTATTATTTGCAAATATAATTTTTCGAACATTGATACTTGCAAAATATACATATAAATTTTGTGAATGCAAATAATAATACATCACTATTAGTAGATATTGAATGTTTTTTGTTAAATTAGATCGATTTTCAAACACCAAAATTTAAAATATATTTTACATTTTACCCATTATCTTACGTACCTATTCATTATTTGTATATTGTAAAACATTTGCTGCATTTGTATGGTTTATAATTTATTTGCCAAAGTATTTATTACTATAAAGAGGTATATATATTGTATTTATTAACTGTATATTATATATATTTCATGTAAACTATATCATTTTTAAAATACAAACCAAAAATACGAGGAATAATTATGTTTTCCATGTATTTTACAACATATTTATTAATCCTTAGTATCTAATTAGCGTGACGTCATAAATCTCGCTCCGTGGCTGTTCTATTAGAGACGGCATTGGTTTGATATTTAGAAATGTCAAACGCTGATGACATTTTACTTTTGGCAATTATGACATTTCGGGTTGATTTTTGCAAGAAGGTATTGAAGAACTGTCACTTGTTTTCTTATTTTCCTTTTCTATTTCACGAAAGTAAAAAGAGTTACCTATCTGATTCGTTCAGGTACTCAATTTAAAGAATATCAGTAACTTTTTTGACAGAGGGATTTTATATTTGCCATATTGGTAAAAAATAACGGTCAAAATTCAAAGTTATTCATTTTATAGACTATACTTAATATGTCTAATACTTTAATTATTATATACTTAATATCCTATACTATATAAACACATACCTTCCTTAATCTTTTGGGCACCTAAAGAACGATATATTGTCTGTCATTCTACTTTCACAACCATCCACTGCACAAATATTTCTAGTAGACATTTTATTCACAATTCGAACAAAACAACTAAAACACTATTTTTGGTTCACCCTATGCGTCGGACCGAAAACAAAACTAAAATAAACTTGGAACGCTGTGTACACGTCGAGCAACGGATGTAGACTAACCCAAGTCTACAAGACCGGCGGGAGGAATTTTGATGCAGGCGAAGAGTGGGTCAACTGATATATTTATATTCTTTAAACTGTGGTATAGGTCTCAGGGTGTGCTAAAAGTTTAGAACACAAAGGTATACTCACGGTAGGACTGTAGTAGTGAGAAAAACTTTTTACTGGTACTTTTTTGGCATTAGAGATACCCTATGAGCAGAGAAAACAGCACACAAAAAAATATGAACATAGATACAAGGGAGTTATATGATCCAGATACTTTTACTAAAGGAAGAAATGCCTATAGAATATAGAAATAGACTATCTTTGGATGGAGTAACATACTTATGAGATACCGAGTCAGACAAAAAACTTTTCAGCCAAAGAATATTATGGTGAAAAAAGGAAATGAGGAAATGACAAATCCTACCTAACACAAAAAACCTTTTACACAAAACATGTAAAAATGTCTACACACAAGGTTTACTTGATACGATTTGAATGGACAGGTAAAACTTTAGGTGTAGACAGACCCTAAAAATCTTAAGAGATTTTTCACTAAATGATACGAAAAATCTTCGGAGAAAAGCCATATTATTTGGAACGACAAAAAATAAAGTAAACAATGAATTGACAGTGTAAAAAAGGGTAAAAAAAAGCGTCAACTCACCCTCTTCATTTTGATCTACCACCCAGCCGCCGGAGTACATTTTCAAATGCCAGTAAACATAACTTAGCTAGAGGCTTTCCACCTATTTTTATTACTTTACGTAATAACAAGTTAGTTCTAAAATTAGCTCCAATATCCCAGTACTTCTCAGTTCGTTTATAGACGTTTTTAAAATGCGACGTTTTGATGTAAGACTACGAAAAAGCTGCATTTAACTCAAAATCCCATCCAAAAAAAATACCAAGTCTTGCAATGCAATTCTTCCATGAATCTCATGTAAAACCAAGTCAGTTTATTTTGTTTAGTCTCTCTTTAAGCAACTATTCAACAATTTTCTATAAACTAACAGAAAAATAATGCTTCAGGAAAATTCTCTCTCGAAATTATTGCACAGGGTGTTTTAAAGTTAGGGTAAAAAACAACCCTTCAATTAAAGTTTATAAAAAACTGAGTTTATGAATTTAAGTTGATAGATTTATTAAAAAATTCACGAAAATAGGACTAAAAGTAAAAAATTATAATACTTAAAACTTGGTGAAAAAAATTTCCATTGCGTTTTTGTTTGAATCTGAGTGTACAGGGTGGACGAAATTAGTCTGTTTTAACCTTTGAATAAGAAGACTAAGGAAGGAGCATAATGCTATCCATGTATTCATGCATGGTGGGCGGAAAAAGCACTCTAGGGTGGGGATCCTTGACAGTTCTGTTTGACGATTCATTTGACACATTTGAATTTGATTTGAAATTTTGTGGATTTGTCAGTCTTTAAGGAGCTGATTTTATGTTATTTATTATTGATTCTACTACTGATAGTTGTATAAAGGTAGTAAATCTAAATGGAAATTGTGGCAGAACTTAAATTAACAGTGACACTATCGCGATTTATCAAAAAAGACTCTAAAATAGTTGGTTGTGTAGCGTGCGGAAGATCTCTGCAAAAATCGAGTGAAATAATGGAACAACTTTTCGCTAGTAAGTGACTATATAATATACATACGTGTAGTAAACCGATCATTTATGAAATTCACTTAAATTAACTAAATTATATATTTTCTTGCATTTTAGCTTTTATTTACTACTTGTCAAAGATCAGATATCAAAGAATTTTGATACGTTAATTTGACTTACCTGCTTCAGTAGCGTATCGGATGTTTGTGTTAATAAATACTTATTATAACTTATCTATTTTTATTAGAATTATATATTTTTATAACAATTTTAATAACTACCAACATTTATTCACAACGTAAAATAAAATAACAAATTATTGAGTCTACCCCACGTCTACCCTACATCATAGTTTTACATTTTTTAAATAAAATTAGAACGGCACTGATAAACCGGAATTTAAGTCGGCCATATTTGAGGCCCATCGCGGTGTACCTAAGATTTTTGATATTCTCCTTCCTTAGTCTTCTTATTCAAAGGTTTTAACAGAGAAACCCTCTATTTCCTGACTAGATAGAGCGAAACCGACATAGATGTCATGGGCTCAATTTCTGAGATACGTTCAATGGCGTAAACCGCCTGTTGATATTTTCACTGCCAACACAGATACGGGGCCTTTTTGAATTTTTTACCATTTTGAAAATTGCCCATAACTTTTTTATTTCGCGGAATAATAAAATTCTGTAAAAACATTCTTAAGGCACTTTTTTAAGCACGATCCAGTGGCGTAGTCAGTTTTTTTTCTATGCTTGCTCTTTTTGTCAGAAATAATAAGAAATATAAATTTTTAAATGGAAATCGTAGTTGAAAAAAATGCTGGCGTTTAACCCTTTCCAACGATATAAAGTTATGTGTATCTATTTCTAAGAATGAGAGAAATATTAGGGTTTTTATCTTTCTTTCGAAGCGGGCTTTGATTTTGAGTTGACCTATTTGCCTAATTATTTTTTATCACAATTTAATATTCTTTATTATTATTTACCTGCGTAATTAAAGACTTTTGAAAAGGTAAATTAACATTCTATTATTAGTAGTATTAGTAATTACAACTGAAATTGATACAATAAACAAAGAACAAACCTAAAAAAACGTATTTTTTGAGTGACGAATATAGTTCTCTTAAAAATCAAAGATGTTCAAATTGAGCATCTCCTTGTTGAAGAAAACAGAATTAACATCTTTTGCGCACAGAGTTACAACGATTTATTAGGCGAACTGGTATAATAAGTCCAAAAGCTTGCCTAGTAGCCTTCTGCAATTCCTTCTGTCGTCCCAATGGTTCTTCCCTTATATACAAGGTGTTTCAAAACAAATGCGAAAAACTTCAGGGGCTGATTCCTTGTTCAAAATAAAGGGTAGTTTGCTTCATAAACGTTGGGTCAAAAGTCAACCATTAGGGAGATATTGCGGTACAAAGATGGCGGAAAAATAATGTTTTTATTTTTTATCTTGAAAACGAAAAGAGATAGACTAATAAAATTTTATGGAAGCATTACTGTTATGAAAACACAGTTTCTGGTAATTTTTTCACTTTTTTAAAATGAGTGGAAGGGGTCGAAATAAACTACCCCTATCATTCTTGTTAACGAAATTTAAAGAAAAATCTTATCAAAACACATGCAAAAAATTAATTTGGATAGTTTAGTTTGTTTAGAAACTTTTTTATCTCTTGTATTTTTTGATAAAACTCACCGATTTGAAATTAAAAAATAAAATGTAAAGCATTACATGTCAGGACAAAAAACATTTTCTGATAAAGAATCTAGTGGGCTGCTGTAATTTTTTTAGGAAAAAATCTAGTCGGCCGCTGTTACTTTTTAGGATGTTCCTAATATTATTTTATTTGACATTACTCTACTGCAATACGTTATTATCTAGATTCTAGATGATTATTATTATCGTTATTATCACTAGATTCTTAATCTAAAAATGTTTTTAGTCCTAACATGTAATGCTTTACATTTTATTTTTTAATTTCCAATCGGTGAGTTTTATCAAAAAAGCACAAGAGGTAAAAAAGTTTCTAAACAAACTAAACTATCCAAATTAAAGCATTTGCATGTGTTTGATAAGATTTTTCGAGGAAACAGGTTTTCTCTGTCAAAACAGACCAATTTCGACCACCCTGTACATCTTTATTTCTGTAAAAATTATAAATGACTTGGCAATTGCACGATATGATGATATATTCCACTAATTAAAATATTTTGTTCTTAAGTGCATTGTTTATGGTGCCCTGCAATTGCCAAGTTATTATAATTATTACAGAAATAAATATGTCTGATATTGATACTAACAATTTAAAAGGAAATTGTTGAATAGGTTCTTTAGTAGAAACTAAATAAAACTTTGCATTTTTTGGATCTAATTTATGTATTACTAATGTAGAAAAAAAACAGAATATGTATTAGTGTATTTTGTGTTTTATTTTTATAAATAATCACACAGTTATAAATAACCTACACTCTAATAATAGAAAAATATATAGATAAAGTTAGATACAATATATACAGATGTACTCTTTGTCACAATGATTCTGTTAATTTTACTTGCAAAATTTATTTTTTCAAAATATATAGGGGCGTATACTTTTTTTGACTAGTGCAATTTAAAAAAAACTGTTTTCTTTATGGCCTCTTACATGTAACTAAATCAAACATTAAAAAACATCTTTATTTATTTTTTTTGTGCAAAATTTGTTTGTACTAGAAAAAGACAAACAAGTTCCCAAATAGAGTCATTTAAACCACTTCATCTCTCCTATACATTGTTGTCATTCAAAGTAACATTAGTAATATCTTTAACAATCATTTCAGCAACTTGCCAGGCCATTTCCTCTTTCCTTCTCTCTTCCTCATCCAAACTTACGAATTTCTTCACCATATTCTTCAACTGAAACGTTTTGTTATCAGGTTCTGGCTCAATATCAGCCACGTACTTCCCCAAGTCTGTTACCCTACCCAAGGACAGTCTATGAGATTTCTTTCGTTTCCACAGTGTATCTGGATCATACAATTCCCTTGTATCGATGCTCATATTAGTACTGGGCTGCTTTTTCTTTTCATACGGTATTTCCAGTGCCAAAAACGTACTGGTACTAAAGCTTTTCTCACTACTACAATCAGATTGGGAGTACCTTTTGTGTTCTAGGCTTGTCGCATACCCCGAGGCCTGTACAGTGTTAATTAGCTCTGAAAGATATTTGTAAAACAACTGGGAAGCTAGGAAAGGCTTTAGGTAGTTCTTTTCTAGAACTTGTTCAACGATTTTTAAAGGTAAATGGTAGCAATCTATAACTAACCCGTTCTCACCGCAAATATTCTGTTCTACGGCAAAACGGACCTTGTCACTGAACCCCAGAGGACAATGAGCTTGTAAAGAGAAGTATTTGTCATATAGAACCACAGCATCGTTTTGAGCTTCAACAGGATCAAAGAATTCCTTCTGGTTGTGTAACTGTTGCTGTAAATTCGTAGCAGCTATCCAGAATTCTAAAAGTCCACTTTTGTTCTCCTGTTCCAAAAATTCCATAAAATAAAAGAGAGCGGTTTCATTATAGAGTAAATCATCTAAAACTACATTTCCACTGGTCAAAACATCTATTTGATGCTTTGAGAAAAAATCGCTTTCTACAAAAGCACCAAAGTACTCGTTTTTCATCAGATCAAACAAATAAACTTGAACAGAATCGAAACACTGTCCTGAAAACACCTTTTCTGAGCTACAAATATTCTCCATTATCTCTTTTCGCATTTCCTCTGAACAATCTATGTTTAATTTGGATTCCAGAGCAATATATTTCTTAAAAATAACTAGAGCAAGTTCAGTAAGCTTATCACTGGCTTGGCTCAACTTAATTTTAACACAATTGCCATTGTTTACATCACAAAGTGTTTTGGAATCACATTCACATAAACTACTTGAGTCTCCTGTGTAGGAATCACAGTCTGTACTCACTGAGAGACTGTCATGCTCAGAAACATTAGGAAGGGGTGAATTGTTCTGGTTTTTTAACTCATCTGTGCTGGTTTGTAACTCCGACTTAAAAATTTCAATGTCCAGGTAACAAAGGATGTAACATGAGGCATTTCTTACGTCCATGTACTGTATAAAATAACTGAGTGCGCTTTTATCTGATAGAATATCGTCCAAAGACTTTGACAGTCTAGATCTCTCCCTCGTTGCTTCGAATTCGTCAATGTCGTAGAGCCCCTCATCTTCAAGCAAAGGTAAGGGTACGTTTGTTAAAAAATCAGCTCTAGAAATTGTATCCGGTTGTGTATTATATTCAGCCTGGCTATGAGTTCGTTGGGTGTTGTTGGAACAGTGACCTAGAGAAAAATCGTGCGTAAATATACCGTAATATTATAATTAGGTATTCTAAAAATGACAACATAGCCCAATTATGCACAGTTTTAAATACCTGTTTTCTTCCAAAACTTTAGCATTGTACATGATAAAGATTGTAGTTTGTTGGATTTACACTTATTTCTATGGATATATAAATCTATTTTTTAATAAAATCAACTGTTATAATACTTTTTCAATTAGAATAACATTTTTCTTTTTACTAAATTATTTGACAATTGATAACGTCAATAATTATGAAGTTGGCAACAAATTAAACAAATGACCATAGATTACTGTACTAACATACCACAGATAAGCTTGTATCTTTTTCTTCTTTTTCTGTCAAAAGGATCAATGTCCCAGGAAACAGCCAATCCAGTCTCTAAGATAAGCTTATATGTATGAGTTTTCTTAACGCCACTATTTATTTAAGAAGAATTAGTTACGGAAATGGCGGACGTCGAGTCGAGTAGGTATTTGTGTATTTTTAATTTGATTTTGCTCAAATTACTTGGTTTTACTTAATAATCATAGTAAAATCCTAATCCTTACACATTTTTTTAATTGTAGAAGATAACAATTCGATACAATCCGTAACGATGAAGGTGGATGGTCCATCGGAAGAGTGTAGCAGCAAACAAGGTTTGTTTTTGTCTAAGGATTAACTCGACGTTAAATTTTAATATCCTTAATTGATTTTTAGATAATTTAATTAATAACGTGGACCAGGAAAAGGAATACAGAATGTGCAGTCCAGCGGTCGTAATAAAAACTTCAAACAGCAACCCTTTTGCATCCGATCACAATAGATTAGGAAAAGTTTTCTTAAAACCATCTCAGTTGTTTGTAAATTCATCTCCTCAGGCGTCGAGTAAACCTGTTTTAAAACAGAGCTCGTTCAATCCCTTTAGCAAGCCTACTGAAGAAAATAAAAGTGATAATAGTGATAAGAACCAAACAAACGGGGAGGTAAAATTTGTACCTTTAATCAAAACAGATTCACAAAAATCAACAGCTTGCGAATCCAATCCAATCAGTAGTAGTACCATCGCCAGTTCACTACCAACACCCAGTTTTGTCTTTGGACAAAATCTACATGACAGGGTTATAGGGTCTGAGACAGTTTCTGATCCCACTCCTTCAACAAGTCTTCATTCGAACGGTACGGGTTCTAACACTAGTGATATGTTATTTAGTACAGCAATTAAGAACGAAGTGAAGGCAGATACGTCAAAGGACAAAGAGGTGAAGTCCCTCACTGAATCGGCTAGGGAATATGAAGAATCCAGAGCCAATAAAAGGAAATACGACGAAGTTGAAGTAAAAACTGGTGAAGAGGATGAAACCAACATTCTGAGTGTGTCATGTAAGCTGTTTTCTTTCGATAAAGCGACAAGCAATTGGCAGGAACGGGGCAGGGGAACTCTCAGGTTAAACGACTTTGAAATGGACGATGGCCAAATAGGAAGCCGTATTGTGTTCAGGACTGCTGGCAGTTTGCGAGTGATTTTAAACACAAAAGTAAGTTGTTTTTAGTATTTTATTTTTTCTCTGTACAGGGTGTTTGTATTGAAATAAAATTTATTGAGTGTATGTATTTAATAGATTGATTTGAAGCAGTTTTTAAAAATACTTGAGAGTTCTAAGACCCAAAAAGTTATACAGAGTGAGACAAAATTAATGTTGAACATATGTAGGTCGATTTTAAAAGTAAGATTCTCTTATTTTCAATGGAACACCCAGTATATTATTCCGGTATTTAATGGGGAATTCATGTCTCTTCATATCAAAATATTCTTGATGAATGCACAGTGCATGACAAAATGTTACGAATATCACAGCCACCTAGATTTCATCAAATTATAAAGATCTAGTGACATCAAATCATAAAAACGATAATATCTAGGAAAATATTTGTCTAAGAGGTAGGCAACCTTAATAGTATTTTGAAGAGGCATGAATTCTCGGTTGAATATCGGAATAATATACTGGGTGTTCCATTTAAAATAACTGGGTAACTTGCTTTTAAAAGTGACCATGTTTAACATTAATTTTGTCTCATCCTGTATAACTTTTCGGGTCAAATTTTAATTTGATTTAAGGTGCAATAGTTATTTTAACTACATATTAGGCTATACTGGGTAAATTACAATTTAGGTAGCTTTTATTGAAATTTAAAACTTGTTCTTCATTTTTAGAAAATGTTAAATATGTCGCAAACTGGTACATTATAGACATATGCTTCTCTAATGAAACTCACCTTTATTTTTTTCCTAGTATCCGAAAATCAATTAATATACAGGGTGTTCTATTAAAAAAAAACACAATCTCGATATGTAACTCTTTTAGGGGACACCTTGAATTACTTTGTATATTTTTAAAAAATGATTTAAATTGACCTACATATGCTCCCAAAATTTCATTTCAAGACAAACGTCGTTCTCCTTGGAGCCTCCGCCGCATATGAGAGGCGCCACCATGTACGTTTATTTTTTCCCTGTACAGGGTGAGTCAAATTCGACGCTTTTAAATGGAAACCCCCTTTTCTATATATAGTAAAACTAATATCGGTGTCTGGAGCTCAATTTTCATCAAAAACCTGATGATGAAAACCGCACATCAATATCTGTTACTGTTTAGGAGTTACAGGGTGTTTTTCAAAAATGTGCATTTTTAACAAATCGCCGTAACTTTTTTGCTATGGAAAATTTTGTATTTCTATGAAAACATTTCCAAAGCACCTCCGAAACGGTAACAGATATCGATATGCGGTTTTCACCCAAGGACTGTATATATTCTAAAGGACTGTTCGATCGCGTCAAATCGCCGCTGTCGTAGTCGCCGTCGAATGCTACGTCACGCGCTGACCAGTGCTCCACAGTGCGGCGGATGGGTATTCTAGCGGGACAAAATCTCAAGAGCAATGTTTGGGACTTAAAATCTAAGAACGTAGCAAATGGTCTAATATATAGCAACTATATGGTTAAATTTATTTATTTATTAACAACTTAATTTATTAATAAATAAATACAAGATAATAAAACTATGATATTATTCGTACATGACACACAAAAACCGTATTGGTAAACTATTGCCAAATACATAAAATTATGATATCAAAAAACTCTTTAGCAGTTTTTTTTTAATTAATTTGTAATCTTGTGACACCCTCTATAATTTATTTTAAAAAAATATATTTTATTTTGAAAATAATTAGTAAAATAGATATTTTAATTTTAATTTTAACACTCGGTAATTGTAAATTCATATATAGTAAGTATATAGTTTATTAAGACAATTTTTTAAACTCAGTGCCTTTTGATGGAGTTGTTTTGTTTTTATACTATCTGATTGAAATGAATCTTTTTGGGCATTCACCTGTTAAGCTTGAACTCCCTGTGACTGTGACTACCTGCGTTGGTAACTATTGGTAACTCAAAAGATCTACATCATTCAATATATCGATATTTGAAAAAAAGGTGAAAGTTTGATATCTGCAGAACAAAGGCACGAAGGATTTTAACAAATAATATACGTACAGTAGAAAAGTACATACTTTTGGCAATCTTCAACATAATTTGGCTTTCTAATAAAATGTATAAGCACTTGTAAATATTTTGTTTTCCTATGATCTCTGCCTTGCTGAGCAGAAAACGACCAAATTTGGTTGATAAAAATGTATCGAAATACAAAGAATATTCATGCATTTTTGTACCAATTGGAATGTCTACTATTTATTCTTATCAGTACACATTTTTTGGCTCATTTCTAACCAAACGCTTTTGTCCCGCTAAATTTATCTTCCAACGCACTGTGCGCTCGTCCGTCAAATGCAAAAATAACTGTCACTGTCTAAAATCTTTAGCGCCAACTTCAACTCGGTCAGTAGATGACGTAAAAAAACTGACAGTGCAGGAAGATAGGAATCAAACTATCCTTATCTTCACCATCATGGTTTTGACAAAAATTGAGCTCCGGACACTGATATTAGTTTTTCTCTATCTCCTATAGAAAAGGGTGTTTCCATTTAAAAGCGTCGAATTTGACCCACCCTGTATAATTGAATATTTTATAGATATGGGCTGAAATGACTGTGGACAAAGCCAACGAAAAAAGTATTAGACTAACTGCCTTGGACTCCAACGGCGAAATCAAGGTCTTTCTCATAATGGTACTTGATTATTTTTCACGTAAGTTTTATTTTTCCTATTATAAACTGTTTTATTTTTTTCAGTCTAGTATAGAGGACTCTAGACAGTTATATTCTCGGTTACAATTAAGGTTAGAAAAAGAAATAGCGATCCAAAAACGGAAAAAAATCGAACCAGACTCGTCGGGACAGTGAAAAATTTCATCCATACTGATCTGTAGATAAGTCTTATTTTTACTTTCTTAATTTAGAGAAAAAGAAAAAAACTAATCTTTACTTGTATATTTTTTATTCCAATGATTATTACAAAATTCAGCTTTATACTTAAACATTTTTTTTCTGTTGTTGAAACTTATTATATTTAAAGAAAAAAAAAACATTGTGTAACATTAGCAGTTTCTAGAATTCCTCTCGAAAAAAAAACAAAATATATTTCTTGAAAAAAAAAATAGAAAACTATATTTACAGTACCATTCCTAATCCCTATTAGTATATAACCGAGAGAAAAAAAAACACCGTCACGGTAACCTTTGAAACGATTTTTTTTCCCAAAAAGGTTACTATGACGTCGTTTTTTTTCTTTCTCGACGATACCGTATAGATATAACGTTTCTTTCTAATCGATGTTAAAGATCTTGTTGAGCTCTTGCAGATTTTTATTCTTGACTAACGGCGTTAAGTCGCGTCTGTCCATCAGGGATGTGCACATGGTCAGGGTGGACCATATGGTATCCGACATTTGCGATATGGCACCCGAATTTAGGACGTCTTTGCCTCGGGCCTGTTGGTTTAGGGCTGTCAAAAAATGTTCCACCGCTTCTCTGTAACGAAAATTTTTGACATCTATCACTGGAAATCATTGAATAAAAGATATTTTTTGAAGTGAAAGTTCTCTACGACCGCTGGGAGTAAAAATTCAAGGCCGTGACACACGAACTAGCGAGACTAAAAACTGTTTTTTACGCCTAAAATATTTAATACGCGTAAAAAATTGTTTTTTACGCATATTATAAAAATATTTGTTAAATGTAAAAAACTATTTAATACGCGTAAAAAACGATTTTCCGCCTATAGAACTATTTGTTACACGTAAAAAACTATTTTTACGCGTAAAAAATATTTTTTACGCGTATAAAAATATTTATTAAATATAAAAAATTGACATGCGTAAAAAAATATTTTTACGCGTATAGAACTATTTGTTACACGTAAAAACTATTTTTTCCGCGTAAAAAATATGTTTTGCCCCTAAAAGTGTTTTTCACGCTTGTAAAAATATTTGTTAAATATAAAAAAACTATTTGTTACACGTAAAAAACTATTTCTACGCGTAAAAAATTGTTTTTTACGCTTATCAAAATATTTGTTAAATGTAAAAAACTATTTGATACGCCTAAAAAAATATTTTTACGCGTATAGAACTTTTTGTTACACATATAAAACTAGGTAAAAAATTATTTGGTACACGTAAAAACTATTTTTGCGCGTAAAATACTATTTTTTGCCCGTAAGTGTTTTTCACGCGTGTAAAAGTATTTGTTAATTTTTTTGCGCGTATAAAACTATTTGTTACACACAAAATACTATTTTTACGCCTAAAAACTATTTATAACGTGTAAAAAACTATTTGACACAAGTAAAAAACTATTTGTACACGTCAAACAACAATTTTTACGCCTAAAAACTATTTATAACGCGTAAAAAACTATTTGATACAAGTAAAAAACTATTTGTACACGTAAAAAACATTTTTTACGCTTAAAAACTATTTTTACGCATATAAAACTATCTGTTACACGTAAAAAACTTATTTGACATACGTAAAAAACTATCTGTCACACGAAAAACTATTTATAACGCCTAAAAAACTATTTGATACAAGTAAAAAAACTATTTGTACACGTAAAACAACATTTTTTACGCTTAACTATTTATAACGCGTAAAAAACTATTTGATACAAGTAAAAAAACTATTTGTACCCATAAAAAAACATTGGTTTTTACGCTTAAAAACTATTTTTACGCATATAAAACTATCTGTTACACGTAAAACTTATTTGACATACGTAAAAAACTATTTGTCACACGAAAAAACTATTTATAACGCCTAAAAAACTATTTGATACAAGTAAAAAAACTATTTGTACACGTAAAACAACATTTTTTACGCCTAACTATTTATAACGCGTAAAAAACTATTTGATACAAGTAAAAAAACTATTTGTACCCATAAAAAAACATTGGTTTTTACGCTTAAAAACTATTTTTACGCATATAAAACTATCAGTTACACGTAAAAAACTATTTGACGTACGTAAAAAACTATTTGTCACACGAAAAAACTATTTATAACGCATAAAAAACTATTTGTTCACGTAAAAAACATTTTTTACGTTTGAAAACTATTTTTACGCATATAAAACTATCTGTTACACATAAAAAACTATTTGACATACGTAAAAAACTATCTGTTCCACGTAAAAAACTATTTGTTACAGGTAAAAAACTATTTTTACGAGTAAAAAACTATTTTGTACGCGTAAAAAACTACTTATTACCCGTAAAAAATACTAAAAAAACTATTTATTACACGTAAAAAAAAATATTTTTTTATTACTTTTTCAACATTTCAAACTACACTTTTTCAAACATGTCCTTCAAATCCGTCAATTTAATAGCTGTTGGTAAGAAGTTTTCCTTCAAATATTCGCACATAGTCTATACATAGTTTTTTTTATATTCATACGTTAAAGAAGAAAAAAAACGTCGCGGTAGGCATTTTAAGACAATCTTTTGTTAGTTTTACGTCATTTTTCTCTTTCAGTATTATTATTTTATTAATTTCCTTACTTGTAAGCCCTCAAATTTATACATGTAATCCCTACGTTGTATCTGGCTCTTATAAACCCCGGCACCAAATGTAGAGCATGATAATAGGCCTCCACGGCCTCCTCAGATTTGGAACCGTTGGCCAAGGTAGCACCCAGTCTATTCCAAAGTCTTGCGTCCTGAAAAAATTAAATAATTAATAATCCATAATTAAATTTTGTTTGAAAATTGTTATTACGTCCGGCCTAACAGATAAGGCACTCCTAAAACAGTCAGCCGCCTTGTCATATTCTCCAGTAAGATTACAAAGGACTCCGAGTCCACACTGTACCTCATAGTCTATATTCTGCGGATTTCTTTGAGCAGCTTTCAGATACAAGTCTTGCAGTAACTTTTGGTTAGCCCTGTATAGAGAAAAAAATAACTTTCAAGCTTGATAAAAATTCTACATTAGGTTTATATTCAGGGTTGGGTAGGTAGAAAATTTTATATTTTCGACACGTAGAAAATTAATTTTCTACATTTTTTACATGTCCAGACGTAGAAAATTAGCTTTGTATATTGCAAGCCTTTTTTGGAGGTTTATATTTATTTCAGATACTTCAATCACAACGATTAGTACGAGAAATAAACTAATAACGATATCTCTAATTGTTACTTATTATTTAACAACTTGATAGTATACAGTATGTCAAAAAAAGCTTAACTATTAACTTCCATCGTCATTCTTTCATTGCAAAATCTTCAACCCTCTAAGCGGGGGTGTCATCCCCCATTTTTTTTAACTTCCAAAAAATAGAAAGGAAGAAACCCTCTAAAGTGAAAAAAAAACGGCTTTAAATATACAAAATCAGTTTTGTACCTGTTTTCAGATTTTATACATTTTCTACGCACTTTTCTACATACGCGTAGAAAATTAATTTTCTTGTTACCCAACCCTGTTATGATTAATGAGACTATATTGATACACTAAACGATTTCGGTTAATACACAATGAAGCTGTGGAAAAAAAGGCGTCACGTTAAGCGTGTATATACAGGGGCCCGACACCTCAAGCGACTTACGAAACCAACAAGCTTGTAACTAGCCGTGAAAGGTTGAGATCCTTGGGCACCAGGTCCTGGTATTTGGGGTTGTGTTTGAGCCAGTTGAGCAGCATGGAGCAGGCCTGGTTGTAGTAGCTCTCGTTGGTGTAGCTGACCGCGGCCGACATCAGAGCTGTCAGATTTGTGGGATCCAGCTGGAGGCACTTGTTCAATGCCGCTATAGCGTTGGGGTCCTTGAAAAAGATTTTAATCTTGTATTAATAATGTTTATAAATCATTGGCATTTGTATTAAAATGATAGACGTAACCACAAACTAACTTAAACAGATGCGACACCTTATGGGAAATTTTGTGTTCAAAAAGACCTATGTTCGGAAGTGCGACGACAGAGCGGCGATACCGTCGATGAAGGCAAAATATTCGGCCAAACAAACAGCCGTGGTCACTTCAAATCGTTCCCGCACTCCCCCCTTCCCTAAGCTTCCATTTCTTTCGTTCTTTCTCGCCTTTAACCTTGCCTTTGATACACCGCGCCGTCTCGTCTGGCCGTCGCAGCCGCCGCACGATTATAAAGTCAAAGCGAGATTGCCAGCTTGAACTTTTTTTATGTGAGAATTAAATGTTATATGTACTTGTATTAGCGCTTTCTCCTGGATAATAATAAATAACTATTACATGATGTTAGGAAATATCAGCTAATATTTATTTGTAAAGTATGAGAAATTTACAAATTTTAACAATCGGTTAAGATCAATACATATGTATAAAGAAAATGACGATTTCTTTAAAATTAAAAATTATATAAAATATCAGAAATATACAATTCTTAAAGAATAGGATCTTTGTTGTCAGCTTGCCGTTTGTATTTAGCTGTACTTCCAGCTGTTAATTTCAAATATTAATCTAAAGTCTATCTACTATTAGCCAGCTTAAATTATCTTTAATTATTTTTATATCCTGCTTGTTAATAGTTTTATGCACTACTATAATTTTATTTGATATTTTAAATTGATTTAAAATTTAGCAGCTGATCTTTTATATAGCAAATAGGTACTTTTATGATACAGACACGGCATATTGTTTGCATGTGCCGTGATACCGATATAGTTTATACAAATTGGTAAGTAGAATTGGCAACAGTGTCCTAGAAAAAGGATATGGGAATCTAAGATGGGAATATTGAAGGTTTTCAGAGGATTTTTAAGTCAGTTTCTTCAGTTGTTTCACATGGATATTACATACATCATTATTATTAGCTGTTTCCGATTTTAATTTTCTGTTGGGTTTTGTTGGTTTACATTTAGTTAGTTCACGGTGTTCTTAGTATTGTTTTAGTTAATTCAGCTATTCAGTTTAAGTTTCTTGTTTTGATTTTATTTAAAATGCTTTTAAAAAAGTGTGCTTTCAATGGATGAGAAAACATTTCACTATAAACTGAAGAAGATACATTTTTTAGATTTTCTAGGACTAAATTATATCAAAAACTGTGGGTGTTTTTTCCGAAAATACCTAGATTTTCTAATACGAAAAAAGTGAATTTAAATACACATACAGTTCGATCAAATAATCGACTTATTAACTACATATACTTTGTAAAAATATTATACTTCTATGCCAGGTAGTAATAAATTTTCATGCCAACTTTCACCCCTATCATCCCCGAGATGATGAATTTTCAAAAATCGTTTCTTCTACTCTATACTATTGCTTCCCAATTATACTTAAGCATATTTGGCCAAATTTTAATTCATAAATATTATGTACTTCTAAACCACATAGTAGTAACGAATTTTCATAAAATTTTGCCCTTAATTTTACCCCTTTAGGAAATGAGTTTCGAGAAAACGCTTCGTAAGTATGCTACACCGAAATATCATACTTTTATACCAAATATTAACGAATATTTGCAATCATTTTTCCCTTATTTTAAGGGATGAATTTTTTTATTGAATCCCTAGAGAAACCTTTATTGTGTAATGTTTTGAATGAACAGGTTTTTATTTTATGTTTTGCTTTATAATTGTTCAGCCCTAATTTTACCCTCCTCGGGGATGAATTTTCATAGTCGCCCCTCATATAGTCATTGCGTTACTTAAGAAACCTTTTGAAATTATTAATAATAAAATTATTGTATATTCTTAGGACGAGATTTTTACAAATTTAAATATAAATTTCCACCACTAATTTCACCTCTCTAGGGGATGAATTTACCTTTGTGCAAAATATTAAACTCCCAGAACCAATTTTTACGGAATGTTTGTACCGACTTTTGCCCTTTTTGGGAGATGAAATTTAGGGATAATTATAATAATTATAGTTCGTTCCAATGGAGCTGAGAGCACAGAGCGCCTATAATAAACGGAAAACGGAGGTCGGGTGTGTCAACAAATTTTATCTCTTATTTATGTTTTACAAATGTATTTAGACTATGAAGAAAGAAATTGTGACCCAGACCACCCTGTAAGTATATATATATAGGAAGTGACTCCGCTGCCGGCGCCGGGTTCCACAATTCGGAAGCACAGATGCCGGCTCCGAAAATAAAAATGTCAACTTACCCCAGAGACTAACCAACGCTAAACAAATGTAAATTAGTAAAAACCAAACCAACCCCACTAAATAGCAAACCTATCCAATGCAATCAACACCACCAAATAACCATAAAATGTAAATTAGTAAAAACCAAACCAACCCCACTAAATAGCAAACCTATCCAATGCAATCAACACCACCAAATAACCAACTTAACCAACGCAACTAACTCCACCAAATAATCAATCTAACCCCACCAAAAAGAGTGAAACCAACGCAATCCGTATTTTGATTGCTATTAAATATTTACAGCTTTTTTAAAAATAAATGGAACACCCTGTATGATTTAAAAAAAAAAATCAAAATATGTAAAAAACAAAATAAATTATGCGTGTCCAAGCGTTTTCCCGAAAGACTCACCGTATTTTAAATAACAAATATTGTAATATTTGAGGGGCATTTTCACCCTCTTGGAATCGAGAAACCCCTCGTTATCGAATCTCTACACCCCACAGTCAATCCGTTTGCCAAAAATCATCTGCTTTAAACGTCAAGCAGTTTAAGCAGAATCGTGATTACTCAATGATCATATTTTATGAAACACATTGTATAAATTTTAAAAAAATCTTAAAATATGTAAAACAACAAAATAAAATATACGTTTTTAAGAGATTTTCCGAAAAACTCATCGGTTTTTAAATAAAAAATATTCTAATATTTGAGGGTTGGTTTCACCCCCTTAGAATTCGAGTTTCGAAAAATCCCTTCTTATCGAACCTCCACACCCTAAAGTCAATCCGTTTTCCAAAAATCAGCTTTTTACGTGAAGCGCTTTAAGCAGGATCGTGATTAATCAATGACCAGATTTTTCGAAACACCCTGTATACATTTTTAAAAAATCTTAAATTATGTAAAAAAACAAAATAAAATATACGTGTTTAAGCGTTTTTTCGGAAACTTGATCGTTTTTTAAATAAAAAATATTGTAATATTTGAGGGATGGTTTCACCCCCTTGGAACTGGAATTTCGAAAAATCTCTTCTTATCGAACCTCTACACCCTAGAATCAACCTGTATGCCAAAATTGAGCTTCGTACGTTGAGTGGTTTGAGCAGGATCGTGATTAATCAGTGAGACAGTCACTTAAGAATTTGATATATTAGTAGGTATAGCTATAGATTGTGAATGTATCAAAAATTGAAAAAAAACTAATGAAATTAGAATCATCTCTATTTGATTCCGAACTACAAAATTCCCTCTCTATTTTCTACACAAAGTAGGCGTGGCTTGACGAATGGAGGTTACTTTGCTGGTCCGCTGTAAAATTCGCCTACATGACAAATCTAACGGAAAAATTTGCCTGGCGCATTCGCCAAAATGTAATTTTCACATTTGCATTGTTTGTCGCATCTGTTTAGGTTAGTCTGTGACGTAACTGTCACTCTAATGTGTCCCCTCGCTGGGCAGACTATACTTCTCTCTACCTTATTAGGTAGAGAGGAAAGTGACAAGGATAGGCTTGTACAAAACCTTGACGTAAAAAAACTATTTTTTTACATTATATAAAAACAAGGCTTGTAAAATTTTGGTTTTTTGATGGTTAATATCAGGGATGAACGTGCGAAAAGCCGTACTGTAAACAAAAACGAGTTTTTTTACGCGTAAAAAATGTTTTATAAAAGGCAAAAAAATACTTTTTCGCATTATTTTATGTAGAAATCAAAATTTGCTGCCAAAATTATTGAAAGTATACATAGATTACAAAGGAAGAGAAATGTTCTATATCTTCCTATATTTATTTTTCTAACATTTTTTATCTTTTTTTTACATGAAAACATCTAAAGAGGACATACTCTTCCAAGCCTATCCCTGTTTAATTTTTCCTCTTTTATCCCCTCATTTTGTTTTTAATATTATGTAGTTACCAAATTTAGTAAAAAAATAAAGTCTCAATAAATTACCAGCTATATAAAAAAATCTTTTTTGCTCAGTGTAGTGTCTTAATTTTTTTTTTCAATAAAATTCTAGACATTTCTTTCAGTATACAAGTGAGTGTATTTAATCAAAATATGTAACCTAAGGTCACAAAATTTGGGACGCTTCTGTATAATTAATATTTCTGAAGAAAGTCAAATATTACAAGTCAGATATATATTTTTTAATTTCCCAAATCACAGGCAGGTGTAAAAGTCTGGAAAACTTTTTGAGTAAAATTAGAAAATCTTACTGTATGTTGGCATGAAATAAAAATGTAAACAATTTTCATGTAATTACAACATGATAAACAAAATATACCTGTTCATTTTCAGCCTGGGTTGTTCCTAACAGTAACCAAGCCTCAGGATTCTCAGGCTGTTGCTTTACAGCCGCTTCAAAACAGAGAACAGCGCTAGGAAAATCCCCTGATTCTAACAATTCCTTTCCTTTTTCTATGGGGTTTGGTAAATTTAGCATAGGATTTTCCTCACTAAATTCGTATTCCTTTAATAAAAAAGCTTATTATTGAGAATAACATTGATTTGAACCATATTTTTACCTTTTGTGGAATGTTATAAGTAGAACTAAAGTCTTCTAGCCAAGGATTCAAGGCGTTATCATCGAAACTCGTCACATTTTCAAAGTCCTCTTGCAGTTTGTCCCAAGAAGAAGCTTTAATTTCTTCGTTTTCAGTTTTGGCAAACTCATTAGCCCAAATTTCGTCTATGGCAGTTGTTTCTGTGTTGTGTAAGAATTCATTTGTCCAAGCTTGGGCCTCTCTTTCTGTTAATTTTCCGTCATTTATGTTTATTGGACTCGGCTCTTCAACATTTTGCATAAATTTCATAAACTAGACAATAAAAAAAGCTCTTTAAAGATTAGTCACTGAAATTAATATGTTACCTTGGAGTAGACAAATTTATTATCTTCTGTTTGATTATTTATGTCCTTTGTATCTTCTTGTACCTCCCTAAATGCTGCATTATCTAAATGTAGAGCTTCAGCAGTCCAAGCATTCTCAAATAACTTAAAATTATGCTCTTGGTCGTGTGCTGAAATCTGGTTCCAGATATCTTCATAGTTTGTTTCCTAAATAATGACATACGTAATCTATTTCCTGAAATATTACTTTTATTAATACTGACATGAAATATCCTGCCATCCTGAAGATACTGTTGAGCCCAGGCATCGTTGTGCAGCTGATCTTTGACTGTCGAGGCTGGTATTGGTGGTAAGGCTGACCTTTGAGACTCGATTTCGTGCATCTCCCTCATCAAATCTAGAACCAGAATCATGTAATTTAAATCCTTATATAATGTTACTTATTTTACCTCCCATTCTGAAACTTTGTGGCATTGCTCTGGTCTCTTGTAAAAATTGTTCGACCAGTTGATCCGATGTGCTGGGCAGCACTTGCGAAGTATTATCAGAAAAGGCATAGTCGCGTGTTACGTGCGATGACAATTTACTCAGAGGGTTTACGTCGCCACACTCTCCTTCTGTGAGTGCTCTAAAGGCCATGTTAAGTGATTTTTTGCTCTTAATTCTCTAGAAATTTAACAATAACTACCATAAACATTCACGTCATTCTAGTACAAATATTTGACATGTAAATTTTGACACTTCTTGGATCTTCTTTTTTGGTTTGTGCGCGTAGAGTCACCCAATCTTCTTCTGATTTTTATCCGGTCTAAGCTGCCTAAGCTATGCAGTCAACTGCTCTGGAAATTTAACAGTCTGATGACTCTCTCAATTTTTTGCCACATTCTCCTTTTAAAAAAGTAGAGCAGAATTTTTTGTGAAGTTAACCCTACATTTATCGATTGTCATTTGTTTTTTTTTTAATTTTTTCATTGATTACTTGATTAAAAATATAAGAAATAATACACACAGGGTATGATTACATGTACAAAATTAGCCTTCTCTATGCAGAGAACAAATCGACGCTGCTTTAGGTATGGAGTGAATTATTTTTTTGATAAAATTTATTAAAAAAACCGGGTTGTTTTGTTGAATTGATCAGATGAAATACATAAGCGTTTAAATGTTGTTTTACTCTATTATAACTGGGTGATAGTTGAATTTCTATTAACTAAATACTTTATTTTTACAGGTGACAAAGCATATATGATATAATATGGGTCTGAATCAACCTGCAGTCAACTAATGAATGTCTCGGACTTGAATCGCTATGCCTTACCTTCCCCAAAAATGGATAAGAGAAGACCTACGAAGAAGATCCGAGTAAAGACTATTCAAAGAAAAGACCGACTATCACACCATATTGTCCAAGATGCCATAACTGTTCTTGCTATAATAATATAATGTTTTATAATCTTTGTATATAACATTTCTAATGATTTAAAACACGCAGATTGCACAGCTTGCGATGATAGCATTGAATTTAGGGTTCCTAAGATTATGTTAAGAATGTGTGCTAGTATTTTTTGTGTTGACAGTGAAAGCCCCTCTCTATTCACTTATATGCTCAGTATTTGTAATGAGGAATGTAATTCCTGATATGTCTAATACCGTATGATCGAAAAAAAACGGCGTCCAGTTGGCTAGGAAATGACAATCAATGACATTTTCCATATAAATTTACATATAAAATGACAGCAATATTCATTTCATAGCCATCGCTGACGCCGTTTTTTTATCATATCTATGTATAACCAGTTGAATTATCATACTTCTAGCTTAATAATTCAGGCAATTTCTAATTATTAAAAGTTTTCTTTAATAGGCGCATTCAACGATAAACAATTTGTAAGTTAATGCTAAGATCGAAAAAACCGGCGTCCAGTTGGCTGGGAAATGACGATCGATGATATTTCCCATATAAAATGACAGCGATTTTTATTTCATAGCCATCGCTGACGCCGTTTTTTTTTCGATCATCGGTATAATGAGATGATTTAATTGTGATGTAATTATCTAATTCTATTGTTCATTTTTATATATTATTTATTATAATGTTATGTACTAATCTATTAGGCAATTGTACTATTATACCTATATAAAATGAATAAATAAATAAAAATAAAATACTGATATTGTCTTCGTTAAATTGTTAATTCTCTCTATAAGTGCCCACAGGAAAACTTATGCTGATCTTTCTCAGAAACAAAAATAAAAATTGTATTAAAGTTGTTATTAATAAATACCTAAAAATATATAAAAGTGTTTTATTTATACTAGTTTATTTCAAAAAATATATACCTGAAAGTATACATAAAAATATTACGATCTTAAAAACAGCAAACTCCAATAAGAAAATTTAAACGTGTGTGTCGATTTCTGACAACCAGTAATACAAATATATTCCCTTAAATTAAACTATTTAAATTTGCTTTCAAACTTATTAATTTTTATTTTGTGTGTGCCAGTTTCGTTCAAGAGAAGAGTAAAAATTTTGTCAATCCGAAAATTTTTGATCACTTTTAAAATCGCATTAAATTTGTCGGAAAAAGCGATCTCTAGATGTTTGACCTCGTTTTCAAACTTTGACCCTGAATAACTCAAAAACTAATAGAGCTATCAGAGCGGGGTTAGGCTCTATCGATAGAGAATTTCAAGCTCTATCTCTATGCAAAATTACAGGCCGTTTGGGCATACTTTAATTTTTTGGCCAAAAATGAGCAAAGGGTATACACTTAGAAAATTTTTCGGCAGAAAAATAAAATATGCCCAAATGGCACCAAACTTTCCTATCAGATAGAGAATTTAATTCTCTATCGAATGCCGTAATTAGTTTTTCGACGCGCTAATTAGTTCTTGAGTAATTAATTTTTTTAATAATTAATCTAACTCTTCGAGCTCGTTGGCCGATATTCCCCACCATGTCCAAATATTTTGACAGGTGTTTAAAAATTTTAAAACGGTCACCAAAAATGAGCAATTTGTTGCTACGATTGTAAAAGATTTGGCTATAATTTCTCAATAAGAACTATTTTTAATCTCTCAAAAATATTTCGGCATATTAATGACATGTATTTAAATAATTTTATTATAGATTATATTAAAAATGTTAGTCAGAAATATGTAAATAAAACACTGGTAGAAATTATTATTTATTTATTAATATGCTATTATATGGCTACAATATTAAGTGTACGAAATTAACTAATATTAATAACTACTACAAATATATCAAAGCATTTATTATAAAATAAAAATCAACAGGTATATTGCCATGGATCTTCAAACAGGTAGGTAGTGGAATTCTTCAGATTTCAAAGTGACCTGAAAAGAAAAATAAAGACTTTAAAGAAATAATATTACACTTATTTTAAGGCTGTTTCAATCTTATAAGAAATAAATAACAATGATTATTAGCTTTATTTACAAAAATAAAAGGTATGTTAAAGTTACAAGACAGGTAGGTATTTTAATATAAGGAACTACAGGGTAAACAATTGACTGAAAAAAACACTATATCAGTGTTTCTATATGAAATTTTCACTCCGACTCTTACTAAAATAGACTGCTTGGTATATACGGGGTGAGTGAAAACTAGATGTTTTTTTCTATTTCAAATGAAATATTCTGTACTTTTTTTCTTAAATCAATACAGCTTGTATGGAACGAATGTGCACTACAGCTGCTCGCATGTAGTTTATATAAATTTGCAGTAAGAAAGTGATATCGAGCTTTTATTAATAACACACACACTTAGAAATAAAGTAATCGAGTCTTAACAAAAGTGTAACAACGCTTTTATTCTTTGATTTCCAAAACTATAACTTCGTTCTGTATATCTACTGCAACCCATATCGATACATACATCAACAGAACAACTTACAAACCTTCTTGAATTCTTAATATCCAGTGCTCTTGTATAATACGATGTTACATGTTACAGTTGCTACTATCAGTACTATCAGTTAACAGATAAAATATGTCTTCGTAGACTTCGTGACATCTTACCAGACCGAGTTTCTAAAAGAAAAATAGGAATTTACAGATTTATTTGGATACTTAACATTTTTCTTCGGAGTAGCAAATACTTAAATCATTACCTATTTTTAACAGAAAATAATTAAAATAAAATCGAAAAGGCCATGGAATAGTCAAAAAAACAAATGACGATCGAAAAATGTAAGGTTAAGTTGACAAAAAAATTCTCCTCTACTTTTTAAAAATTGAAAGTGGCAGATAATTGAAAGAGTCATCCGGCCATCTTTTGAATTTCTGGAGAAGTAGGCTGCATAGCCTAGGCAACTTAGGCCCAAAAAATTATAAGAGGAGTGTGTGACTTTGAGCCCAAAAAAACAAAAAAGAAGAAATTTTAGTTCGCGAGTTTCTCCACCAGATTGCGCTGTAATCATTTTAATTTTAGGCGGGCACTTTAAAAATTCCAAGATTTTAAATCAATTTTAAGCTGAAAACGACGCTTTTTCGACATTATTCATAAACTGGAATAAATTCTAAACACTCAAATATTAATTTCGTTCAAAATTTCTTTAATAAAAGCGATAATTTTATGTAGACTTGAATATAATTTTCGTAGGTTAATTAATTTTTAATGCGTCTGTCAAACTGAAAAATCCAAACATTCCGATCCGATAGTTGAATGAAATGATTTAAAGAGTTTTGTTTATAAACATGGGCTGTTGCGACTCGAAAGAAAAAGATCAGGAGGAGGAAAATGAGGAGAGAACTTGTACCGACGTATTCTGGCTGATTCTCTTCATTTTATTCTGGTTTTTGATGGTAAGGCGTTACGGTTTTCTCTTTGTTTTAATATCTAATTAATTCCTAATTACTTTGTAGGTGATAATCGCCGCATTCTCGTTCGTATACGGAAACCCGATCAGAATTATAAATGGCTATGACTCATTTGGCAATACTTGCGGCACAAAACACAACAAAGTCATGGGAAATTTCACACTTTCAGGCCTTGATACATCCGATAAACCTTACCTTCTCTTCTACGATGTAAAGGACTTGAAAGAATCCCTCAAAATATGCGTTAAAGAATGCCCAACAAGGACTTTAACAACAGTACAAGAGCTTTACGATTATCACAAATCTGGTGTGGATCTATGCAAATACGGATTTAATTATGAGTCCCTCAATGACAGAAGTATAGATAAAGCAGTTTTATTAGCCCCTTTAGGACCTTGCCCCGTTTTACCAGTTTATGAAGGGTATTTTTAGCAACTTTCTAAGCCTACAGTTCTTTAAAAATACTTTTCAGAAAGCCTGTTTTACACCGTTGTATCCCAAAACCTATAAAAGAAGTCACTGAGTCGATCTTGAGGAATTTTTATGACTTGCTCAATGGATGGGATACTTTAGAACAGATACTAAGCGACCTGTATCATACATGGAAGGAAATATTAGGGCTGGCAGTGCTTTCCCTTTGTACGTACTAAAATATAAACAAATATAATTTCTAATAACGTTTTTTTGTAGTAATATCCTTGCTAACCATCACAATATTACATTGCCTGGCACACATAATCTCGTATTTCATAATGATCGGATTTGCTATAGCGAGTATAGGAGGAACAGCATATTTGTGGTATACTTACTATGATATTAAGCATAATCTAGATAAAACTGAGCAAAACGAAAGATATAGTTTATTGCTGGAGTCTGTACGAAATGAAGTAGCTTTTCGTTGGTATGCTATTATTGCTACCGTTATAACAGTGAGTAGAAGACCGATATTTTATTAACAATAATTTTACTATGGTATATTTTAGGTTATAATATTAATAATAATTATTTTTATGAGAAAACAAGTAGATTTCTTGGCAAACCTTTTCAAGGAAACTTCAAAATGCATTATGCATTTACCAGGACTGTTTTTCCAACCTTTTTTAACCTTTATAGTTCTTGTTCTTTTCTTTATGTTCTGGATATTCGTTGTGGTAAGTTCACCTCAACAATTTTCTCAAAAAAAAAAAAAAATATTAAAAACACTTCTTTTTTTAATAAGTTATGTCTTGCCACCGCAAACTACCCGGGAACTGATGTAATATCCGGAGTAAGAGTCACAGGACAGGGCTCAGCATTACTGACAACCCCCTCGACGAATTCCGCCTTGAAAAACAATTCGATCATAGACAAACTTAACCGTAAGTACCCCAAAAACTTAATAAATCCATATTTAAAACTATATATTTTACAGAATTTAAAATGATCATATACAACGATGATTCCTGGGTGAAAAGTATGTGGTGGGTGTATTTCATAGGGCTGATATGGACGTCGGAGTTTATTATGGCCTGTCAGCAAATGGTGATTGCTGGCTCAGTGGCCCACTGGTTTTACAGGCATAAATACAAGAACAATGATCATGTTTGCTACTCTATGGGCAAGTTAATCAAGTACCATCTGGGTTCAGTCGCCTTGGGTTCACTTATAATCACACTTTTCAAGATTCCGCGTCTCATATTAACATATTTACATGAAAGGTACGTTATATAACTGAAAATATAATGATTAAATGTATAAAACTAAGTTCTCACTAATCATTGTTGTTAAAGTAATGTTCTATGAATTGACCTGACGTGACGTCACTCGCTTATTCATGTTGGCTACATGATATACAATAAAAAGGAACATTTAGTCATCTTACGGTCTAATATTTTTACTAAATAAGGTTGATAAAAAAAATAATTTATTAAAATTACGTTTCTAGGTTCACAAGGAATAAAGAAAAAGGTAGCGAGTGTGCCGCGTGCGCCCTGAGAGGCTGCATTTGCTGTTTTTACTGCCTGGAAAAATTTATCAGATATTTGAACCACAACGCTTACACTGTTATAGCCATTGATGGGTCGAATTTTTGTAAAGCGGCAGGAACGGTAAGTTTTAAAAAAGAATTGGAGCGTTTTGAATATTACTATCAACAAAAAAAAGCATCATAGTGTCTCTTTTGAAATATCAATCTTTCATAATTTTTACTGGATTGACCTCTAGAAGTCTTTATATTTTTTAAATAAATGTCATAGGAGTTGTCCAGACAGAAATTATGAAACATTTTCATTTCAAAGCCTACCATGACACCGTTTTTTTTATTTTAATAACATACATATACATATAAATAATTTTAAAACATCTTTGTGTTAACTTTCTTCTTGACGAAATGGCGAATGCGCCTATTAAATGAACATTTTAATATTTAGAAATTGCCTGAGTTATTAATGTAGAAGTACTATAATACAACTGGTACATATCGATCAGGTACATATCGATCATACAGTACTATAGATAAGTACTGTATGATCGAAAAAAAAACGGCGTCAGCGATGGCTGTGAAATAAATATTGCTGTCATTTTATATGGAAATTGTCATCGATCATCATTTCCCAGCCAATTGGACGCCGGTTTTTTCGATCATACGGTACATTTTTGGCCGAAATGTACTGAATATATTTAAATTAGTTATTGTTTGTTTTGTATTTGTTTAGGCTTTTGAAGTACTGACCTCCCACGCTCTGCAAGTGGCCACCATCAATTCTCTGGGCGATTTCATCCTGTTTCTGGGCAAATGCTTCGTGACAGCCGTGACAGGGTGCGTGGGACTCGCCATCTTCCGTAGAAATCCAGAACTGACGTTTTACGCGGCCCCGACCTTGTTGGTGTGCATATTTGCCTTCTTCGTGGCCCACTGCGTACTTTCATTGTATGAGGTATGTATAGTATTATTTAATAATATTATTTATACAAAAAATGTCTATACCTATGTAGCGAATGCCTCTCTCCAAAAAATCCTATATGGGTATTTCGCCACTGCAAGAAAATCAACAAAATAAAATAGTTATTTTTTGTAAACACTTCTGCGTTAATCCAAACGAAAACTACTTATCAGCAGTTAGTTTTACAGATATACAAATTTGCCTAACGAACAAACAAAAAAAATTATAATAAATAATAATAATAATATGTATAATTTATATTAGAATTTATATTTTTATGTGAACGTGATAAATTTTACTTAATTTATCACGGTTTTTACTGATTATTTAAGAAAGGGAGATTTTTACAGATCTAAGATTTGTCAGCATCCATGGGACACAGGACACAGAAAAAATTTTAATAACGCCAAAATTATAATGAAAGCTTCTAAAAGAAAAATAAAAGAGACTTTTTTAATACAATTTAATAAAAATAAATGTATTGCTCATGCATCTATAGATGTTAGTAATGTATGGCAATCGCTTCTTTGATTTTAAAGAACATAACATAAATAAACATAACATACGCAAAATTTAAAAATAATCATACAGAAAGTTTGGGGCCTTTTGGTTTTACCTTATTAAGTAATTGTGATGAGGTATTAATTGTTAATTTTGAAGTTTAACTTGATATAATGTCATTTTAACAACGTCAACGGTTTCTTGTAGGCGTATCTGTTTTAAAAAACTAAAGTGTTCGCGAATAGTTGAATTTAAATATTTTAAATAGTTTTTTTTTCTTTATTCTTAGTATTTTTTTTTGCTTCCGACGACGGAAAGAGATAAACTTACCGAAACGTTAAGCATTTTTTTGTTTGTTAGGCAAATTTGTATATCTGTAAACTTAACTGTTGACAAGTAGTTTCCGTTTGGATGAACGTAGAAGTAGAGGTGGGAATTCTAGTTCCTTGGGAGGAACTAGTTCCTCCAGAGGAATAGTTCCTTGAACTAGGTCTTTAGTTCACAATAGTTCCCGACTAACATTGACATCCCCCTTGCTTGCTAATGCGTTTCGTTGTCAGTCAGAACTATTCACAGTATGATATTGCAGATAAAAAAAAAATTAAAAAAAAACTCAAATCAGAATTTAAAAAACTATATCACAAATCAATTGTAGCAAATATTACAAAAATTTTACGAAAAATTGCATTTTTCCTCACTTCAAGCTTTTTGTTTTTGTCTAAAAATTCAGAATATCTACTTCGTTTTATAAGATATTTCTTAATTTTAGGGACCTAAAGTGAAACATTCCCATAAAATATTTAAAAAACAAACTAAAAATCAAAAACAGTATCCACGACAATTTTCTGTGGCAATAGACAAGACCGAATCCATCGTCGTCGCCTTGTATTATATCTCGGATCTGCCGACTGAATAGATACCCGTGAACTAGTCTTTTTATAGTTCCTCTATATCCGGATCCGATAACATACGGCTGGCACTCCCCACGCCTGCCTAGCATCAATCGCGCTGGCTGATCCATACGTAAACTAGTCTTTTATTTAGTTCCTCTAGTTCCTTTAGGTCCGGATCCGATAACATACGGCATACGGATCGAACTCCCTACTCCTGCCTAGCATCGATCGCGCTGGCCCGATCCGTTCGTACGTAAACTAGTCTTTTATTTAGTTCCTCTAGTTCCTTTAGGTCCGGATCCGATAACATACGGCATACGGCTGGAACTCCCTACTCCTGCCTAGCATCGATCGCGCTGGCCCGATCCGTTCGTACGTAAACTAGTCTTTTATTTAGTTCCTCTAGGTCCGGATCCGATAACGTACGTCTAGCACTCCCCACTCCTGCCTACCATCGGGCTACGCGCGTTAGCCGATCCGTCGCCGTCGCATATTATTCTATATCGGACACAGTCTCGATCCCGGAATAGGTCCTGAGGAACTAGTCCTTTGAGAAACCAGGAACTAGTTCCTTTCATTCCGGGGTCGGAATAGTTCATTGGAACTAATTCGTTCACGAACTACACACCTCTACGTAGAAGTGTTTACAAAAAATAGCTATTTTATTTTGTAGATTTTCTTGCGGTGGCCAAGTACCCATATAAGATTTTTTGGAGAGTATACAATAAATTAATAATATTTCCAGATGGTACTCGATACAGTGTACCTCTGCATGTGCCAGAGCGGAGACGCTCCAGATGGCATCCAGATGCAGAATTTGGGCGTGACAAACAACGGAAATACGCAACGTCAAAGCACAGAAACCGAACCAATGAGTTAAATAAGTTTTTTTTTCAGCTAAATAAGCACAAAAAACGAGGCTATTCATGGCATAGATATTCCCTCACTGTATTTGTCATGATTTTTTTATTCTTCTCGCATTTTAGACACGTTTTTGCATTTATTATTAATTATTATCATTGATGTTATTATAATTATTGTAAAATATACTCTAAGAGGCTGAGAAATTCATGTTTAAACTATTATAAAATAACGCACATACTCTAATATTATTATGCTGTGTAAAAGTACAATTTATAGAGATATATTCCGTATGATCGAAAAAAAAACCGGCGTCAAGTTGGCTAGGAAATGACGATCGATGACATTTGCCATATAAAATGACAGCGATCTTCATTTCATGGCCATCGCTGACGCCGTTTCTTTTTTCGATCATACGGTACTTATCTATAACGGTTGAATTATCTATCATACTTCTACCTTAATAATTCAGGCAATTTCCAAGTATTAAAAGTTTCCTTTAATAGGCGCATTCGCCATTTCGTCAAGAAAAAAACCTGATTTGCAAGTTAATACAAAGATATTCCATTTAAAATTATTTTTTCAGTACTCTGGGTACATAGATACAATATAATTACTGTAATATTCTACTTAAATATTACATTTCATTTATAAAATGCCGTATGATCGAAAAAAAACCGGCGTCCAGTTAGCTGGGAAATGATGACATGTCCCATATAAAAATTTATATGGGACAAATACACCTAAAACGACAGCAACATTATTTCATAGCCATCGCTGACGCCGTTTTCTTTTCGATCATACGGTACTTATAAAAAAATATTATGTATTTACGCACATATATATAAAATTGTATCATATAAGTCTGAGCTTTTAAAATGTGAAAACTGCCATTTGTTGTATTTTTTTAAAGATATTTACAAAAAACGAATCTCAGTATCAGTATACGCCCGCATATATTAACAGTCCCAAAAAAAAAACGGCGCCACGGTGACCTTTGAAATGACAATTAATTATAATTTCTCTAAAGAAAAAAATACTAAAATAGAAAATGGTGAAAAACAAAAATATTTTTAATGGTTTTTAAAAAGTAGAAAGTTTACAGGCGCAGAAATTTTCAGCCATTGTCATTTCTCAGGCCGCTACGACGCCGTTTTATTTCGATAGTATGGTGTTTATATTTCTTAATATTTTACAAGAATACCCTTAGTATTCGGTGTAGCATGTATATGTAGAAAATTCTATATTATTTATAAAAAAGTAGTAAGTGCCTCAAGTAACAAATCCATAAAAAATATCGGTGCTGTTGATTTATTTATTCTCAGTAATATAGGAATGTTTATGTATTTTTGCTAATTATTTATATGTATTTTTAGTCAGTAATTTTCGAATATATTTATAAGTTATTTAAACTCCTTTGTAATTCAATTTAAATAAAAACCTATCACACTTAAAATATCACATCTTTTATTATATACAAAACACCCTTATTACTTCTTAACTTTCTTAGCTTTAGATACCAAAACTTTTGTACCTCCTTTCTTCAAAACTTTCTTCTTTTTCGCCATTTTTTTCTCCTTGGTCTTTTCTAGTTCCTGTTCTTTATTCAATTCTTCGGCTTTTTCTACTGGGTCTCCTTTAAAAATGTCCTCCAAGGGTATTTTTGGCTTTGTTGAACCATCGGGCTTGTTGATTTCTGCATTAGTTTTTTGCTGAACTCTGTCTAAATACTTGTTCTTTGCTTGGAGTCGTACTTGATGCCTGTACCTTGCCGGACTCAAATAATGAGGGTTTTCCCACAGAGCTTGTCCAGAAAAACTACCAGAGAATATTTTTACCTAAAAATATTCCTTGAGTTCAAGATTAAGACAGTTTTTATTGAAATGAAATTTTGTGAGCATACTACAAACTTACAGGGTTTAGTACAAATCTAGGACCGATTTCTGCCACTGCACCATCCTCAGATAAGATTTGGAAGTTCCTAAACCAAATCCTATGGTCTAAAATCGTAAAGGTATAGACATGATCGAAGAAAGGCTGACTTTTTGGATGATGTTTTGGAACACCAAAAATTTGTGTTAATAATTCCTTCAATAAACTATATTGGGGTTCATTCTGGAAGTTTTTGTCAAAACTCAGCAAAGGTCTTGAACCTCTCAAACAATTTCCAGTAAGTTTTAATTCGGCCATCGTAGAAACTAAGGAAAAAACAATACATTACATAGCTACACCTCAAATTAAGTTATATTTATTTGCATACCATTTTCAACTAAAAATTTTGCACTAGGTCCATTAGGCACATTTGAAAGCCACATGTACAAGTCTTGCTTTTTCCTGCCTTCAAACATGATGGCTTTGTTACAATTTTTCATTTCACAAAGCTCATTTACAACGCTTAGAGTTTTGGATCGTTCCATTTTCGATTCAGGTTTATGGTGGGGCATCATTTTCTTTATGTCCTCCATCAAATGCCTATCGCGATGATTTATACCTCTAGACGCAAAGACCAACACTCGCTGCTTGTTGGTCCATTTCCTCTAAAAATTACTTGAGAAATTATTCAAGTAAAGAAAAGCTAATGTTTACCATACCTTTTTCTGAATAGGCTCTTCAGAGTTTCTAACGGCTGGTAAAGGTTCTGGAGACTTTTCAGCCACTTCCTCTAGTGCTGTGTGTTTTCTTTTAACAGTTTTTTTCATTAACTTAGTCATTTTCTAAATAAAAATCGTTCAGAAGTTCACGTGCGAAAAACAAACGCAGAGCCGAAATCAAAAAATCCACGTGCTTCTTCCAACCAGGGCAACCACAGAGGGCAACCAGAAAAATGCAGTAAAACATCTAAATCATCGCTATAGATTAGTGGAGTTAGGTCTTCTATGGTAACGATTTTTTAAGGCCTAGAAAATAAAAAAGAAGAGTTTTCAAATATAACCTCACAAAACTGTCAATATTTAAAAACACCGTGGTTTTATTTTGTATTATTATTTAATTATTAATAAATATGGAATATTCAAGCGATTCGGAACTAAGTGATAGCGATAAGGAAGTAGGTTCCCTTTTTCCTATAACAAGATAAAGAAACAATAACTTATATCTTTATTTCTAGCTACAAGAGGCTTTTGCGGAAGGAAAACTGAAACCAGGACTCAATACTGTACACGAAGCACCCAAATCATTCATAAACAATGTGGTAAGTTGCGTAATTTCGTTATCTAAGCACCCGAAATTGATGCACAATTTTTCAGCAAGGACTAAAACATAAATTGGACGAAATAAAACTAAATTTAACTTGGCTAGAAAGACTGGATAGTGTAAACGATCAGGCACCACTAGCACCTGAGTTAGCAGCCCAAATGTTAGCCCACGAACATAAACGTGAAAACCAGTTGAAGAATAACAAGAAGTTGCCACAATTTTCACCCACCGAAGATCCAGTGTTGAATGATTTCAAACGAGAGATGTGCTTTCATCGTCAGGCACAGGCAACAATTTTAGAAGCTATTCCCAAGCTTACAAAATTGGGATTACCTACTAGAAGGTAAATTATTTCTATATTATTAATCTAGGACTTTTAAACAGTATTTTTTTCTAATTATAGACCAGAGGATTACTTTGCTGAAATGGCTAAAACTGATGAGCACATGCAAAAAATCAGGGAACACCTAATGCACAAGCAACAACAACAACAAAGAAGTGAAAGAGTCAAACAACTAAGACAACAAAGGAAAGAAGGAAAAATGCTACAGATTCAGACAAAACTACAACGAATGCAAGAGAAAAAAGAAATGTTGGACCAAGTTAAAAAGTACAAAAAGGGTGTTTCAAAGGACTTGGACTTCTTAGATTCCAAAAAGAACACCAATAGCAAAGCAATTTCTAGAAAATCTTTAGAGAAACGGAGACAGAAAAATAAGAAGTTCGGGTTTGGTGGTAAGAAAAAGGGCATGAAGCTGAACACAAAAGACAGTGCTGCGGATATAAGTGAGTACAGGAAACCTTCAAAGGGTCCTAGCAAAGGGAAGAAGGGTAAAGGTCAAATGAAGAACAGCAGACCAGGGAAAAATAGGAGGATAAAAAACAAAACTAAAAGGAAATAATATTTTTTTGTTTAAGAATTATTTGAAACTTTAATAAACGTATTTTTATTACTTAATAGTATACAAAGTATTTTACTTACATATCCTGACAATCCTGTTTTATGTACGTATGTATAAACTTAAAAGAAATTCATAATATCACAGAGTAGAGCTTTTGATTTGCTCTATAACGAATAATAACGATTTTTAACTATGCTTCAAGTTTTGTAATCTGTCAGGGTGGCGGTAATAATCCTTAAAAAATAGTTATAATCAGATAAATGATTAAATAAAATTTTTATAAAAGCTAGCCAGATTCTGAAACGCTTTTTTTATCGACTGTCGAACCGTTCTTTGCAGTTTATTTAATTATTGGTGGGGGATGGAGGATTTCCATTATTTGTGGGTATTTTAAAAGAGCTGTTTTATACCTCGGGACGTTTTTGAGTTTTTTTTTGGGATATCGCTCTCCATTGCGATGTTTTCCTTTTTTATGATATTCGGTAAGGTTTTAATTCTAATAAATTTATCTCATTATGATATTAATATATTGTATTTTTGAGTATTATGCGTATTAACTAATGATTATACTAAGTGATTATAGTGTATCGTTAATGAAAAAGTGTTAAATGCTTCTTTTGTTATGCCAAGATACATAATAAAACCTGTTCATATAATTTAAATATACCAGCTAGATAAATTTTTAACGCCCTGTATAACTGTAACATTTTTTAGTTTTATAAAATTATTTGTTTGCTTTATTTAATTATACATTAAAATGCACTGAATATCTTCATTTCACAATAAGATAAAATTATTAGTATTAAAACTCTACCGACAATCATAAGAATATGGAAAACATCGCAATGGAGAGCGATAGCCAAAAAAACTCTTAAACGTCCCGAGGTATAAAACACCTCCTTCAAACTACCCACAAAAAATGGATGGATCTCCTCCATCCCTCCACAAAATGAGGCTCACTTAAAATTTTGTTAAAAATGTGCGCATTTTTGTTTTACCCTGTATTATGGGCCCTGAAAAATAATTGAAAAAAACTACAAAGAACGGTTCGATAGTCGATAAAATAATGTTTTAGAATCTGGCTGGCAAATTCAAAATTCCTACAAAAGTTTAAAAAATACAAGAAGTTAAACTTAATGCAAAAATTTGCACTTTACGCTTCAATTGATGCTCAGTTTAGTTAACACTGTGGTTCAAATTATTATAATTTATAACATTTAAATCTTATACAATATAATGATATTTATATAATTTTATATTATAATAATATAATATTATATATTATACAGGGTGTTTCAAAACAAATGCGAAAAACTTCAGGGGGTGATTCCTTGTTCAAAATAAAGGGTAGTTTGCTTCATAAACGTTTGGTCAAAAGTCAACCATTAGGGAGATATTGCGGTACAAAGATAATGTTTTTATTTTTTATCTTGAAAACGAAAAGAGATAGACTAATAAAATTTTATGGAAGCATTACTGTTATGAAAACACACTTTCTGGTAATTTTTTCACTTTTTTAAAATGAGTGAAGGGGTTGAAATAAACTACCCCTATCATTCTTGTTAACGAAATTTAAAGAAAAATCTTATCAAATACATGCAAAAAAATTAATTTGGATAGTTTAGTTTGTTTAGAAACTTTTTTATCTCTTGTATTTTTTTGATAAAACTCACCGATTTGAAATTAAGAAATAAAATGTAAAGCATTACATGTCAGGACAAAAAACATTTTCTGATAAAGAATGTAGTGGGCTGCTGTAATTTTTTTAGGAAAAAATCTAGTCAGCCGCTGTTACTTTTTAGGATGTTCCTAATATTATTTTATTTGACATTACTCTACTGCAATACGTTATTATCTAGATGATTATTATTATCGTTATTATCACTAGATTCTTAATCTAAAAAGTTTTTTGTCCTGACATGTAATGCTTTACATTTTATTTTTTAATTTCAAATCGGTGAGTTTTATCAAAAAAATACAAGAGATAAAAAAGTTTCTAAACAAACTAAACTATCCAAATTAATTTTTTTGCATGTATTTGATAAGATTTTTCTTTAAATTTCGTTAACAAGAATGATAGGGGTAGTTTATTTCAACCCCTTCCACTCATTTTAAAAAAGTAAAAAAATTACCTGAAAGTGTGTTTTCATAACAGTAATGCTTCCATAAAATTTCATTAGTCTATCTCTTTTCGTTTTCAAGATAAAAAATAAAAACATTATTTTTCCGACATTTTTGTACCGCGATATCTCCCTAATGGTTGACTTTTGACCCAACGTTTATAAAGCAAACTACCCTTTATTTTGAACAAGGAATCACCCCCTAAAGTTTTTCGCATTTGTTTTGAAACACCCTGTATAATGATATTTATATATATTATATATTAAATGAATTCATTGGCATCCGCAAAAATGAAGAACGTAGTTTTCATTTTTTTCCAAACTGTTTATCTTTTATTTTAAATTTTTAACAAACGTGGCCGAATGTGGCGATAAAATTTATAGAATCACTACTTTAACAGTTGCTTTTTTTAGTCAAATTAATCTGAGACCAAAGTTCGGTAAAGCTTTTTTCTTCTAGTCTGATTAAAGTAAGAAGTAAAATAATTTTATTAGAAATAGATTCAGATTCAAACTAAACTGCATTAAAGGCACGGTATATTTTGGCAAAATGATTTTTACTTGTAATGCCCGTGGATACGAAACAGTTTCTGGGTAATACCGATTTTTAGAAATTAAAAGAAGGGCTGTAAAATATTATTTGTTATCGCGTAAACAATGTTTATTAAAATAAATCAGCTTAAATGGTTTAAACTTCGTTAGACTTGAAGATTTCTTAATTCCCAACCTTAACACCATCAAAATTGTATATTTTTACAGTAAAAAAAGATCCAAAATTTACTGAAGATTATGAAGCTATTATTTATAGTATATCGTATCTAGGCGAAATTTCTTAAAAATTCCATTTTGTTATTTTCCATAACAGTTACGCCCTCTAGCGGCCGTCCTACAAACTTGACAATAATTTCCAGCAATTTCTCATGGTCTCATTAGTCTGCGACTAATACTGTCCGAGATACAGCCGAGAGCTATTCTTAGTGGGACACCCTGTACAATTTCACTTACCGTTATTGGTCGCTTCTAACAAATGATAAAGGTGGGAACTGTGACTTAAGTCACTTCTATCCAAAATACCGTCTTCGATCGACAGTTGCCCGAATGTTTCCATGTCACTAGTGTGTAGACAATCCAGCGGTACCGTAATGGTACCGTCGGTAGTTAAGTTGGCCGTCCTGGTTAGACATATGTCATCAGTGACAGTTAACTCTGTCGAAGCGAAATCTTTTACATCGACGTTTTCTACGTTAACATACTCCTTACTTTGGGCTAAGATTTCTTTGGATTTTTCTAGCAGTGTCACGTTATCATCAGTAACTGCAAGAAAAATATACCGTGTGATCAAAAAATACACCGTTTGGTCAAGTGCGAGTCGGACTCGCGCCCCAAGGTTCCGTACCATTCATTATCTATACAACATCAAGATTCTACGTAAAATTCTTACTTAAAAGATAATGTTTAGTAAAAGTACTTTTCTATTTATAAACATTTATTTAATTCTGTTTTTAGTATTTGTTCTTATAGCGGCAACATAGATACATCATCTGTAAAAATTTCAACTGTCTAGCTATAACGGTTCATAAGATAGACCTTTGTCAAAAACGGTAAACTAATAGGATTGCTCATCCTCATAAGACGTACGTTCGCCCCTTCCCGCGCTTCAGCTGACAGTTGTGACGTCATTGTAGTCCTTGTCATGATAGTGTGTATTTTTAGTTGCCTATGGTAAACTTATAAAAACTTAGACAAGGAAAGAGAGGGGACAGGTAACACGGCAGCTGAAAGTGAAGCCACTTGTAACCACGCGAAATTCTCCAATGGCGTAGCATCAGAAATTAGCTTGTACCTAAACGATAAAAAATATTTATTAAAACGTAAACTAATATATCGTTCATTTTTGAGTAATGCATATACAATTTTGTATTTTATAGTCTCACCTTTATAATATTAGAATATCTAAGTCGATAATGCAAAATTTATTTAACAGTCACAGTGGACTGATTTTCAAGACAATTATTTATTTATTAACGTGTGTATAATGTATAATTAAATAAAAAATAATGTAATAACATATGTTTTAAACGTGTATATACATATATACTGTATGACCGAAAAAAACGGCGTCTTGTTTGTTTGGAAATGACAATTTCACAAATGAATATTAAAAATTGCATTATTCATTGAATCCGTAAGCAAGTGTGCAGGGAATTGGCTAGATTCATTATTATACCGTATAATCGAAAAAAAGCGACGTCCAGTTGGCTTGTAAATTACGATCGATGATATTCCCCATATAATTCTACATATAAAATGACATAAAAACTATACAAAACGACATCGAAAAAAGACGGCGTCAGCGATAGCTATGAAATGAAGATCGCTGTCATTTTATATGTAAAATTATATGGGGAATGTCGTCGATCGTCATTTACAAGCCAACTGGGCATCGTTTTTTTTCGACCATACGGTATAATAATGAATCTAGCCATTCCCCTTCACACTTGCGTGCGGATTCAATGAATAATGTAATTTTTAATGTTTGTTACCTTCAATCATAAGAATATCCTAATTTTCCACAAAAAAATAAACAATTCTAGAAGCTTTGTGTTATTTTATTTATTTTTAAATTTTTATTAATTACTCACTGAGACTATTATTATACACCTAAATTAGCCAATTTTTTGAAAGAATATTTAAAAAAATATATGTAGTAACAAGTAGCCCACCACAAGTTTGTCCACCCCCAGCAAATCTTGGCAGGTAAATTTAACTATACATATAGATTTTTTATCACTAGAATTTTTAATTTTTTTTATAGTTTACAATTATTTTACATATTTGATAACAATACTTTATACATTTTTTTACATGTAAAATATATAAAAAAATGTTTATTGCAGAAATTGTATTTCTCTGATTATAATTCCCTACGCCACTGGAGAAATCCATGCTGAGTAGCATTATTTATAGTTTCAAACATTAATTATAATAAAGGATATTGAAAATACCACTTGGAATTATTAAAAATAGTTTGGTTTGGATGTGGTACAAAACATATTAAAAGCATTTTACATATTTTTACTGCTATAAAGAAAAAATGTACATTTTATGACCACATAACAAAAGTTGTGTATCGATTTTTATCTGTGAAATGTAATTCCAGCCACTTTTTTCTCGCTTCGGCCTTTGCAGCCATACGCTGAACATCTCACCATACTAAACAACACAGTTTATAAATTTAAAACACAACAGTTGTCACAAAAAACATAAAAATTCTCTCGATGTCACCGCGAAATCTTGTCACCAAAGTATGGCCGCCGATCGAATTTTGGCCTCACTAACCGATCACGGGAGAATATGCGTGTTAGCTGTCCCCTCTCTTTCCTTGTCTAAGTATAAAAATAACAGCTGAGAAATTTTCAGTTAATTATTTTGTCAATTTTAAATGTGAAAAGGGTGTCTTTAATTTAAAGTTTTTAGAGCTATAGAGTGTATCAATACGTTCATTTTGTGTTGTGGATTGTGATAAAGTGCTTACTAAGTGCCTACAATATTGTTTATTAATTATTTTAAAGCAAAATATAGAAGTACTCTAAAAAGAATGCTTGCAAAAAGTGATGTTGGGAACTGCTGTTCTTAAAAATGCATTATCCGAGTATTTAATACGATTTATACAATTAGTTTTCTATACTGCATACATATAAGGTGTTTAAATAAATAAACTAAATAATGAACGTTTTGCATTCGGCAACTAATAATGCACGTGTGTATTATTGGTTGCCGGATAAAGACTAATTACCATGACAAGGACTACAATGACGTCACAAAGCGAGTTAGGGAGGACTACAATGACGTCACCTGGCGGACACTTTTGGCTGAATGAGCAGTCCTATTAGGTTAACTGTTCTTGGACCTTTGTGACAGACGGACGGACGGACGGACAACGAAGTCTTAGTAATAGGGTTCCCGTTTTTACCCTTTGGGTACGGAACCCTAAAAATCCAAATTAATACTTACGTTGAGCTGTAGTATCTTTAGGTTTGGCCACTTTTAGGGATCGCATCAGTTCTTTGACAGATTTGTCTGGATGTTCCTTCTTGGCGTGCTGTATCAATTTTGCCTTGCTGGCGTACTGTTTGTGACACCACCGACAGTTCTTAGGTATCCTGGGGACACTGCCCACCGTAAGGGAGAAGGACGTTGCCTGTGTCGCGGATGTTTCCTCTGTTTTTGTCTCCTCATTTTCATCTTTCGGTTTTCTGAAAAAAATAATTAATCATTGTTTATTACTATATTCTACTAGATATTTACCAAAAAAATTAGCCCTGAAGTAACGCAAATAGTAATAATTCATGATAGCTACAAGACATCAGTGAGTAAAAAAGAATCTAGTTGTTCTATGGTCTAAGATATGAAATATATTTTAATTAATATCAATCTAAACTTTTCCATAAATGTTTTATGTTTCATCAGGACATAGTAAAAATCTACAACCAACCCTGATGTGACGTCAAGCAATAGTATAATGTTGGCTACAATATCCGGATAAAAAAATGTCCCTTTGTTACATGGTCTAAGGTATGAAAAATTACTTTAAATTTATATGAAACCATGCTTTTCTGTGAGTTTTATACTTTTCATCAGGATATAATAAGAATCTCTTTTAGCACTGACGTGACATCAATCAATAGCGGCTAGAATATTTGAATAAATAAAAATATCTAGTTGCTCTATGGTCTAAGATATGAAATATATTTCAATTAATCAATCTAAACTTCTCCATAAATGTTTTATCTTTCATGACGACATAGTAAGAATCTAATTTAGCCCGGATGTGACGTCAAGCAATAGCATAATGTGGCTACAATATTCGGATTAAAAAAAGTGTCTAGTTGTTATATGGTCTAAGATATAAAAAACTGCTATTTATATGAAACCATATTTTTCTGTCAGAGTTTTACTTTTCATCAGGATATAATAAGAATATCTTTTAGCCCTGACGTGACGTCAATCAATAATAGATGTTGACTATAATATTTGAATAAATAAAAGTATCTAGTTGTTATTATGATCTAAGGCATGAAAAATTGCTTTAAATTTATATGAAACCATGCTTTTCTGTGAGTTTTATACTTTTCATCAGGATATAATAAGAATCTCTTTTAGCCCTGACGTGACGTCAATCAATAGCGGCTACAATATTTGAATAAATAAAAATATCTAGTTGCTCTATGGTCTAAGATATGAAATATATTTCAATTAATCAATCTAAACTTCTCCATAAATGTTTTATCTTTCATGAGGACATAGTAAGAATCTAATTTAGCCCTGATGTGACGTCAAGCAATAGCATAATGTGGCTACAATATTCGGATTAAAAAAAGTGTCTAGTTGTTATATGGTCTAAGATATAAAAAATTTCTATTTATATGAAACCATATTTTTCTGTCAGAGTTATACTTTTCATCAGGATATAATAAGAATATCTTTTAGTCCTGACGTGACGTCAATCAATAATAGATGTTGACTACAATATTTGAATAAATAAAAGTATCTAGTTGTTATTATGATCTAAGGTATGAAAAATTGCTTTAAATTTATATGAAACCATGCTTTTCTGTGAGTTTTATACTTTTCATCAGGATATAATAAGAATCTCTTTTAGCCCTGACGTAACGTCAATCAATAATAGATGTTGGCTACAATATTTGAATAAATAAAAGTATCTAGTTGTTATTATGGTCTAAGGTATAAAAAATTGCTTTAAATTTATATGAAACCATGCTTTTCTGTGAGTTTTATACTTTTCATTAGGATATAATAAGAATCTCTTTTAGCCCTGACGTAACGTCAATCAATAATAGATGTTGGCTACAATATTTGAATAAATAAAAGTATCTAGTTGTTATTATGGTCTAAGGTATAAAAAATTGCTTTAAATTTATATGAAACCATGCTTTTCTGTGAGTTTTATACTTTTCATCAGGATATAATAAGAATCTCAATAGTGGATACAATATTTGAATAAATAAAAATATCTAGTTGCTCTATGGTCTAAGATATGAAATATATTTCAATTAATCAATCTAAACTTCTCTTTAAATGTTTTATCTCTCACGAGGACATAGTAAGAATTTAATTTAGCCCTGATGTGACGTCAATCAATAATATATGGTGGCTACAATATTTGAATAAATAAAAGTATCTAGTTGCTCTATGGTCTAAGATATAAAATATATTTCAATTAATCAATCTAAACTTCTCCATAAATGTTTTATCTTTCACGAGGACATAGTAAGAATCTAATTTAGCCCTGATGTGACGTCAATCAATAATATATGGTGGCTACAATATTTGAATAAATAAAAGTATCTAGTTGCTCTATGGTCTAAGATATAAAATATATTTCAATTAATCAATCTAAACTTCTCCATAAATGTTTTATCTTTCATGAGGACATAATAAGAATCTAATTTAGCCCTGATGTGACGTCAATCAATAATATATGGTGGCTAGAACATTTGAATAAATAAACGTATCTAGTTGCTCTATGGTCTAAGATATAAAATATATTTCAATTAATCAATCTAAACTTCTCCATAAATGTTTTATCTTTCATGAGGACATAATAAGAATCTAATTTAGCCCTGATGTGACGTCAATCAATAATATATGGTGGCTACAATATTTGAATAAATAAAAGTATCTAGTTGCTCTATGGTCTAAGATATAAAATATATTTCAATTAATCAATCTAAACTTCTCCATAAATGTTTTATCTTTCATGAGGACATAATAAGAATCTAATTTAGCCCTGATGTGATGTCAATCAATAATATATGGTGGCTACAATATTTGAATAAATAAAAGTATCTAGTTGCTCTATGATCTAAGATATAAAATATATTTCAATTAATCAATCTAAACTTCTCCATAAATGTTTTATCTTTCATGAGGACATAATAAGAATCTAATTTAGCCCTGATGTGACGTCAATCAATAATATATGGTGGCTACAATATTTGAATAAATAAAAATATCTAGTTGCTCTATGGTCTAAGATATGAAATATATTTCAATTAATCAATCTAAACTTCTCCATAAATGTTTTATGTTTCATGAGGACATAGTAAGAATCTAATTTAGCCCTGATGTGACGTCAAAAATAATGTGGCTACAACATTCGAATAAAAAAGAGTCTAGTTGTTATATTTATGTATTATGGTCTAAGATATAAAAAGCTATTTATATGAAACCATACTTTTCCGTCAGTTTTTTACTTTTCCTTAGGATGTAATAAGAATCTCTTTTAGCCCTGATGTGACGTCAATCAATAATATATGGTGTCTACAATATTTGAATAAATAAAAGTATCTAGTTCTTATTATGGTCTAATATATAAAACATAATTTGTATTTATATGAAACATTTCTTTTTTCTATAAGTAACTTATCTACAGTGAGATAACAGTGATAACAGTCATCTATTTTAACACTTCTTGCCATTATGTGACGTCAGAAACGCTATATTATGACTAAAAATGTGTCTAGTCGTAATATGGTCTAAGATATATTAATAAAAAAATTCTATTCACAATTTTAAGAGCGTAAAAAAGGTCTAGATACGTTACCTAACGTTTACAGGAAGCTCAGCACCAGGATGACACTTCAAAATGTGGATTTTCCTCTTAGAACTACTCTTGTAGATTTTTTCGCAGTACTGGCAGTAGTAATCCTTGGTCGTTTGCAAAATGGGCAAGCTCAGCTCGGGAACAGTGTCCGGGTTCACTTCGGGATGTTTTTTTGCGAGATGGTTCACTAACATCCCTTAAAAAATAGTAAAAAAATTAGTTAAAATTTTGAAAATCATCACAAGGATATATTTTATACTAATAAGAATCTATTTTCGCCTAGATATTTGACGTCAGTCAATGGTTTATGTTGGCTACACGTTGCTCCACGGAAATAAGTGTCTAGTTGTTTCATGGTCTAAGATTTTAAAAAAATTGTACCTGGATAAATTTTCTGACCTTTATGCAGAGATATAGAGATAGAGAGAGAGATACGGAGAATGGCTGACCACCATATACACCGTGTAAAAAAACGTCTAGAATTTTACTAATATTTTTTTTAATTAACTAATTAATTTTAAGGAAAAAAAATCATTAAACTTACCACGTCTTTTGAACCCCACACGGCACGAGTGACACTTGTAAATATACCTCTCGTAATCGCCTGGTTCGTATTTAACTGTCGATCTCTTCTTTTTCGGAATGGGCACTTCACCCCCAACACTTTTCTTACCCACAGGATGCTTGTTCCTGATATGCTCCACCAACTTATCCTTCCTCTTGAACTGCTTGCCACAGTCCGCGCACAAAAACTCCTTGTGATCCGAATGTTTCAGCATGTGCTTCTTCAAATGCTCGAGACTTGAGTACATTTTGGTGCAATGTTCGCAATGAAACTTAGGTTCCCTGTGGAACGTCCTGATGTGCTTCCGGATGATGCTGTACTTCCTGAAGGTTTTCTTGCAGTAGGGACAGGTGTACTGGTTGTCTTGAGCGTGTTTGGGGATGTGGAGCTTCAGCTTCATCACCTGGTAGAAGCTCTCGTTGCAAATGGGGCACTGGAAGTTTTTCCTGTCCGTGAGGTGGTTCTTTGCGTGGCTTGTTAGGGCCGAGCGAGTTAAAAAACGTTTTTCGCACTTGTCGCATTTCAGGGGTTTGGTCTCTTCGGATCCGTGAACCAACATATGTTTCTAAAAAATAATAAACATAGAGACTTGGTGCGTTTCAGTTGATTTTAAAAATTTCGACCGCAGCGCTTCGACGGCAAAAATCAGAAATTATCAGTATGTATTTCACGCCGCAGTCATGTTGATCGCATTAAAATAATATTGAAATCGTGGCTTTGTCATAATATTGAAGTATTTTAGTTTTTTGATAGTGTTCATTAAAATGTATCAAAGCACTGTTCATTAAAATGTTGTATCCTATGTTATAGGGCTTGTTTCTCTCTACAATTTTCTGTCTCACAATGTACCGTTTGTGTCCAGGAAGGGTTCATAGTTTCATAGATGTCCATTTTCGAAAGAAATCAGTACATTTATTTTATTTCGTATATTTTTTATTTTACTGATTTTATGTAAAGCACTGTTCATTAAAATGTTGTATCCTATGTTATAGGGCTTGTTTCTCTCTACAATTTCCTGTCTCACAAAGTACCGTTTGTGTCCAGGAAGGGATCATAGTTTCATAGTTGTCTATGTATATTATTTCGTATATTTTTCATTTTATTTTAAGTTTCGTATATTTGTTTTATGTTGATTTATTACCTTCCACAGCTTGGCAAATAAGAGAAATCTTATAACAATAAAGCAATGATTGAATTGAAGAAAAAACAAATTGAATCCATACACTTACTTGCAAACTTTCCTTCCTGGCAAACGACTTGTAGCACACGTTACATTTCACGCTCTCCTCATTGGTCACTTTCTTGGGCAGGGCGTGCGTAGTGACGTGCAACACTAGCTGCTTCCGAGTAGGAAATTTCCGCAAACACTGCGGGCACACGTGGTTCATCTGATCCACAGACAACTCGGGATCGTGCTCCAGCCGATGGATGTTCAGCAGGATCTCCCTTCTGAACCTCATGTCGCAGTAATTACAAGCATAATTCCTGGAAATTTTTTTTTTGTAGTTATACAGGGATGGCAAAAAATTAGCAACAATTACAGGGTTATTCATTCATGCCAGGGTTGGGTAACGACGCGTAGAAAATTAATTTTCTACGTGTATGTAGAAAAGTGCGTAGAAAATGTATAAAATCTGAGAACAGGTATAAAATTAATCTATACTAATATATAAAATCCTTGACTCACTGATTAATCACGATCCTGCTCAAACCACTCAACGTAAGAGGCTCAATTTTGGCATACAAGTTGATTCTAGGGTGTAGAGGTTCAATAAGAAAGGATTTTTCGAAATTCCAGTTCCAAGGGGGTGAAACCACCCCTCAAATATTACAATATTTTTTATTTAAAAAACGGTCAAGTTTCCGAAAAAATGCTTAAACGCCCAAGACTAATCTTTGCCAGCCCTTAGTATATGATCTAGGCGAATAACACAAAAGGAGCAACGCAAAAACTTACGGAAAAATCGAAAAATAATCGCCAATCTTCACGCCGCTGAACTTGTGCTTCCTGGACAAGTGGTTCTTCAAAGTACTGAAACTGACAGTGGAGCCAAACGGTTCCTGGCACATGTTACATTCGACTATATCGCTCTGGGACTTCCTTAACACCATCATTCTTCTCCTGTACCTCCTCTTGGGTCTCGTGTTTTCGTCTCCCTCTTCATCGTGAACGTCTAGGTGTTTCTGCAGTTCTTCCGAAGTCGGGAACTTCGCAGAACACTCGAAACACGGCCAGGTATCCTTTATTACGGGTTTCAGAAGTTCCAAATTGAATTGTTGGGCGTAGCTGTGACTGTAGTGAAACTAGAAAAAAAAATGTTTTATTTGATTTTTTTTTATTTCAAATTCAATAGTCAAACGGAAAAAAAGTAGCCTTGGCAACATCGCGACGTGCATTTGTCAAATACGCCACTTTTATTTTCGTTATATGTAGCTGATATGGATAAGGAATTACAGTTTTCTAAATTGCAGCAATATGCAGATGATTCTCAAATTTATTGCAAGATAGATACTAATAATTTGGCACAATTTCAAAGAAACATCTGTAATACTCAAGTATACAAACAGAAAAAAAATTATAAACGATGCCCTAATACTTTGTATTGCCTCTCCTGGCTGCTATAACGCCCTGTATATGTCCGTTCATACTGTCATTGAGGCTGCATATTATATCATATTGCGTTATGTTTTCCCATTCTTCTTTAAGAACCAACCGAAGTTTATTTAATGAAGCTGGTACCGCTTCCCGACCTCTTACCCTCCTGCCGAGCATTTCCCAAACGTCAAACATGATAAGTAGTTTATAGTACTATATAGTTCACAATAATGGGGGGTGCCTATATTACTGGCCAAATTTAAAATTTCCTTTTTGAGATTAGTTGAAAGTAATACCGCCTTAATTTTGCTACTACCACCCAAAAATAAACAACAACCACCTTAATTTTTCTACTACCACCCTAAAATAGGCTACTACCACTTTAATTTTGCTACTACCACCCTAAAATAGACTACTGCCACCTTAACTTTGCTACTACCACCCAAAATTAAATTACTACCACCTATAACATTTATATAGTAATAATTTGTACATGTTGTTTTTGACTGTTATGTTGTGTCGAAGATTATTAAAATAATAAATGCTATACATAATTTTATTACAAGTTTTATTTTAAGTAAGTAAATAAATCAATATTTCTAGCAATTTAACCACTCAAGTATGAAATAATACATTTTCGTAGATTTAAATAAAATTACAGTGGTAGTTTATTTTTGGGTATAATTAGATATATTAAATATTTTGGTAGTAGCAAAATTAAAGTGGTAGTAATATATTTTTGGGTGATAGTAGCAAAATTAAAGTGGTAGTAGCCTATTTTTGGGTGGTAGTAGCAAAATTAAGGTGGCAGTAGTTTATTTTTGGGTGGTAGTTAGGGTTCCCAACTTGAGCATCGGCGATTCCGGGACAATTATTTTTAAGCTTTTAAATAATTGAAGCAAGACATTAAATATTAGAAAATAAAATATATTATGTGTGTAGTACACATTTTTTTAGTTTCCAGGTCCCGGCCAAGGCAAAACTTTCGCCGGGACAAACTTTCTAATTCCTGGTTAATCCCGGCTAAACCGGGACGGTTGGGAACCCTAGTGGTAGTAGCAAAATTAAGGTGGTAGTAATTATTTTTGGGTGGTAGTAGCAAAATTAAGGTGGTAGTAATATATTTTTGGGTGGTAGTAGCAAAGTTAACGTGGTAGTAGCAAAATTAAGGTGGTTGTAGTTTATTTTTGGGTGGTAGTAGCAAAATTAAGGTGGTAGTAATATATTTTTGGGTGGTAGTAGCAAAGTTAACGTGGTAGTAGCAAAATTAAGGTGGTTGTAGTTTATTTTTGGGTGGTAGTAGCAAAATTAAGGGGGTAGTAATTTATTTTTGGGTGATAGTAGCAAAATTAAAGTGGTAGTACACTATTTTTGGGTGGTAGTAGCAAAATTAAGGCGGTAGTAGTTTATTTTTGGGTGGTAGTAGCAAAATTAAAGTGGTAGTAGTTTATTTTTGGATGGTAGTAGCAAAACTAAGGTGGTAGTAGTCAATTTTTGGGTGCTAGTAGCAAAATTAAGGTGGTAGTTGTACGTATTTAGATAGTAGTAACGTATATAAGCTGGTCAGTAAATTATACTGGTCAGTGAAATAGAGTTTCCCCACAATAATCACCAAAACCGCTTTGTCATATTGAAAAATCACTTCAAATTGAAATGAAAAAATTGCAAATTATTGCTGGTAAGTTCATTTCGCTCTAAACAAGACATGTATTGACATGATCCAAAAAACAAAATGCTGAAGAGACATGGTTCTGACCGTAAAATTATATTTTAGGAAAATTTACACACGCAGTTATTGCACAGGATGTTTTAAAGTTAACGTAAAAAACAACACCTCGATTAACCCTGTATAATATACCAAATACTAAAGTTTATAAAAACCTGAGTTTACAAATTAAAGTTGATATAATTATATACAGCTTGCTAAAAAATTCATAAAAATAGAACTAAAAATAACAAAAATATAAAAATTTGACCAAAAATTTCTCGGTTGCTTTTTTTTCGCATCCGAGTGTATATTATTCTTACCTTTAATTCTTCCTTGGGCTTGACATGTCTAATTGTCGTAAAGTACAGTCCGTTTCCATCCTGTGTTAAAATTAGGTTATGTTCATCGAAAGTTTCAGCTTTACGAACGAAAATCATCCAATTTGATAAACCTGAATAACAAAAAAGCGTTACAAATACAAAATTTAAGCAAATTAATAAGTAAAATTCACATACTTTCATCAGTAACATCAACCACATACTCATTCCCGTTGATTGATATATGAAACCAAAGGTTTTTATCTTTATTATTCACACACTCACTAACAGGGAATAAGGAACCTTCCAGAGGTCCAAACTGGGTTTTTTTCGGTATCAGTTTCTTAGCAAAAACACCATTTTCTGTAATTTGTTAAAAAAATGATTAAAATTACTGTTCTTTATAACTTAAAACAACTGTAATACCTTCATTGACCCTGTTGATACATAAATATGATTCAGGTAAAGATGCCCTAGCTCTGGACAATACCGGTTTATCCATTATACTATAAACACACGACACTAAAAATAAAACACTCACTAAACACCCTTTTTTATTCATTTCTCTATGCAACTTACATAATTCCTCTTCAGGGTTAACTTTATTTTGATTACTACTCCTGGTATTGATCTTACAAGGGTTTGCGTCATTAATTTCTATAGTTTTATTCGACAAACATTGTATCAAAGTATTCATAGTTTCTTCATTTAAAGATGTCACTATATTCGGAATCTCTGAGCTATTATTTAGCTCAGTATTTTCATCAAGCTCAAGCAAATCAGACTCTAACAATGGTTCGGGTGCAATGGTTTCCAAAAAATTTTGATTATCCTCTAGACAATGCTCAACCATCAGTTGTTGAGAGTTTACACTATAGGAAATGCCTTAAAAAATAAATTAATAAACCATAATACATCTAAAAGTAGTTGTTACCTGTAGTATGGTCAGTAATTAATAACTCAACCCCTTGTTCAGCCTCAGGTACAAGTTCTAGCCCTCCATCATTACAAATATTGATCGTGTCATCCTGAACCATTTCAAAATATTGATTTTCAGTCTCTCTTAATTCATTATTGCACAAAACTGCCGGTATTTCGCTTGAAATACTGTCCAAAGTATTGCTAGTAGAAAAATCCTGGCCTGTGTCACTCTCCTCAGTAATAAACTGTTGAATAACAATCGGACTGATTTGGTTGTCAGGATTTTCTTCATATTGAACTGGTACGGGACTATATTGAGCTGTACAGCTCATGTTCGGGTCCAAGGGACTTACTTGCGGGGTCACAAAGTCCGTAAAAGTATCTTGGGTCGCCTGAGAAGAAGTTTCGATGATGTTTGTGGATTTCTGTTTTTCAATGTATTCCACCTTAAAGAAAATATTATTAAAAGACCTAATTTTCAATGGTAGCAATGCTATACGTACAGCAATGTAAAGTAAAGTTGAATTGTTATTAGGGCCCTCATCATTAGACCAGTCGTCACAGTTAGCTGATCTCAAGTCCTGAATTTGGTTTGGGTCTTCAATGGAATCGTTAACTATATCCATATTTGCTTTTATACGGACAATTCAATTCGTAAAATAATGTGAGAATTTCTCGATATATTATTTAATATTTACATAAGGCATTTAAAGTTTAAAATCTTTATTTACGAAAAACTAGCCTTCATTTTGCCGTCATAACTGAAAAAAATCTTCATTTGTTGACAACACAGTTGACAAATGAAAAATGTCAAATAAATCAGAATCAGGAGTACCAACATTACAATTTTGAAACCCAGGGACACCAACAAATTTACTAGAGATGGGAAGAAACATCGATATGTTGCAGAAAAAATATCGATATAAACATTTTAACCTCGAAAAGAAAAATTTACGGATTTCTTACGGATAATGGGCACTGACGAACGAAATTTTCGTTCCGTTTATTACGAAAAAGTCGGTTTTAAAAGTGTGGAAGAGAAGAAATCCATCGAAATGTTACTGAAAGAAAAACCCATAGACCAAGTGAAACTGAAACAATTTTGCCTGAGATTTACCGTGCCCCACATATACAGGGCTCTCGTTTGGAAACTCTTACTGGGCATTATTCCTATGCACATAAAGTGCCACAAGTTCGTAATGGAACAAAGAAAACAAGAATACGACGATCTATACCATACATTACATGTTATAAAAAATTTCAATGAAAAAACTCCTAAACAGCAAATATTTCTTTATATGTGGTTAATTCAAACGAGGAAACTCACTTTTAATATCAATTTAGAACAAAATTCCGATGCAGAAAGCTTTACAGCAATCATTGAATATTTATTATACGTTATTGAAGACGATGTAGATCTTTATTGGATCGGAATAAAAATTTACGATAAAATCTCAAAACATCAAGAAGAAATTCCAAAATTAATCGAATGTACACATAATTTAATCGAAAAAGAGGACCCAGACTTGTATAGATACCTTGTTCAAAATAATTTACTAGAGAGTATACCTTTAAAAAAGTGGTTTAATTGTTGGTTTGCGGGAATATTAAATGAAAACTGTCTTGCGAGGTAATTTTATTAAGTTTTAGCTCATTTTAACGGTTAATAAATTAACTTTGTATGTAGGATATGGGATAAAACTTGTGGAGGATCGTATAAAATTTTGGCATTTCTTGTACCCATTATACTTACGACATTGAGACATAAAATTATGAAGACAACAGATATCCAGGCTGTAATTGACAACATAAAAAATGTAAGCTTGTTTCTAAATATTTTATTAACAAACTAATTAGGTTGGAATTTTAGATTCCCGAAGATACAACAGACAGCATCATAAATAAATCTATAGACAAATGGCAACACCACGGTAGCCCTCTTACTGTGCAAGATAAACCAAAAACTAACTAAACTTATTATTTTTAACTGACTGAACTCATTTATTATTATAATTATTATTTTTAAATATTTTTAATATATGTACCTTAATTATAATATGGTTTAAATACTTAAAATAAACTAATAGACGTGTACCATGCCATAAATAAATGTCCAGCACAGTATATATGTAAACAATTGACCAAAAAATCCATTTGTTAACAATGCTTTCCGAGAAATAAAGTATTTGTCCCAATTTGAGAAACCTGCTTTAAACAGAATCATTAACCATAAACTAATCAATGCGAAAATGTAAAAGAAGGCACCGTGTAAACTCGTGAGGCCCAGTAAACCTAAAAATACAGAATATAAAAAAGATTAATACATATTAAGGTAAAAACAGACCTGCAGTACAGCCAGATAGGGCTGCCATGGAGGTTCTACAGTACTCCACGATAGATAAATTGTTTCTTATTGCGCCCTCGCTGTAAGCAATAGCATCTTGTTTGGATTTTGCAGACATTTTTTCGATAATTATTACAATAATCTAATAAACAATTTTCGAATAAAATAAAAATTTTATTTTGACGTTTACAAGTTTGGTTAATTTGCAATTCTTCTTCGTCGATTAGTTTTCTGGCGTCAGCTGTCAGAACACTGCAGCCAGTTTTTCTGTCACAATGTAGCTAAATCCAGTGAGTATTCTTCAAGAAGAAGAAACAATTTGTAACCTAGAAAAACTCAAAATGTTCTTAAATCGTATTTTAAGATTTTCTACGATAAAAAGTACGTATAAAATACTTACCCATCATAAAAATACATCTAGTTTTATTACAGACACAGTAAATGTAGGAAAACGATTCCTAAACACCCAGCAACACAATATAGTTGCCACAACAATTCCCTTTACAAATTCATGGATCTACAGGCAAAACGATGAAATAAAGCCCCCAACGGGGAACAAAACTATATTCGAACTACCCAACGGCCTAGCCTGGGCGCCCCCTCTAGTAGATCCAGATAATGATAAGGAAATAATTAGCCCTCCTACTGAAAACAATACTCCGAAAGAAGCCGTAAGAATGATCGTGGTTCGAAGGAAGAAAATGAAGAAACACAAACTGAAAAAACTGAGAAAAAAGTTGAAATTCGAAAGGGCTAAAGTACTGTCTTAGTTATATAATACTGTATGTTTTGTAAATTGATTATTTTTTTTTATAGCTGAGACAAAAAAGGGAATATAAAAAAGAAAAACTATTTCAAGACAAACTGATTCAACAATGCAAAGTAGCAGAGTCATTTTCTGCTGAGGATTACGTCCAAAACAAACTGGACGAGTTACATAAGCAAATACTCCCAAAGTTCTGGAAAGGAAAAAAACTGCCAGAGTTTTTGATCAGGGAGAAAATGGGGTTACCGCCCAAATAATTTTAGTTGTTATTCGTTTTTTAAGATTGTATATTTCACCTGCGACCGGCAGTAAAGAGTTGTAACAAATTCGGATGGTCTTTCATTAAGTTTATGAGTGAATGTATACGAGCTGCTGTAAATTCCTGTTGCGTTTGGTCACCTTCAACGGCCTTTTTGTCACCCACTACCTCAAGTCTACACGGCACTTTAGTTTTCTGTTTTGGGGCTTTTCCTAAAAAGATTTTGAGCTTAATAAACAGTAATCTGTTATATTTAAAACATGTAGGTACTTCGTTTTTTAACTAGTTTCTTCTTTCTATCTGGTACTTTTTGTTGGGAGGTCTTTATAATCGTCGGACGTTCTTGGAATGACACTGAAGACATATTTTGATCTCTACGAGGAACATTAATTGCTTTGTGGTTCGAGGTACTAGTTGAACCGTTCAGCGAGCCTTTTCTATCGGAAACGCTTTTTTTGCATTGGGTACAACAACTACCTGAAAATATTCAAGACAAAAAACTTATTTTTTTAATGACGAAATGGCGAATGCGCCTATTAAAGGAAACTTTTAAAACTTAAAAATTGCCTGAACTATTAAGGTAGAAGTACGATAATTCAACTGGTTATAGATAAGTACCTACAGTATGACCGAAAAAAAAACGGCGTCGGCGGTAGCTATGACATGAAGATCGCTGTTATTTTATATGTAAAATTGTATGGGGAATGTCGTCAATGTGTTCATTTCCAAGCCAACTGAACGCCGTTTTTTTTTCGATCATACTATACCGTATGTCGTAGAAAAATGTCGTAAAATATATACAGAGAGAAAACGACAGCTTGTATTGAAATGAAATTTTATGGATAGTGCATTTTTTTAAAAATATACAGAGTACTGCAGGGTGTCCCCAAAAAAAGTTACATATCATAGTTGTTTTTTTTTTGTAATAGATTTTCGATTAGAGAAGCATATGACTAAAATGTAAGGTTTTTGACATATTTAGCATTTTCTAAAAATGAAGAACCAATTTTAAATTTCAATAAAAGCTACGCAAATTAGAATTTACCCTGTATAGCCTAATATGATAGTTAAAATAACCATTGTACTTTAAATCAATTTAAAATTTAACCCAAAAAGTTATATAGTGTGAGACAAAATTAATATTGAACATTGGTCACTTTCAAAAGCAAAATACTCTTTTATTTTAAATGGAACACCCGGTATATAATTATTAAAACTATCGAGGATAATAAGAGCATGAAAATAATGAGACGCAAGCTCACTAATGAAATCGCGAGTGCGGAAATTTGCCGAAAATGGAAGAAATCAAATCATAAAATTGTTTATTATGGACTTTTACCTCTGCATTTACCTAAATAGTTCAATATAGTTGTTTGGAAATGTTGTTAAGCTCCGCCTACTAACATGTGTGACTAACTGTCATTATTTTGACGTAAACTGTAGATACCTGTGTGTGACGTGTAGGTTTGCGCGTTCACAGAACTCCGGTCCGTGCCCTGTTCCTTCCTAAGACAGGGCGGCGAGTATTCTTTTTGAATCTTCATCAAGGACTCCCTCATCAATTCGAGCGAGTTTCTCGCCAACACCAGCTTGGAAGATTTCGACCTCACTTCGCATTTGTCGTTGACGAACTCCATGAACTCCTTTTTCTCGCTAGCCGCGTCCAAGGACTCTCTTCGGGAACCTCGCGATCTCACCTCCTCCTTTTCTTTGAGCAGTTCGATGGAATCGATCGGAGACGGTGAGAATTCCGTTGAAGGTTTCCTGGCCAGCGATATTTTTCTAAGCAGTATCGAGTCTCTGGTTTCGACGGCCAATTCTCTAGAAGTATCTTGATAAAAAAAAATATAAAAAAAGACTAGAGAAACTTTCTTGACGAAATGGCGAATGCGCTTATTAAAGAAAACTTTTAAATACAGAGAAATTGTCTACTTTGTCACTTTTTTGCTTAAGTGATCTTTAAGTGATTCGGACAATGTAGTTACAACGTTGGACAATATAGAGTTTTCCGACGTCAATTTCAGGACCTATTCCAACGTTATGCAAACGTAGGTCTGTTTTACTAATTCCAACGTTGTTTAGATTTCCTTATTCTTACGTTGGTAGGACGTCGAGTCACTACTTTTTTGCAACTGTATTGAACCGTAACCTTAAATCTTAAATTTTTACTTCATTGTTCTGTTCAGTCAGACAGCTCAGTGCTGTTTTTGTTTTTATAAAAAAAAACTTAATTAAAATGGGACATTAGAAAGATACATATAAAACTAAATTTAAATATACATCGACATATATTACCGATAGTTTATCCACTCCCTCGTTTATTTAGATTATAGAGGGCGGCGCAAGCTAGACTCTAGGATGACTAAATTAGGCAATCTTGCGACTAGTGTACTACCTGTTAAGGCCGAACTGCGACTTTATTAGTCCAGTATGCGACTACTCGAACTACTTCATCTTAATCTCCAAAACAACAAAATGAAAGCCGCCATGTTGTTGAATAAGAAAATGTTTCGTTCCTAAAATAGCCATTCCTGCTTTTTGAATACATTAACTTGAAATATTTGACCCTAAAAAACACGCGGAAACAATTTTTTCGACTGCGAATAAATTATTCTCATTTTACTAAAAAAAAAATTTAAAATTTTTTTTAAAACTTCTTTAATTTTAAGGCCCATTAGTATTTTTCAAAGTAGAAACAATACATTTATCAATAAAGTTGTTTGCGTTTAACTTTTCTGCCTTGGGTAACGAGTTACAGAGTCGGTTAAAGTGTTTCAATAATTATCTTCAAACATCCTCCACACTTAAATACTTTTGTTTTGTTTTCCTTCACTGCCATCTGACATATATGTCTCTAACTAAATCATAAAATTAATATTTTTACTATAATTATCCCAATTTAGGATAAAACGCTACTTAGACGCCATATTAGTTTTGTATTTCTGTGAACTAGGATTTTAAACAACGTTGCAGTTTGTACTAAATTAGGCTTCTAGCCAACGTCGGTATCCAACGTCGTTTCGACCCAAAAATTATTCTCCAAACTAGTGCAGACTAGGGTTGGCACGAGGTTGTGCCGACGTTGCGCCCCGACGTTTGGTCGCGTGACACAACGTTGTCCCGAAGTCCAAATGCTGCTTGGGAAATTTATCGTTTACCTGTTTGACTTTCCCTGGCGGATGGTATTATTATAACCTCTTCATCACGATCACGATATATATCTCCATCTCTGTTAATACCTTTTTCTAGATCCTCCTGTCCCGCACTACGTCTACTGATTGCCAATTCGAGAGAATCGCGCGCAGCAAGAATTTTGGTCGACTCTGTTGGAACCTATTACAATAATTATATCTTTCTTTCAAAGTTGTAGACAATGATTCAGTATGGAAATTAAAAAAAATTCGGACTTCCGCTGACTTTATTTATTTTGATTAACGCAACGATTGGTGCGTTTTATCAGTGCTTGCCATATCGTTGAAATTTCCGTACTATTTCCGTATTCATGGCAGCGCTCTCCATTATAATGGACAGCAAACTGCAGGAAAGAGGTTTAGGCATTAGATACAGATACGCCGGCGCACAGTGTAACGAAAACTAAAATAGTGGGTCATTGGCATTTTTCTTCAGTTATCACTATTCTTGCTGACATTTTTTGACAGAAATTAAATAATACGACTAGGAATTTTTGCTACAGGGCGAAAATAATAAAAAAAGGCGTAATGGAAGGTCAAAAAAATACGAAGTTTTATAAAAGCACTTTACAGGTATATTTTTTTATTTACGAAGAGTTTTTAGCTCTTATGGACTAAAAACGTTATCAAATTACTGTCGAACAATCATTTATCTCCCGCTAATATGTCAAAACTCAATCAACATTACTAAATACTCAAATAATCAGGGATAAATTTGATAAGACTGCAAAACTCAAAGAGAACGACACAAGTGGCAAATATCATTTAACAGTATTAAATAATATGATAATATGCGAAAAAAACGTATTCAACTTCAACAAAGGAAACCATAATACACACCTCCCAAAAAATTTCGCAACACTTATATTTTTCGTAGTATTTATTCTTGAAACGCTTCGAACATTTTTATGTGAAAAACTTAAATCTAAGGTCTGCCTGAGTTATAATATACTTTCGATTCCTTAACAAGTTGCTATTAATGCAAATAACTTTTGAGATTATTGTTAACCAAGAGAATTTAAGAATACTTTGCAGTTTTCCAAATTAATAAGTGATGCGATAATTTATGTGGGTGTATATTATTCCAAAATAACATAATATGTAAGGCACTTACATAGAACATGCTTAAAAATCATTCTCAATTTCTTCTCCATCCATATACAAGAGCTGTTTCGCTTCCGGAAACAAGTCTACTTTTTTATTTTTAGAGTGCTTTGGTCGCAGATGTGAAAGTAGAGGATCTGAATATATCAATAAGTTGTGCAATATATCTTCAATAGTTTGGCACCAACAATGATGCAGCATTGAGGGTGGAGTGTTAAATACATCGAAGAAAATTTTGCCGGTTTGAAAAAATATTCTCTTGAGTAATTTTTCTCCAATGTTGAGATTTTCTGAATTGTTTAAACTGTCCCCCACCCCAATGTGAGGATGGTTCCTCGCCCCTAAAATAGCATTCAGTATGTTCATAACAAGTGTATAGTTTTTTCAATAAAGAAATTATAGCAGAAAAAATTACGGATAAAAACTACGGTCGAATCAATGGAAAACGTAATTATTGCCGAAGAAATTTATTTTTTTCTTCCAGGTTCGGATCTAGGTGGATGAAATTTATATGTAACAGTATACTAGAAGGTTCACTCTATGATATTTTGTATATATAACCTTGCGCGAATGTAAGCGTTTTTTTGAAAGTCATAATAAACATGTAGAAACTAGACTTGAAAAAAATTGGGACATTTTGTTCAGGTTTGTTGTTGGTAAAAGACCTCTCTTTACGGAAAAAATTGTTGGAATTGAACAACACAAGGAAACTTCTGAAAATAATAAATTTCATTGTATGAAATTTTTGTACAGATTTGCTAAATTAAGGAAACCATAACTTTAACCCGCCATAACTCCCCGACTGAGAGGTCAACTCATGAAATATCTCACATGGTGGGGCTCTGGGATGTCCTTTATCCATCTATATAAAAAACTTGATGAATTAATTTTTTTGTTTTTTGGGCTAATGTCCCGCATTTCCCGATTTCGTTACACTGTGCGTCGCCTTAATTCAGACACAGAATGGATCATGTAAACGCGCCGCGTTTTTCTTACACTAACTAACTTATACTAAATCGAAAAAAAAAACAAAAACAAAAATAATAAAAACAAAAAAAAAAAAAAAAAAAAAAAAAAAAAAAAAGAAAAAAAATTAAAAAAAAAACAAACAAAATAGAATGCCTTAATAGAAACCTCCTTACCGGTTCTATCAACTCTTCTTCAGACAAAACCGTGAAAGGTTTGATGGAACTTTTCCTCCGCGCTTTCTTTGCTGACATTTCTTTGTGCGAATCAGTATCTTCCTGTTTGCTGCTTCTACTCCCCCTGCCGAACTCCTCCCTAAATGTCACTTGCGACTGTTTGCATTTACGTCTAAAATATCATCAAATTCAATAACAATCCTGTTTATACCGTACCATCGAAAAAAAAACGGCGCCAAAGAAGGCTGGGAATGAAAATCGATGATAATTTTGGCGAGGTCAAGCCCTAGAGTCATTACTTGACCCGTATTTTTCTCTATTTTTTAACGGCGCTTACTTGGTAACGCAGTGTTGCCAGTGTTGAAGGATTTTACAGTAAAATTTTCTCGATTGAAATGCTGACTGATTTTTATCCAAAAAGAAGACGATATAAATGAAGGTTTCTGGCAAGGACTGTATATATTCTAAAGGACTGTTCGATCGCGTCAAATCGCCGCTGTCGTAGTCGCCGTGGAATGCTACGTCACGCGCTGACCAGCGCTCCACAGTGCGGCGGATGGTTATTCTAGCGGGACAAAATCTCAAGAGCAATGTTTGGGACTTAGCAAATGGTCTAATATATAGCAACTATATGGTTAAATTTATTTATTTATTAACAACTTAATTTATTAATAAACCCAAGCAGCATTTGGACGTCGGGACAACGTTGTGTCACGCGACCAAACGTCGGGGCGCAACGTCGGCACAACCTCGTGCCAACCCTAGTCTGCACTAGTTTGGAGAATAATTTTTGGGTCGAAACGACGTTGGATACCGACGTTGGCTAGAAGCCTAATTTAGTACAAACTGCAACGTTGTTTAAAATCCTAATTCACAGAAATACACAACTAATATGGCGTCTAAGTCGCGTTTTATCCTAAATTAGGATAATTATAGTAAAAATATTACTTTTATGATTTAGTTAGAGACATATGTCAGATGGCAGTGAAGGAAAACAAAACAAAAGTATTTAAGTGTGGAGGATGTTTGAAGATCATAATTATTGAAACACTTTAACCGACTCTGTAACTCGTTACCCAAGGCAAAAAAGTTAAACGCAAACAACTTTATTGATAAATGTATTGTTTCTACTTTGAAAAATACTAATGGGCCTTAAAATTAAAGAAGTTTTAAAAATTTTCTGGAATTTTTTTTTTTTAGTAAAATGAGAATAATTTATTCGCAGTCGAAAAAATTGTTTCCGCGTGGTTTTTAGGGTCAAATATTTCAAGTTAATGTATTCAAAAAGCAGGAATTGCTATTTTAGGAACGAAACATTTTCTTATTTAACAACATGGCGGCTTTCACTTTGTTGTTTTGGAGATTAAGATGGAGTAGTTCGAGTAGTCGCATACTGGACTAATAAAGTCGCAGTTCGACCTTAACAGGTAGTATACTAGTCGCAAGATTGCCTAATTTAGTCATCCTAGAGTCTAGCTTGTGCCGCCCTCTATAATATAAATAAACGAGGGAGTGGATAAACTATCGGTAATATATGTCGATGTATATTTAAATTTAGTTTTATATGTACCTTTCTTATGTCCCATTTTAATTAAGTTTTTTTTATAAAAACAAAAACAGCACTGAACTGTCTGACTGAACAGAACAATGAAGTGAAAATTTAAAATTTAAGGTTATGGTTCAATACAGTTGCAAAAAGGTAGTGACTCGACGTCCTACCAACGTAAGAATAAGGAAATCTAAACAACGTTGGAATTAGTAAAACATACGACGTTTGCATAACGTTAGAATAGGTCCTGAAACTGACGTCGGAAAACTCTATATTGTCCAACGTTGTAACTACGTTGTCCGAATCACCTAAAGATCACTTAAGCAAAAAAGGTTACAAGACAACGTTTATTCGACGTCGCAGAAGCTTCCTACTTTGCTGTAGTACTAGTCCAACGTCGGCACAACGTTATAAAAACGTTTAAATTTATTTTAATACCCAAGGTAGGGAGCTAACTATTTTTTGTAACTAATCGAACGTTGTGATTAGTAAACATGTGGTCGCAAGTCGTGAAAATGCTACTTGGGAATAAATACAAGATAATAAAACTATGATATTATTCGTAAATGACACGCAAAAACCGTATTGTAAACTATTGCCAAATACATAAAATTATGATATCAAAAAACTCTTTAGCAGTTTTTTTTTAATTAATTTGTAATCTTGTGAGACCCTCTATAATTTATTTTAAAAAATATATTTTATTTTGAAAATAATAAATAAGATAGATATTTTAATTTTAATTTTAACACTCGGTAATTGTAAATTCATATATAGTAAGTATCTAAGACAATTTTTTAAACTCAGTGCCTTTTGATGGAGTTGTTTTGTTTTTATACTATCCGATTGAAATGAATCTTTTTGGGCATTCACCTGTTAAGCTTGAACTCACTGTGACTGTGACTACCTGTGTTGGTAACTATTGGTAACTCAAAAGATCTACATCATTCAATACATCGATATTTGAAAAAAAAGTGAAAGTTTGATATCTGCAGAACAAAGGCACGAAGGATTTTAACAAATAATATACGTACAGTAGAAAAGTACATACCTTTGGCGATCTTCAACATAATTTGGCTTTCTAATAAAATGTATAAGCACTTGTAAATATTTTGTTTTCGTATGATCTCTGCCTTGCTGAGCAGAAAACGACCAAATTTGATTGATAAAAATGTATCGAAATACAAAGAATATTCTTGCATTTTTGTATCAATTGGAATGTCTACTATTTATTCTTATCAGTACACATTTTTTGGCTTATTTCTAACCAAACGCTTTTGTCCCGCTAAATTTATCTTCCAACGCACTGTGCGCTCGTCCGTCAAATGCAAAAATAACTGTCACTGTCTAAAATCTTTAGCGCCAACTTCAACTCATGCATGACATCCTTTTTAAATTCAATAAGACAGAACACATAAAACAAATCGCCAAACCTCGCCAAAAATATCATCGATTGTCACTGCTCAGCCGTCTTTGACGCCGTTTTTTTTTCGATAACACGGTATTAAACACAAATTCTAACTGCAACATGGACGAGGTTGTGCTGTTCGACGAGATAATGTCTCCAGAAAAGGAGGATTTTGAGCTGGCAGGTGATTTTTCCTTGGGTAGCTCCTCTTGAGATAATTTCTTCCAGTTGTCGATCAGAATTTCGACGTCTTTGTTCCATAGATCGCCGCTAGGACGAATCTCAACGCCTGCTGAGAGCATGTCGCGGAAGTCTTCGCGCACGTACAGTTTGTTTTTGAAGTAAATGGAAGGAAGCACATCGTGTTCACCTGAAAAAATCATTAATTCATCTGTCATAATACTCGTTATAAATGGCCAAAAAGTCTGTCATTCTTTGAATGTCGTCTGTCAAAATTTTCCCCGACTCGTTGGACAAACTATAGATAGGATTTAGATTATATACAGGTTGGTCCGAACTGTATTCCGGAAACTTCGGCAGCCTATTCTGCAGATAAAAATAAGTAAAAAAGTTCGTATAAATGTATGTTCTAAAATGCTTAGTTTCGGAGATACAGGGTGTAGAAGTTTCATTTTTATTTCGATTTTTTCCAAATAATTTCTGAAGTAACGTCAATATTTGGATGAAAATTGGTGTCGGGGAGTTTTTTGAAATGAGAAATTTGATTTTGATGTCAATATACATGTGTTTTAATTGTTTTAAGAGTAATAACTTTTCGTCCGTACCTGTATAAAACTACTGGGTGAAAAAATTTACATTTCCGTGATTTATACGTAAAAAATATCTCTTGGTAAAAATGGCTACGAGCAACCGTTCTCGAGATATTTAGAGTAGTTTAGGAAATAGTCAATAGCTACATGTCATTATTGACAAAAAATAAACGCGTTGAGTACCGGGTGGCCAACTAAGAATGGACGCCGGCTGTATCTCAGCAACTACTTATCCTATAACTTTGGGAAAAAAATTCTAAAAAGTAAATCGACCAAGAGAAATCGCTGGAAATGATTGCCAAGTTCGAAAATGCCATGAAATTTTTTCACGCAAAAGCGCAATATCTGTTATGATGTCAAACAGCGCCCTCTAGCTACCACGAAGAACATTGTGGAAACAAAATTGATGCTGGAGATCATTAAGGAAGAAAACCTCTTTTAAACGAGCCCTAGTTTGTTTAAATCGCGTAACCTAAACCAAAGTTATCCTTATTTTAATAAAAGCAAATTTAACCTTCCCCCACCACCTTATTTTATGAGATAGAGCAAAATACTCTATATCAAAAAAATTACAAATTTCTCGATGATTACACTGATAATATTTAAAATACCTGTTCACCTGCATATTTTTGAGAAAAATCCTGTTTTCTGATTGGCTCTTAGAGAAACGCCCCCTAGCGGACATTTTTCGAACTTGAAAATATATTCCAGCGATTTCTCTTGGTCGATTTACTTATTAGAATTTTTTTTCCAAAGTTATACGATAAGTAGTTTCTGAGATACAGCCGGCGTCCATTCTTAGTTGGCCACCCGGTACATGACGGTTGTTTACGATATTCTCCGATGGTGGCAGCACCGGCGGAAAATGCACCAAGTCCATAGGCGACTTTTTTCCCTATGTGAAGGATACTAAATTTAAAAAAAAGTAAGTATCTTACCCAAAACAGAACCTTTTGCTACAGACGGGTTCAGTTCATTCATACACTGATGGTAATCGTTGATTTCCAAGGAAGAAACCGTCTCTTCTTCAACTGTCGGTTCAAACCATGGCAAAATCATTTTATCAGGCTTTGGTAGACGCAGGTCCGTCTTAGCTACGGCATCGGTCAGTTCGAACACCAGCATTTTCTCCACGGACAGCAAAAACTCGGCCTGAGTCGGTGCCGAACGCAGGGCAAAGTTGATGAATTTCTGGAAATGCCTGATGATCTCCAACAAGCATTTCTCCCTCATGTTGATGTGCTCTGATTTTTGTTTAGAAACGATATTCAACGACACTATTTGATCGTCTCGAACTTTAACTTCTCTGTGGAGTTTTTCGATCTGGTTTTTGTAGTAGGCTTCGATGTGCTGTTTTTGGTCGCAGCACCTTTGTCGCTCCGTGCACAACATGTACATCAAGTCAACCAAGTTGGTGCACTCCATGTTATGCTTGAGATTGCGCAAGGCTTTTTGGGTTTTGGTTTTGGCCATCTTCGCGTCGAAGTCTCGTAAAGCTTCTTGTTTCCTACAAAGAAAAATAGAAACATTTTGTATACAGGGTAATATTATATAATAATAATAGTTTCCGTATATAGAGTTTAACGCCTTGGAGTAGCAAGGTACAGCTTGCCATACTAGAGCCGTTCGGTATACAAGAAGGTAATGGGGCTAGCACTACGCTTCAACCGCCTATTATTATCTCAGGATTGTGACTCCCAAGTACAAGTGACTCCCAAGTACATACTCATTTAAGGCTGCGTCGACCTAGGGAGATATTAATATCTAACTCTGCCTAGTACTAAATATTTTAGTACTAGGCAGAATAGCTTTTAGGCATATTAGACTAAAATAAAAACGTGGGGCCCACTAACTATTGCTGTAATACTTTCTTCTATACTAAGTGTGGATTGCATCGACTTACTATAATCGTAACTGGAGATTTTGACAATCAATAACCAGCCGTGGCGGCTTCACCAGCGAACGCCGAGCTCATGATCTACCAAAGTATAAAGATATGCTTTGCCATAGGTAGGATTTCAGAGGGGCCCCACGTTTTTATTTTAGTCTAATATGCCTAAAAGCTATTCTGCCTAGTACTAAAATATTTCTGAACTAGAAGTTCAAAATACCTAATTGTTATTATTATTTTCTAGTTTTCAGTGCACATAAGATAAAACCGTTTAACTTAAAAGTTTTTTTACCGATTTTTTATTTTCTAGTTTTTAGTATTTAACGGAAATGCCTACCGAATATTCCTCATTCTATTTAATTCATTTAGTGCCTCATTATTACATGGTTTTTTACCTGATAATTTATTACAATCTAATTCCTCAATACATAGCCCTTCCAGAGACTTGACTCGACTTAGAGCCACGTATGCTTGCCCTTCCTCAAACAATTTGAGCCCAAATACACTACTGCATGGTCGACTGTGCTGCCCTGCATTTTATGGACGGTGGATGCCCATGACAAAATTAAGGGTAACATCCTTCTTTCAGCCGTACCATAATTGAATTTTGCTGGAAACTGTATGGCTTTCGGGTGTATAACGTGTATGCCGTCTCTGCCAAAGTCAATCCAAACTGATGGTACATCTGTTTCGTACATTTGGGTGCGACGGAACTGAGGCCAAACAATTTCTGTAATGTGGCCTATAGCACCATTTACCAATCCTTTTGTAACGTCAATGTTGGACCGCAACATTACTTTTGCTCCTACAAATATTTCAAGTACTGATGGTAAGCCTCCAGTCTTATTTATATCTGTTGGTATTATATTTGCTAAATTTAAATTATCTGTATTTCGTGTGGCGTCAATTAGTTGGTCCTGTGCTTTAATGGTATAAATTCGAGATCCCTTATTCCGGAACAGATTTAAAACAGCAGCGTTGTGATTGTTTATTTGCTGATTAGTGGGGTATACCCTTAACGCTTTGTCTGTTGCAAACTCATCACTTGGGTTTTGAAGTTCCCACGAGTAATGGATATTTTAACGGTCGACCCCCCCAGAGGTCCAGTAGAGGGGCAAGGCTATAATATACAACAAGAAGCGCCCAATCTTGAGGGGAAAACGCTTGCGACATTACATTTTTAGCCATCGTAATGCCATACAGTCCTCAGCACGTTTTAACCTATTACTTGGGTGGTAAAGCTACCGCTAACTGCGTAGGTACATCTAATCACCTATTTTTTTTATCTGTCCTTCTAACGTCACACAATCTTGGACACAACTGTTCTGGACACGACTACTCATGCCCTCACCTAATACGCCATTTTGTAACGACGTCCATCTTGGATTTTAAATTTTGTCATAATCACAGTATTCTATTAGTGTAGCCCTTTCATTTGATACCCATATTGAGGGGGGTTGTGGAAAATATGAAATCCGCCATTTTGTACCGGCGGCCATCTTAGATTTACAATGTTATTGATATTACTATATTGTATTGTCATCGGAACTAAAGGTGTGTACCAAATTTCAGATCAATCTGACAACAGGAAGGTACTTAAATTTCAATTTCTAATTTTGACCCAAATAAACAAACAAATAAATAAAAATACCGTACGGGTCGAGCTAAATAAAACCGTTTAAAAAAAGAAATAAAATAGAGGGTGTTAAGTTATGCATATTGACTCGCTACATATACCAACAAAAAATTTTTTTTCTACATCTTTCCGTGTTCAAGTTGTATTCTCGGTTGTATAATCAACCGAGGCGAAAGAGGGGAGCCACCCTGTATGAATATACCGATATTACCGATCAGTTTTACTGGAAACTTTGTTCTCGCGTTAATTATTCATTCAGGTAAAGACTGCTTCAGTAAAACTGAAACTACCTCAACTCCATTTCGAAGAGTTCAGTCAATGCCTCTTCCTGTTGGTCGAGCTTCCGCAAGAACTCCGCTGTAATTCTTTTGACAACTTGCTCGGTCTCTTCCTGCAAGCGCCCTTGCCACTTCTCCTTCATTTTCTTTGCGTTTTCCTTGATCGCCTCCTCTTGTTGCTTCCTCATCGTTGCCTCCAGGCGATCCAGTTCGTACTTGAGGAGAGCATCAAATTCGAGCTTGCGTTTCTCCATTTCCACTTGGCAAAGCAGTCTCTCCCTTATTTCGACGTCTTTGAGGTCGGCTTTGAGTTTCTCCTCTGCACCAGCTAAAAGCTTTAATCGCATCTTCTCTAAGATTTGCTGTTTGTCCTCCTCCATGTCTTGGACAAACTTCTTTTCCAATTCAAGCCCAATTTCTGGAAAGAAGTTGTGTAGAATAGCCAAAGATATTTAAACTCTAAATACACACACCGGAAAAATCTAGGGATATTATTTTATTAAAGTTAAAAATAAATGTTTTGAATAAACATCCACATATTTGTAGGCCTATTTCTACTTCGATTGAAACGAAGTAGTCACACTAGTTATTTCTAAATTTGGGATATTTGCAGAAGTGTTTGTGCATTTTTTGTCAAATGTATAAAAAGCACCTAGCATAAATTGTTCGAATTTAACCTGTATTGGCTATGTTTTTATGATAACTGACCAGAATTCATTCAAATAACTCTGTTTAGTATTAAACGACATTATGGAGCGTAGATATCTTAACAGAGACGAAATGCTAAGGGCCATGAGTATGCTTGAAGCTGGAATGCGCCAAATCGACGTAGCTAGAGCATTAAATACAACGCAAAGTGTAATATCGCGATTAAGTGCACGCTACCGTGAAAGTGGTGATGTTGCTGAAAGGCACACAGGGCGACATCGCATTACTACCCCTCAGCAAGATCATTTTTTACAATTAAATGCTCGACGCCGACCGACTCTTACAGCACCAGAGCTTAGTTTAATTCTCCAGGAAACACAGAACGTAACCGTTAGTCCTGACACTGTTCGCAATAGATTAAGATAGGTCAACTTAAGAAGCAGACGCCCCTGGAGAGCTCAACCCTTAACGAGAGGAAATCGACAGGTACGATATTTGTGGGCTCAAGATCATGTTCAGTGGTCGAATGAACAATGGGCCAATGTTCTCTTCACGGAGTCACGCTTTGGAATTCATCCGGATTCGAGAAGGCTTAGGGTATGAAGAGAACCGGGAAATCTTATTCGGTTGGATCATGTTCAGGAAGTACACCCTTATCAAGGTGGAACAGTTATGGTCTGGGGAGGAGTCAAGTTACGCCGAAAAACCGATCTCGTTTTTCTTGAAAGGTTTCTAACAGGAATCACATATCGTGATTTAATTCTTGAGCCTGTCGTGTTACCATATGCCAATGAATTTGGGAGAAACTTCATTCTCATGCATGACAATGCACGGCCTCATACAGCCAGAGTGGTAAGTGAGTTTATCAATGCTCATCAATTAAACATCTTACCCTGGCCGGCACAATCTCCTGACCTCAACCCCATCGAGCACGTATGGGACGCGGTCCAAAGAAGAATTTTGAGAATGGGTATGCCTCGTGAAACTCGTAGGGATCTGGTTCAGGCCGTGAATGCAGCGTGGCAGGCTGTACCTCAAGAAGAGATCGACAACCTGATCAGGAGCATGGAGAGACGATGTAGGCCTGTAATGAACAGTAGAGGAGGTCATACCCTTTATTAAGTAAAAATGGTTTTATCTTTTTTTTTAATTCACAGTTTAGAATAAAAAAAAATGTGTGTATTTTTTTGAGTTCAATAAAAATCAAGGTAAATTTGAAAAATTCGGTAAATTTCACATTTTTATTTCCAATACGTCCTGTAAACTATTTGTTTATTTTAATTTTGTTATATCAGAAATGCAAATAATAAAATTATCGACGATGGAGGGATAAAATTGTAATATCCCTAGACTTTTCCGGTGTGTGTATTTAAACTGAGTTTAAATATCTTTGAGAATAGCAAAATATAGTTCTTTTCATGTAAAAATTCCATGTTTATCGTGAATTTGAATGCGATTAATATCTAGTTCTAAAAAAAAATATTATACATAATAAAAATTATAAGAAATTGTTTAGTTTCCCTAATGATATTTTATATATTTTTTTTCGAATTTTTCGAACACAAACCTATAATTCCTTGGTGAGTTAAAGCCTGCAGACATTTCGGTGTGAACGGTGGCTTCAGCGCTAATTTCCCTATGAGCAAATCACTAGGAGACACCCACAAATCACCCAAAGGTCCTTTTAGAGGGTTGTTGAGTCCGAAATCACTGCGAAGAGCGCATTCACATTGAGCCAGGATCACTTTGGAGGCTTGAACGCCCAAGTTGCTCTCCACTTCGGACATTTTGGGCACTTTCACGTCTTTGATCAACTCCTTACGACGATTGTAGTACTCACTCCTGTCCAAATCGAATGTAAAAACCTCACTCCCCATTTTTTATAGAAAATTTATCACCCTCTTGCTTGGAATTTTGAAAATTTCTCATGAGGATCGAGAGTTTTTCTAAACCTGGCGTTTAAAAATAAGGTATTGTACCTATTCCGTTGATTTTGACATTTTCTGTGTCAAATGGTGAGTTTGAAAGTTCTGAAATCTATAGTAGAAATCGGGAGAGTTTTGGAAACTAATCCATACTAAAAAGATACTAATATAAAAAATCCTTAAGCGACTGACTCACTGATTAATCGCGATCCTGCTCAAACCACTCAACGTATGAAGCTCAATTTTGGCATACAGGTTGATTCTAGGGTGTAGAGGTTCGATAAGAGGGGATTTTTCGAAATTCCAGTTCCAAGAGGGTGAAACCACCCCTCAAATATTACAATATTTTTTATTTAAAAAACGGTCAAATTTCCGAAAAAAACGCTTAAACACGTATATTTTATTTTCTTTTTTTTACATATTTTAAGATTTTTTAAAAATGTGTACCTACAGGATGTTTCGAAAAATTTGGTCATTGATTGATCACGATCCGGCTTAAAGTGCTTGACGTCAAAAGCTGATTTTTGGAAAACGGATTGTCTAATACAACTTTTGCATATAATTATTATTATTATTATAAAATTTACATGGGATTTCCTATGTCCTGTGTTGTACCAATCAAATGACGTTAGGTTGAGTTTCGCTAATTAAAAACTAGTAATTTTTTCTTTGCTACATTCAAATAAGATCCTACAAACTTCATAAACACTTGACTCTAAATTTAGGCAGTTTTATTTATAACGTTGTGCAACTACCAGGATGAAATTGTAGAAATTAAGAACTAGGCCACATATAACCCGCTTCTTTTCATTAAAAATCTATTTTTATCCTATTTTAGCACGGGAAATCACTACAAATATCTTTTTTTTCTCTCCTACACTAAGTAGATTAGCCTGGAATAAACACCGCTTAAAATTTGAATCGGTTTTTGGATCCGGTCCAAAAATCCACAGGCATCCATCTCATCTGCTCCATATTTTTCTTAGTTTTGTTGTAACTCTAATAGTATTGCGTTATGGGAAAAAAACACTGATTTAACAGGTATGTTAGTGTCAGAAAAATTTAATATTGGGGTTTTTGAAGAGAATTTAGTGAAGAGTTTGAGTGTTTTGGAAAATTTTGCGAAAAATGTGTGTTCTAAATGTGATTGGTTATTTTAAGTTAGTGATCTCATTGAAACGATGATAGTTTTTGTATTTTTAGATTTGCATTGCTTCGAAATTGCTGTTTACGCGAAATAACTGTTTTTTTTTTTAATTTTTAATATGTAATACGATAAAATTTGTAAAAGTAGCTAATTATTAGCTCATTCGTCTATATAGAGCTCATATATTTAATTAAATATTTTTAATAAAGCGAAAATTTAAATTTTGTTGTTAAAAATTTGGCTTGTGTGATGCAAATTATGAATATATCTCCGATTTATTTTTTTATTAAAGCGGCTCACCTCTATAATTTTTTATTTTTTCGTGAGGCACTTTTGAGAAACACCCGGTATATTAATAGTTTTTATAAAAATGTAATTTTGTTTTTAAAAAATTGGCTTGTATGAAGCAAATTATGAATATCCAGATATCTCCCATTTGTGCATCACCTAAATCAACTTTTTTTAAAAAACTACCAATAGTTTAACTGAATATATGACTAAAAAAGGGATTACCATCAGTTATTTTCAACGAGATGCCTCAAAAGTTCACTGAATTTATTTATATAATTTTTCTTAGCGATTTTACCCACAATTTTTTTTGTAGTGATTACACAAAAAACCTCGAACATCCATAATCTCCAAAAATGCTGTCTCCCGGAGAGATCGAAGACCCCCAAATCACCAGCGAGCAATTGCTCTCGCTCAAATCCGACCTGAAAATCATCGGAATGCTTGAGGAACTGTCAAACAAGCATTGCCCAGCTCCTTTCAAAGACATAGAGGCTGGGGGAAAGATCTCCAAATGCAACGACACCTCTCTGAAGCTAAGAGAGGAAGGTGCCAAGATGCTCAGGCAGAAAAAGTACCAAAAAGCTATTCTGGCTTTCACCGAAAGCATCGCCAATGCTGAACCTGGTAGCGAGTACCTCGGGTTGGCTTATGGGGGAAGATCTGAGGTGCTTTTCGAGAGAGGGTACTACAAGGAATGTTTGAGGGTAAGTGTATACCTTTTTTTACCGTTATTTTACCTTTACCGTTATTTTTAATTAATACTAATAATTTCTCAGTACAGAAAAAAATATAGAGCATTTTATTTAAAAAAATTAATTGTTAATTTATCTCAAAAACTGCGACTTTGACTGATTTTGATGTTATTACAAATTTTGTTGCAAATATTATTCCTAATCTTAAATTGAAAACCGCGTTTCGCTAGCTACTGTAATTTCGGAGTTACGATTTTTAAAAATTTTTAACCCCCTCCCATACCCCCTTACCACCCCCACCAAAAACTAATGGCCAGATTCTCGGGTGCCACAGTATTTTTGTGCCAAATTTGGTTAAAATCGGTTTAGCGGTTTTTGAGTTATCGTGTTACAGACAGACTGACAGACAAACAGATACTGTCTGAATATTTTCTTAAAAAAATTGGATTAAAAATCTCAAACAGAAAGATTGATATTGAATATATTTTTATCTTTTTTTAGGACATTCAGAGAGCAAAAGAAAACAATTATCCCGCAGAAATGATTGGAAAACTCGAAGATCGTAAAGCACAAGCTGAACACAACCTCCCCAACCAAGAAACCCAAAAATACCATGAAAATCTCCCCAATATTCCCAACATCAACCCTAAAATACCCTGCGCATCCGACTCCATAGAAATCCAATCAAATTCAGAGTCAGGAAAACAGGTGGTTGCCATCAAAGACATACCAGCAGGTGAAATAATCGCTATAGAACAACCCTACGTGGTTGCAGTTGGTATTGGACCTTCCCAAAAGTACCTACATTGCCACGAATGCCTTGAACTGTGCTACAACCTCATCCCATGTCAAAAATGTCGTACCGCACTATATTGTAGCGAAGAATGTCAGTCCAGAGCCTTCGAAGAGTACCATTACAGTGAGTGTGATCTTTGCCAATACGATTTCATTGAACAAATAAGCGTTAAAACCGTTCTAAGAGGTGTTAAAGAGAGTGCTTCAAACGGTACTCAGTTTGATGGTACGGTATATCGTTCAGATAGGTTTGAGGAAGTGCAAGAGATAGAAACAAACAAGGAGAAGCGGACAGTAAGGGAGTTTTTTGAAGCTGCAAACGAGGCATGTATCTACACGTATTTTTTGAAGAAATACTCTGATTTTTTTACCAAAACCGGACTAAGCGAGGAAAGATTGAAGGAATTACTGTTCCATCAGTACCTTAGTACGAGTTCTTCGAAAATTTCAGTGGAGAAAACCAAGAAATCGTCTGTAAACACCGAGTTTCATGTTATGGGAGATGCTTTATACCCTTTTGCCAGTCTTTTGAAACATGATTGTTATGCCAATCTTACTACATCGTTTTTTGGATCGTCTCTTGTACTCAGGGCTGCGAAAGATATCAAAAAAGGTGAATCGTGTTCTTTAACGTACCGGAACTACAATTTTGCGGAGTTTCCCAAGGTGGTACGCACCCACCAGCTGTGGCAAAACTTCCATTTCAACTGTAAGTGCGACGCTTGCGAGAATAATTGGCCAATTTTCGATTGCTTGAACCCAGGAAACACTGAGCAGTACCTCAAGTTGGTGGAGACGGTCCAGAAGGCTCTGGAAAGTCCCTCGGGAGATGCTAGTGGGTTGCTGAAGACCGTGACTAAGAAAGTTAGAGCTCTGTCCAGCGGTGAACCAACTAAAGTTGATGTTAATATTAAGAGAATATTTTGTGATCTGCTTAAAATGCCTGGTAATAAAATTCTTGAATTTTATGTTAGTTTGTCTTATTATATTTATATCTATTGTGTCTTCTTTTCTTCAGTTATAACTCATCTTCAGAGCTGAAAGCCTCACAGAAAGCTTAACAGTTTTTTTGATTTAAATCATTTTAATGTCATTTGATTAGAAGCTGATGAAATGAAAGTTGATTGATTAGATTGATTGAAAGCCATAGATAAAAGAAAATAATCTACTATTAACTCGTAATGAATTATTCCTTGAAATAATAATTTCTGAATATTTTTTAAAACGTAACTCGCTATGGAAAAAATATTGTGATAAAACTGCATTATCGTCTTGTATAAAAAATAACTATTATCTATGACTTTTAACACAAAATATCAAATTTTGACACAAGAATAAAAGGACTTTGGTGACAATTACACTAAACTGTCTCTATTATAAAACATTTTAAAATGAACGAACCAGAGACTCAACTAAGAAGTTCCAATTTAACAGATGACAGTACTCCGGAACAACCACCACCCACCGAAAAACACTCGAGTCTACTCAAAGTCCGAAAAAAAGGCGATAGAATCTATCAACTCGATGACGAAAACTTGACAGTTTTGAAAGATCCGCAGTTCCATAGCGCTTCCGAGTCTTCTGAGGTTGATCTGGATAAAGTGTCATCAGGAGAATCATTGTATAAGGTGGGGAACAGTTTATTTTGTTAGAATCTCGTACAAAAAAATGAGATTTTTTAGACGATTTCATTTGAGAATTCTTTAACTAAAGAAGAAACTGAAAAGTGCGTGCAGTTTTGGAGGAGTGTGATTGAAAGGAACTTAGAACCGATAAAATGCAGCGTCATTGAAAGGATTAATGAAAAAACTGCAGAAACAAAAATTGAAAAGGATAAAAAAACAACAAGGAAGAAAAACAAAAAGAAAGAAAGCGAGAACGAACTAGGTAAATTGGTAGCGAAAAAAAGTGTATGGTGGGACATATTGGAAGAATTACAAAAGAAGAAATTACACGAAACTAAAGTAAAGTATTTTCTCTACAATTATTTTACAGTAAAGGAAGCATTAGACATGGAAAACCATTTAAAATAACAAGGATTTCGGCAATTTTATAACAAACGGAAATAAATAATTTTTTGGCTCTCTCTGATGAGTACTCTCAACAGTGAGTTGATTTAGATAGATTGAATATACAGAGTTTCGTTAACTTATAACCCAAATTTCACCTTTTAAAATGTTCAATTCATCATTTTACCAATGCTTATTCAAGATCATGTTTTTGTCAATTTTACATATATTATGTTTTATTTATTATCTCAAAAAAATGTTAGAGATGGGTATAGGTTAGTATAATAGACAAATTATGAGATTTGAAAGTATGTAATAATATAAATAAAATAAAGAATATAATAAGAAATGTAATAATATACCGGGTGTTCCATTTGAAAAAAGAAAGATACTACCACTTGGAGCAGAAGCCTTTTTGTAAAAGTTCAAATTTTCAAAAAAAAATCTCTCTATAAACGTCTAACGTGCCATCGCCGTGAATCACTCTATACAGGGTGGCCCATCGAAAACTTTCCGCTAGGCATAACGGCCAGGGTGTTGTTTTTTTCAAAAAATCCAAAGACACGTCAATTTTGTTTGTGAGGGGGACAACTTTTGCCCCAAAATTTTTTACAAAATCTTCAACTCTCTAAGCGGTTTGGGTGTTTCTCTATATTTCCCCGCTTCGTTTTTGAAAATCGGTCGAGTCGTTGAGAAAATATGAAGGATTGAAATTTGAACAGTTTATTTAAACATTTATCAGAGTAAATGATAAGGATAAATTTCTTCGACCAATTTGCTGTTTTCTGTTATTATTTCTAGATATTTACGCATTTTTTCACTTGCCACAAGGCTGAACTGTTCTGTGACTTGTGCGTTGAAGTTCTTCGCAATATCGTTAAACTGACCTACAGTAGAATTTCCAAAAATACCAGACCACACGTTCAATTTCTAAGGGTTTTTTGTGTGCACCTCGTGGAAAACCCTAGGGTTCATGGGCGCCGGAAGAATGAAGTTTAGGGGGGGGGGCAAGGTAAAAATGAATAAAAAATTGAAATACATTTTTTATTATTTTACAGGTAACACCTAAAAATTCCGTTAATTATTGGGAAATCGTCCGATTTTCACCAAAATTGGTATACACACTATTTTGAGGTCGTAGATTACGAATCTGAACTTGTTTCTTGGCGGTCTCTTACCGTTTTTCAGAAAAACGGAAAATTATTTCAACATTGAATTTTTCTTTATTTCGGCCCTATAAAGTAATAATTTCAGTATATTTCCGTTATATTATAGTTTATCTAAAAGCTGCACTTGATTGGGGATAGAAAAATGTCCAAAATTTTATTGAAAAACACTTTTCTTAACAAAATAACAAAGAAAATTGAGACCAGACGGAAGTTTGACATTTGATATATCCTTCTTTCTCTTTCCTATGTAATGAGAGAGACAAATATATTCTAAACCTAATGTAGAAATTAGAAAATTTACAACGTTGCCATATCTTCTATTTTTCGGGTGATTAGGGATTTTAAATAAATTTCCTATTATGAGATCGACAAATAATTAAATATACCTACCTACCTATATCCACAAAGTTACGCGGAAGAGTTTTGATTGCATTGGTTTCAACTTCTATGTGGAGGGGGTTAATCTTTTTTTTTGTTATATTATATTATTTATAACACGAAGTTGCACGAAAGAGTTTTGATTGCATTGGTTACAACTTCATGTGGAGGGTGTTAATCTTTTGTTGTTATATTATATCAAAAAAAGATTAACCCCTCCGCAAAGAAGTTATATAAAGATTTTTTAATCACGAAGTTGCACGAGGTATTTTGATTGCATTGGTTTTAACTTTTTGCGGAGGAGGTTAATCTTTTTTGATATAATATAACAACAAAAGATTAACACCCTCCGCATGGAAGTTGTAAGCAATGCAATCGAATCTCTTTCGTGCAACTTCGTGGTTATAAATAGTCAGTTCTCGTTGGTAAAATAGCAATTATGGGAAGGAGCCGTTCTTCTGGCGACCGCCTTTCGTAATCCCAGAAAGAGCGAAAAAATCACGCTAAATTTAGAGTTAGCATTGGCAACGTTGCTTTAAATGCCAGAAACACATAACCCAACATTTTCAGATTGTTTACAAATTTATTTTAGCAAATTTTCCTCTATTATGCATAGAATTGGTTAAAAAAGTAACAGAAAATAGCAATAACATCATTGTTTATTGAATACCTAACAAAATATGTGCTAGAAAACCTTAAAAATATGAGAAATTAAAAAAAATTCGATGTTGAAATAATTTTCCGTTTTTCTGAAAAACGGTAAGAGACCGCCAAGAAAAAAGTTCAGATTCGTAATCTACGACCTTAAAATAGGGTGTATACCAATTTTGGTGAAAATCTGACGATTTCCAGTTTTCCCAATAATTACCAAAGTTTCATAATAATGATTATTTTACAGATGTAAAAAGATAGCTTTTATTTTTACTGTTTCAATGTCCAGGGGTCTCTTGTCCCCCCTGTCCGACGCCCATGCTAGGGTTGTCCTCAGCTCAGTACCGACAGTTGTACCGATTAACTACACCGTTCAAAAAGAAAGTAATATTCAAAAAACACATATTAAATAGGAAATTATTATCATTCGCCACTCGTTCACTCATAGTTTCACAAAATTGCAAGCGACGATCAAAATCGTCTTCGTTGTGTTCTTGTACTAACTGAATTTTGTACAGTTGGAACTTGCGGTTTTTTAATATCCTTTGGACACTTGTACGATTCACGCCGGTTTCACTGGCTAATTTTCTTGTACTCAGCGGCAACTTGTATTTTTTTCTTGTATCCATGGCAACTTGGCCCAATACGAATACCTCCATAGCGTCATTTACTACAGGATTTTCCCTCTGCCTTTTTTTATTCATAACGGAACCAGTTTCGCGAAATTTTGCTACTAACTCGCGAACAATTTTGCCATAAAGGTGTTTGTCAGGATGGCATTCATTGAATATCTACGCAACCCGATTGCCACATTCATTATTTTTAAAAAAGTTCGATTATTTCCACTTTTTCTGCAAGTGAGTACACCATAATTGTTAAAAAGTTTAACGATATTGAGAAGAAGTTCAACGCACAAGTCACAGAACAGCTATCTAGCAACTACCGCACCTGATCGTTCAGCCTTGTGGCAAGTGAAAAAATGCGTAAACATCTAGGAATAACAAGAAAAAACAGCAAATTGGTCGAAGGAATTTATCCTTATCATTTACTCTGATAAATGTTTAAATAAACTTTTCAAATTTCAATCCTTCATATTTTCTCAATGACTCGACCGATTTTCAAAAACGAAGCGGGAAAGTATAGAGAATAGAAAGCCCTTTTCATTGCGGTACCACTTGAACCCCCTGCCCATTTGAAAAAAATGGGGGATGACACCCCCGCTTAGAGGGTTGAAGTTTTTGCAATCATTTTTGTGGCAAAAGTTGTCCCCCTCACAAACAAAATCGACGTGTTTTTGAATTTTCTGAAAAAAAAATTACCCTGGCCGTTATGCCTTGCGGAACGTTTTCGATGGGCCACCCTGTATAAAGTAACTTGTTTACAGTTAATGATAGAAAAAAGGTGCAGATTTTGCCACTATATCTCCGGTGAATACGAACAAGATCCTGCAGTAATGGACTCGGAAAAACAAATCAAAGATCTGGACAATTGGACACCAACCGTACCTGCAGAGTCCAGATCCGAACGCAAGTCTAGAGGCTCCTTAAAAAGCGGTTCCTCCAGGAGTTCTAGAGCTTCAAGAGCATCCAGAAAGCCATCCAGAAAGGCGTCCAGAAAGTCTGACATGATCCCGAACCTCAAACAACAACAACCGAGAAAATCGTCGTCTTTCAAGGTAAAGGACGAACCACCAGAAAAGATTCCAGAAGAACCGACAGATCTGGAAGACTTGATTTTACTGTCCAAGGAAGACGCCAAAAGTATCGAGTTCGTTAATGTGGTCGAACAGAAGAAAGAAGATGGAGTTTATTCTATGTGGAGGACCAATCAAATACCACCTTGTGAATGTGACAAGGAGAAGTGTGATTGTAACGAGAATCCTGCCATTGTTGAGATGACTAATTCTATGTTAGAAATAAAAGGTATACAGGGTGCTACAAGTTCGAGTAATATTATCGTTTTTCGCAAAACGATAATAGTACTAGCCCATTTGTATGCAAAAAGAAAACTATTTAAATCTTTATAAAAGAGTATACCATTAATTATATATAACACCATTATTTCCGCCCATATACTAATTAATTACATACTTAATTGTGTGTTCGTTAATAAATTATTCTAAATAAATGTGGATTTGAGTATAATATAATAAATATAATAATAAGTTATCAAAATTAAAGTCTCTGTGGTTATAAATAAACATTTATTAAAAAATGAAATATCATCTTTAAGGTGTTACTTTTTATCACACTGTCTAATACCCATACAAAATTCAGTTTTTTAGTATTTGGAGCAATTATTATTAATCAACGCAAACAGTCAGTTAATGTAGTTTGAATACTGGAATCATATTAATTGATCCTCTTTAACAAATATTTAAACAGTTTTTTTTATTTTTTAATGAAATAAACAAATTATATCGACAATATTAGTATCTGTACTCTTTAAAAATTTGGTACATCTTTAAAAATAATCTAAAATGTCAATATTCCATGTGTATATTGATAAATAAGTTCTAAATTACAAGAAAATGCATTTTCTACGGAAACTTAAAGAGATAGGTAAAAAATGGTATAACATAATTTGATAGACAATTTAATTGTGCATCTGATTCTCGTAAAATATACAGGGTGTTCCATTTAAATTAAACAAGTTTTTGCCGTTTGAAGCTAATAATTATTTAAAATAAATTTTAGACACTCTGTATAAGGTAGTATTATTTTTATTATTGCAACACAATAACTGAACAATAAATAAACTTCAGTAAATATTTAGTGTTAAAAACTTTGATACCCTTGGAGAAATGAAGCCTTAAAATTTTTACTGCAATTTCACAAAATTGAAAATATTTCAAAAACGGTAAGGTTTAAATATAATAAACCTTAATCAAATTTACCTTTATTTTAATCGTAGAAACTAGAAATTTAATAATATACAGGGTGTTCCATTTAAAAAAATACAACTTTGATATTTTTTACTTATTTGGGACACTCTGTATCTTGTAAAATTATTTCTAAATTGTAGCTCTAATAGTCCTTCAACGAACCCAAAACTTACAATTTGAAAAAATCTCATCGTTTAGCTACAATACTCCGTGTCGTATGTGGTGAACAACCCTGTATAGTCTTTACTAGTATTAATAAAAATAATGAAGCAATTATAATTGATAGTTCTAGAACGTGTTGCTGATGCATCACAAGTATTACCCATATTAGCTCCAGAAATCGAGAAGGAAAAATCGATAAAATCCACAGAAGAAATAACGGCCAAGCCTGAGGCAAGTTCTGTGATTCCCGGAGAAAAAATAGAATCCAGTTCTGTAATGCCCGAAGAAAAAAGATTGATAATGGATGAAAACTGTCACTGTGATCCTAAAAATTGTCGGTGCTGTTACCAAGAGTACTAATTTTTATAAAAATAAAGAAACTAATTATCAAAGGTTGTGGTTTTATTATTTTTATTATTTTTTTCTTATAGTGGATATACTATTACAAAAAAAAAGAAACATATGACACAAGTTTGGTTAAAATCGTTGTGGATTTATAATATCAAAAATACAGTGTGTTTTACATGAAATTACATCTAACTATGACTAACACTGTATACTCTTGGATATCTCTTAAAGAACTGCAATTATTTAAAGGGGTGTTAGATTTTACTCGACTAGAAATTGTATTGTTAAATCATCCTGTATATTAAAAAAACGTGCATTTATACTGCCAACATATTTTATACAGGGTGTTTAAAAAGACACTGTCAAATTCCGGATCGTAATTGAAATATATACCTTGTTGTGTTGCATCGTCGAGCGGAACATAGGAAATACCATGTAAATTTTAATGGGGTCAATTATTGGCTTCCCTAATTATTTTAGAGAATAATTCTATTTAGGTTTATTGAAGAGCACTAAAACCCACATTTCAAAAGAATAACTTTAGATATTTTTGATTAGCCCGTTTACGAGTTATCACCGATTTCTTTTTAAATATTTCTCCTTTCTTATGGCCCTGTATTTACTTATGAGCACCAGTCAAGGTAAAAGATGTCTGTAAAACTGTCAAATGAAGTTGTCATTTCAGAAATTTATCTATTTAGTGCTTTATTATTATTATTAAAAACTCATACCTACATCGAAAATATTAGCCATGAATTACACTACCGAAGAAAAAGTATTGATGATTAAATGGTATTATCAAGGAAATAGTTATCAAAAGTTGTCGGGCATGTTTGCTGCTCTGTATCCGAATAGACCGATACCTGGAAAATCTACAATCGCAAGGAATATCCAGAGATTTGAGACCAAAGGTACCTACCCTAATAAATAACTGCAGATGTGAAGCAAGGCAGGAACAAAGAGAAGATGCAAGAAAAGACTTGGAAGTTTTGTGCGTAGAAGAGAACGATGGAAAGATCAGCAGAAGAAAACTTGAGGATGAGATAGGAATAGATCACACTACAGCGTTTCGAATTTTCAAACGATATAAATACTATTCCTTCAAATATGAAAAGCACCAAGAGCTACGAGATGGGGACGAAATACGGCGGCAGGCGTTTTGTTTTGATATGATGGAAAGAGCAAACACGGATAGGGAATTTTTAAAAAACATATGTTTCACTGACGAATGCACGTTTACCTTAAATAATGAACCCAATGTTCAAAATTATCGATATTGGAACAAAGAAAACCAACACAGGGTTGTCGAAACAAGGACGCAATATCCACAGAAAGTAAATGTTTGGGCAGGGATATTCGGACACAATATTATCGGTCCATTATTTCTTACGCGAAATTTAAATGCAGAATATTATTTGGAACTACTCGAAAATCATATTTTACCTGATGCTTTACATGATGCCGCTAGGGAAAATCAGGAAGTTTGGTACCAAATGGATGGCTGCCCGGCACATAGTACCCTGACTGTTCCGGAATATTTAGACAATAGTTTTAACGGAAACGTTATTGGCCTAAATCATACAGTAAATTGGCCAGCAAGGTCTCCTGATATTTCGCCAAATGATTTCTTTCTCTGGGGCCATTTAAAAAACAGGATATATAAGGATAAAAAATACCCAAATCTAGACGAGTTAACAAATGCTATTTCTGCCGAATGCAATAGAATTTCAGTTTACCAACTAGCGAATGTAAGAAGAGAATTTTATGATCGCCTGGGTTATTGTCTAGCAGTCGATGGAGGAATATTTGAACATCTTCTTAAATCCTAAAGTTCTAACAATTTAATAGTAGATACCTCAATTAATAAGTTATTGAATATTGTAATAATCCTGTAATTAACCTTGTAATTGATTACTTTATTTTACTTTAATTCATATTAATTTGTATTTATAAATACATCTTTAAGATTTCCGATGTAGGAATGAGTTTTCAATAATAATAAAGCACATGTAAAGCACTAAATAAATAAATTTCTGAAATGACAACTTCATTTGACAGTTATCTTTTACCTTGACTGGTGCTCATAAGTAAATACAGGGCCATAAGAAAGGAGAAATATTTAAAAAGAAATCGGCGATAACTCGTAAACGAGCTAATCAAAAATATCTAATGTTATTCTTTTGAATGTGGGTTTTAGTGCTCTTCAATAAACCTAAATAGAATTATTCTCTAAAATAATTCGGGGAGCCAATAATTGACCCCATTAAAATTTACATGGGATTTCCTATGTCCCGTCCGACGATGCAACACCCGGTATACAATTTTGTGAAATTGTAATAAAAATTTTAAGGCTTCATTTCTCCAAGGGTATGAAAGTTTTTAATGCCAAATATTTACTGAAGTTTGTTTATTAATCAGATATTGGGTTGCAATAATAAAAATAATACTACCTTATACAGAGGGTCTAAAAATTTATATTAAATAATTACTAGCTTTAAACGGCAATAACTTGTTTAATTAAAACGGAACACCCTGTATGCTTTATCAACCCTGTATACTTTATCAAAATCAAATTTCCCATGTCAAAAAACTCCCAGACACCAATTTTCATCCAAACATTGACGTTACTTCAGAAATTATTTGGAAAAAATCGAAATAAAAATGAAACTTCTACACCCTGTATCTCCGAAACTAAGCAATTTACGACATATATTTATACGAACTCTTTTACTTATTTTTATCTGCAGAATATGCTGCCGAAGTTTCCGGAATACAGTTCGGACCACCCTGTATATCCTATTACATTATAAAAATGACTATCCCCTAAAACCTTTTTTTCCAACCACGGTATGGTATATTCGTTATTTTGGCTTCTCCCAGCTACAAAAACGATCGAAAACGGCCTTCTTGGACCTACCGCAACCTCTTCGGCAGCTACCTGGGGCCGGCAGGCATGCGCGCGCAACCTCTTTGGAATGCCGTCGGTGCGCGGTACTATGTGGAGGGCCCATTTGCGTGCTGCCCGTACCGAAGACACCATCATCGACCTACCACGCGCTGCCGGCCTGTGTTCCGTCTTCAGTTACGCGATTTCAAACACTGCACCCCGTGACTAGATCGAACACTCGCCTACAGCGGTGGTACTATCTTCAAACAGAAGCCAGAAGTCCCCATAGAAGCCTCTGGAACCGGTTAAAAGTGTGTAGAAACAAAGCAGGTATCGAAAAACGTGTTTAAAGTGACGGTTTTGAGCGTGGTACCACCTAGCAAGATAGCGTCATCGAAAATACACCAGAAGTACCTGCTAGACGCGTAGATTTTACTCAGAAGTGCATAGAAGTCTTGGTAAGCATTAAAAACACTTTAAAATAGACATATTTTTAGTTTTTCACTTGTAGTACTACCCATAGAGCTCTTTTGAACTAGATAACGGGGTAAGCATCGAAAAACGCGTTTAAAGTGGTTAAGAGTGACGGTTTCAAAGCGTGGTACTACCTGGCAAGGTAGCGTCTTCGAAAATACAGTACAAGTACCTCCTGGACGCGAATATTTTACTCAGAAGTGTATAGAAATCGTGGTAAACATTAAAAAACACTTTAAAATAGTCAGATTGTTAGTTCTTTACATGTAGTACTACCTAACAAGCTAGTACCTTTAAAAATACGTTATAAGTATATATTAAACTCCAATTTTACTTCAGAATTTTATAGAAAAGGTGAAAATCAACTCAGAACATATTTAAAACAGCGTTTATGTCAATTTCTTAAGCACAGTACTACCCAAAAAGATAGACTTTCGAATATTCACAAGAAGTACTTACTGAAGTGCATAAAAAACGCGGTAAATATTAAAAATACATTTAAAATAGTTCTAGGATTTATATTATTCAAAGACAGTATTTTATTTAATATTGGTACCAACCACGGCAGTACAATGGTCGTACTATCGTTAAAATAAGCTAAAAATATCTACCTATTACACTCGTACTTTTCTCAGAAGTTTGTAGAACTTTGTAAACTATCTAAAAACTCATTTGGAACATTTTTTTACATATTGTATCACGCATCAAGGTAGTACCTCCGCGAATATAGTAGAAGTACCTGCTGGAATATTTTATTTTTTTCAGAAATGCCTAGAAAACGTGGTAACCATTAAAATGTCGTTTAAAATCGTTAAATTATCAGTTTTTTTAATGTAGTACTACTCATCAAGTTGGTACCTTTAAAAATACATTAGAAGGTAGGTGTAGAGGTCTATTATTTTACCCAGGAGTATAGAAAAACGAGGTAAGCAACAAAAACGCATTTAAAACTGGAGTAGTGTTAATTTTTTACAGGTAGTATCTTATTCTTGTGTTGGTACTACCATGCAAAGTTACAAATCCAAGTAATGGATTCGCGTTTTGAACCGGAGTGTACAAAAAACGCGGTAAATATTAAATGACGCAGTTAAAGTACCAATTTTTTAAAGGTTGTACATTATTTAGTGTTGGTACTCTTCAGAATATGTTACCTTGGTGGTACTGTCTTTTAAAACGCACTAGAAATACCTATTTATTTGATTATTATTTTACTTAGAAATCCATAGTAAACTACCAAACCAAAACATCGGAAAATTCATTTAAAAAGTTTGGAATTAGAGCTTTTTACAGGTAGCTCAGTTGTAGTACTATTCATGAAGTACTACCTTAATAGATGAATATTGAAAATAGGAATATTCTATTTTTTGTACAGGGTGTCCCACTAAGAATAGCTCTCGGCTGTATCTCGGAAAGTATTAGCCACAGAGCCTACGGAAAAAAATATTTATAATGAGAAATTGCTGGAAATTGTTATTTCTTGTCCATATTAATTTAATTACAATAAGATACTGATTTTTTTTAGTGAAGAGGATTAGACAGCAATTCGAATCTTATTGTTCTTTGGTGATCTAGTTGTATGAGTATGTTGTACGTCATAAAGCTAGTTCAGCAAAGCACTATGATTTCGACTGATCTACATGGCGTGAACAACTAGAACTAGAATTTGAGAACACAGAAATATGT